TAATCCTCTGATATCTATTCAATTGTCCCTTAAATCAGTAGGGGAAGAACGCGATAGGGGAAGAACTTGATTTGTTTTTTGATATTGATTGATTTGTTTTTATGTTGTTAATGTTTTTTTGATTATTAATATTGTTTTAATAAATGTACAAACTGGGGGATTATTGTTTCAACCCATCTCTAGGGTGGGGGATTAATAGAGACTGGGGGATTAATAGAGACTGGGGGATTATTGTTTCAACCCATCCGTAGGATGGGGGATTAATAGAGCAAATACGGTATGTAGTATAAGCAGACTATGACATGGATACGGATTTTGATATCCGTATCCGGATATTTACGGCCGATACAGGCGGATATCTGCAGGCATTTTGGTATTATCTGTATCCATATCCGTATCCATGACCATGTCTGTGTATATGTAAGTATTAGGGTGACAGGAATTGTTTAAGCCGGGATATACAGAGTGAAAAAATCAGGAATTTTTTTAAGTATTCAACCTTTACTTTACTAAAATATTTAAAATTATCAATCAAGGCTGTCTGTAAACTGCAGAGATTTTTAAACTCAATTACAAATAAATGTAGGTTCATCTACAGATTTTTAGGATTCAAAAAATGCGCGCTTATTTGATGGAAAAAACAAGAAAAATTTTTCGATTGAAGACAGCCCCGTTCCCTGTTTATTAAAATAAGTATTAAGTAGACAGTGTTATTTAAAAAAAATTTTCAGAAATTTTTTTGTGAAATATGGTCAAAAAATAATAATTTTGTTCACTTCTTGAATTTAAAATAAAAATTTCAAAAAAATGTCCCAATTTAATTTAAAAAAGTAAAAAGCATTTTTTCAGTAAAAGCGCGGAGAGGAGACAACAACAATAGGGCACGAAAATTGCAACGATATTATGAATAGCGCAAGTAGAGGGCGGAAATATGTATTGAGGGAAAGGATGATTGTTGTGGTGGTGGACTGTCTACTTTTTTTATAATAATCAATGTTTTATTATTTTTTAAAAGATTTTTCTCGAATAAATGAGGGAAAAATGTTGAATTTTAGTTAAATTTTTGGAGCAAGTTTCGTGTCTCAGGTGGGATAACAGGGAGATTTGGATATAAGATTTGGATATAAGCTACCTTAAGGTAGTAGAGACAAGTGGAGACAATTCCCTAAAGGAAAATGTTTGGAAAAAGATTCTGATAATTTAGGAAAATAAACGTGCTGTGTGAGAAATAATCTATTTCGCAGCATCTAAGACGGCTGTCAGCAAAACCGAAGGTTCAATTCCTGTCCACAAAAAATTTTTTTCTAGTAAACCCTTTAAGTCTAATTTTTTAACAATAAAAGCTAACATTATGGATGATTTGTTAACAAAATTTCACACCTCTAAGCAGGCCCGTAACTAGGATTTTTTTTCGAGGGGGGGAAATTTGCTTGCGCCAAATTTTTGGCGCCGAAGGCGCCAAAAATTTTTATTTTCAGCGCCGCAGGCGAAAATTTTTTTAATTTTAGAAGGCCGTAGGCCAAAAAAATTCACTTTTTCGGCGCCGCAGGCGCCAAAAATTTGATTTTCAGCGCCGCAGGCGAAAATTTTTTGAATTTTGGACCTCAAGAAGCCAGATTTCGTCCTTTTTTAGCGCCGCAGGCGAAAATTTTGAAAATTTCGAAGGCCGTAGGCCAAAAAAATTCACTTTTTTGCCCCAGCCCTTCCCCAAATTTTTTCCTTTTTCCCATTTCGGGGGGGGGGAATTCCCCCCCTCACCCCCCCCCTGGTTACGGGCCTGCCTCTAAGGTTAAATCTACCTAAATTACAAAGCTTCGCGCCCAAAATAACCCTGCGCCGAGACATCCAATATTTTTAATTTATTAGTAATTAATTGAATATTTAAAAAGGACTACTAGTAAACAAACAAATAAAAATAATTGATGACCATGACCTAGTACAATTAAAAAATAATAATACTTAAGTGCTAGAAAAAGAACAAGATTCCCCCTCCCCCCTCATTTTACTCCATATATATTTTATTTATCTTTTTATTTTCATCTTTAATTCGCATTTGCATAAATTGTTTTGGGAGAAAATTTTCCCCTTTTCTTTTTAAAAATTTCTATAAAATGTGAAGTGAAAAAGAATTATCTAAATAGAAATTCACGCATATTTGCTATTTATTGAAATTGTTGTGGGAAAAATGGACAAGAGATTGCGAGAAAGGATTTTGTTTGGAGTGAAAGCAAGTAGCTTAATATGTTTGCAGAAGAATATTTTTATTTGCAGACAAATATTAAAAGAAAAGCTAGTGAAAAGTAGGAGGCTTTAGATATCCATTAGAGAATATTTGGAGAATATTTACTGTGAAATTTTAAATGGGGAAAGTACATAGATTGAAGCTTTGAAGAGTAACAGTCTGGAACAGGCTTTAAGAACATAGCCAAGGAGATATCGAAATTATGGTTTAATCTTATATATGAGAGACTCCGAAGATCAACATCTTGAAATTGGTCACATAGTGCTTTTGATATTTGGGAAGACAAGGTTCAGGGAATGTACCGTATATCCTTTGATAACTGCCTTGGGTAATTATCGTTTCGACCTTCCGCTGGAGGGAGTAATTAGTCGAGGGAGGGTAATTATACAAGGTTTAAAATTTGAACGTGTTTTAGGGCATTTATTTGGGGTAATTATTGTTTCAATCTATCGCAGGATGGGGTAATTAATGGAAGCGGGGTAATTATTTGAGGGAGGGCAACTAATACAGGTTATACGGTATTTATACTATAATTTTTGGTCTTACAAGTGAGACTGCCTGAATTGTAGGAGCGTGAGCTATAAATTGGAAATATATATCCCAAATTAATATTACTAAAATCCCAACTCTAAATGTAAACTTTTCAAAGTTTCCCCCATTTGTTGTTGACCTCCGCCCTTAAAAATTTCCTTTCGCAAACATTGCCAACTTTCATATGCAGAAATGAAAAACAAACAAACATTTTAGTGGTCAACAAAAAATATTAAAAATATGAGGGGGATTGGACAAATAAACTGCAATGGATAGGTTCGCATTTAGAGTTAGTCATAGTATCGGTCAAATGAGAAAATTGAGAAAAGTGAAGGGAAAGTGGTTGTGTAAATGACAGATCATTTATACGGGAAAGGGACGATAAAAAAAAGAATTTTTACAAAAAAAAGTTTGGTTGAAAAAGCTAAATAAAATGCTAAAGGAAAGGTGGGGAAGGGATGTTTTAATCGGGTCAAACCGTTTATGAACCAACAATCCTTTTTTGAACCAACAATCCTTTTTTTCTGAGTATTTTCCATAAAACCGCTTAGAAATATCTTTTTCCGGTCCAGAGATATGATTTTTTGAAAATCGCATTTTTCGCTTAAAAATTGAATTTTTTGCAAAAATTGACGAAAAATGCCATTTTCAAAAAATCATATCTCTGCTCCGGAAAAAGATATTTCTAAGCGGTTTTATGGAAAATACTCACAAAAATATGCTTTATCATTTGGGTTTGTTAAATTTGTTCCGAAAAATTTTTCCGAAAAAGTGGGATTTGGTATACCCGGTAGATCCGGATTATCTCGGCCAATTTTCATTTTCATGAAAAATGCAGAAACATGTCAACTGAGATACGAATAGAGCTTTCGATTGGTATATAGAACGTATTTTTTGTTTAAAAAATTAAGAAATAAGAAAAAATTTTCTAGCGCTTCCATACTTTTTTCCACGACTGTATTAGAGTACGTAATTTACGAGTTGTATATTTATTTCAGGAAAAATGTGAACGTAAAAGTGGGATGGGAAGATGGGAATAGGGTTGACGGTTCCGTATGTCTGAAACCGAAAAAAGACTGGATATCCGGAAATTTTCGGTTCCGGATATCCGATTTCCCAGGAACCGACCCTGTACAGTAAGGATGGGGGAAATAAGCACACAATAAAGAGTTGATGATAGAAATATTAGAAACCCGAGCAATATTGATACTCCATGAATTCCAAGAATGTAAAGGATGGAAGAAAATTAATCCCAAGCTTTGGTGGAGTATTTAAACCGTAATCAAATCATAAAAATAATAATTTAAAAATAAATAGGCATATAAACGTTAAAAACTGGCGATAAATTGTCGTTCGTTCCTTTTAGCGGCTGTCTTATTTTATTGAAGGACATTGCCCCCGAGCGAATATAATAAATTTTTATTTTAGGTAAAGAAAAAGCTTTACCTCCGGCCTTGAAGAATTTTACGCACTTTCATAAAAAAAGGTATTATTACTAATAAAAAGGATATGGAAAGATATATTTCTTGGCGCAGAAAATGGCATCGAAAGTGGTTAGGGGGAGGTAGGGGGATATATGGATGTGGGGGAAGGCATGAATACACTAAAAACCTTTTTTTGACGAGTGCTGTTGAGAGAGAAAAAGAAAGAAAAATTGACAAGTAGAGCGTTTTCAACATATCTCCTCTCTCTATATTTAGCCAAAGTATCCCCCAAGCTCAATGGGGAAACACAAATATGGAAGTGGATGAATAGAGGGAGGGTTGGGGAGGAGGGGGATATGTTGCTAAAGTAAGGGGTAAAAAATAAATAAAAATACAAAACCAAGTTTTGAAGAAGTTTAGTTGAGTCTTAAGGATTTTTAGACTAAAATTAATTTTAAATTTTATTTAAAAAATACTTTTGTCAATTTTATACATAAAAATAAAATATTTTTTGAGTACTGGGAATGACTAAAATTAACAAAAAAAAAGACAAGAAAATATTTCGATTCATTCCAAAGTAAAAACCTTACAGGATACAAAAGTTAGAATTGTTTGAAGTTTAGTTAACTTTTCTTCATGGATCAGCTGTATGTTCAATAATAAGTTAAAATTTATGGGGGTTTGCGATAGGGGTTATGCTCTCATTTGGGGCCTTTCCATGATGGTTCTATTCTATCTTCCCTCCCTTTCAATAAATTTTTCAAGCATAAATTTTTAGAATTTTTTAGAATATTTCGTAATAAACAAATGTTTCTAACTCTAAAAAATGTGATGAAATATTCTACAGATCCTGTGATTTTTCATTGAAGGAGTTTGGAAGGGCTGATAAACAAAAAAGGTTTGTGCTTGAAAAATTCATTGAATGGAAAGATAGATCAAAAAAAGCCCCAAATATTGCCCATCAATGATCCATAAAAAACAAGTTAAAAGAGTTATAAAAATGGCAAAAATGTAAAATTGAAAGAAAAGCCCAACAATAAATAAATAAAATATAACTAGATAGAATTCTTTTAAATCACAAAATTATACTTTAAATTCCATAGACTGGATCAATTTTTTGCGGCGGTTGTTGATGCTGTGCTGGGATATTTTGCGCTTCTTGATTAAATTGTTGTTGGTTTTGGCCTGGTGAGTGGACTGGGACTTGCTGTGGTGGAAGTTGACCATATTGTGGATCTGCTTGTGGAGAATGAACTTCTGGTACGACTTGATCATATGCATGGTCACCCCAACCTGCTTGAATGTAAAAATTTGGTTGAAAAATAGAGAAAAGATGATGGAAAGACAAATGTGAAAATTTGAGAAAATTTAGCGGAGAATTTTTAATTTTTGCAGTCTTGAGCCATTGAAAGATGTTTTTATGCAAAAAACAGCCATTTTGGACATCAATAAAGGAAACTCAAATCTTAAAATACTTCCAAACAACCAGACAGACGTTCAAATTATAAAATATCCCAGAACTTACACGTGTCGTCATACTCGAAAAAAAATAAAAATAAATTTTAACCCTGTTTTTGTGCATATTCCTTCTCGAAACGTGCCAATTCCTCATCTGTATAAATTTTTTGATCACCCAAATCTTTCCAACCTTCATCCTTTTGGCCTTCAGGAGCTTGAACTTGTGTGTCCTAAAATTAAATTTATACATTTTTGTTTAAATTTAAAAAAATTTTACATGAAGAAATTCATCCAAAGAAATTAATCTATCTCCATTTTTATCCATTTGTGCAACAACGTGTTCTCTCATTCGATTCATTTCTTCAATTCTAAAAAATAAAAATTTCACTAATTTCTTGAACATTGTCAATAGGGTTGGGGTTTTCGAGTCGGGCCGACGTTCGAGTCATTTTTATCGGGCTGCCCACAGAGTTTTTCTCGAGCCAAAATCAATGCCCGACTCTACATTTCGGACCGGGTCGGATCGGGCCCCCAACCCTAATTGTCTGTCAGTCTTTTCGGAATAATCCCGTTATAAAAAATTATTTGTTCCTAGAAAGAATTGTAGAAAAAAATTTAAAAAGTAATTTTAGCCTCAAAAATCAATTCCAAAAAATTTTCCTAATTACTTTTACAATTTTATTCAAAAAATAACCAAACCCCAAAATTAATTTTAATTTTAAAAAATAAACAAACTTTTCTCTTGGATCATCTGCAGGATCAGATTCATTATAAACCTTCTCCAATTCTAATTGGAATAATGCTTCAATTTCTTCTTCATTCAAAAAACCATCACTATTCAAATCATGTAAAGCGAAGAATGTTTTTGGATCAAAGCTGTTTTTGTCCATCTGAAAAAATTTATAATTAGAAATTTTAAATTTTATTGCCCACTAGGTAGAGGAGCTGCTTAAGTGATACCCTCTATTCAAGATAATCCTATTATAAGATTCAATTTTTAGAAGGGGTATCTAAAACAGAGGTTAACAATATAAAAATAGTGTCCACTAGAGATCGAGATTTTGAAAAAACTGGGCCTGTTCTTGGGTTCCGGGTTTGATTTATTTACCTAGGCCGGATCTTGGGCTTGGACTGTGGGTACAGGAAACCCCTAGGACCAGGAAAACCCCAGGGAGGTCAAAAAATGCCTGGGCTTGGACTCTGGGTACAGGAAAAACCCAGGCCTTGGTCCAGGTTCATCTCGATCCCTGGTGTCCACATAAATTGGCCCGAAAATCCTTAAAAAATTTTTACATGATCTCTTTCTTCCCAAACTTCTTCAAGTTGTTCCCGCCCTCCTGGGTGTTTTAATTCTTCGTGTTCATTATGATGCTTCTTAGCCTCTTCGATTTCTTTAGCAGCTTTATTTCTTTCTTCAGGAGTCATTTGGGCTAATTTATGGTCTTCCTCTGCTTTTTTCTTCATTTCATATTCTTTAAATTCTTTTTTCCTTTCCTCATCTATTTTTTCCATATCAGCAACAGTCTTAAAATTGATTTAGTAATTGGAAAAATAGTTTTTGAAAATTTATTTCCCCTTCGATATTATTTCAAACGGACCGTTGCCAGGAAAATTTCTCGGGAGAGGATCATTTTAAAAATGTCGGGCCAAAAATCGTCCTGGCTACGTGTCCAAAGTCAAATCTATAATGAGAAAAGCCAAAAAAGTTCGATTTAAAACGACAAGGTATGGGAAAACGGAGAAAGCACATTAATTTTTGAAAATAGAAGCTAGTAATTATCAGAATTTCGCGAGTGAGAAGGGAAAAGAATTCAAGAAAAATGAGGGAGCTATTTAATAAAAATGTTTTTCGCTAAAATTTCAGTTATCTAATTCAGCATTCCCATTAACCCACAAATCCCAAAGTATTTCTCTACAAAATTAAAAATATTCCCGTTTTAAAAATTACCTTTTTAATCAATTTCCTCAAATCTTCTTTTCCAAACTTTTTCAACTCGTTAACATCCAAATGTTCAGGCATAACAACATTTCTCGCGTCTCCATCCTTCTCAATTTGTTTTTCCAAATCTGCTCGAATTCTTTCAATTTCTTCAACTTTTGCTTCTGTTAATTTATCAAAAACATCTTGGGGGAGATCATCCATATGATCGGCAATTTTTCCTTCCTTAATGTCCGTCTCACTCAGTCCTTTCAATTTCTCCTGGAAAACTGGATGTGATTCCAATATTTTTACGACAAGTTCCAAATATTTGGAGTAAGGGAATTGGAAACTCTAAAAATTGAAAAATTTTTTTTTAAAAATTAAAAAATAAAACAAACATCCGGATAGTCTGGTTCAACTTTATTTTCATTTTCATTATGTTGTTGAGGCTCATGTTCAATTTTTTGCCCTTCTGCGTTTGGGGGTGGTACGTATCTAAAAATTTCGACAGTGATTAAATTCGACAAAATTTTAGTTTAGTCGAATTTAGTTAAAAAAATTTTTTTGATTAAAAAAATTAAAAATTTTTTTTAACAGAATTTAATCACTGTCGAAATTACCGTGCAAAAATCATTGGAAATATGCCATAATATATAAACGCAAAAAGAATTATGTAACCCAAAAATTTTCTTAAAGTAATTCTCTCTGCCATCTGAAAAGATTAATTAAAATAATTATTAATAGAAAATGATTTTAATAGAATAGTTGAAAAATTTGGCCAACTCATTAGGACGTAATGTCCTCCAACTAAACAAATACAAAAAAAATTTAAATTAAAAATTAAATTGAGGAAAATATTTTTGTCAATTTAAATTACGTGTCACCTTTCAATTTGAAGAAACAAAACAAAAAATATTTATTTTCAGTGTGCTCATAAAGGAAAAATAGAAATAAAACTGGAAATAAGATTTGGACGTTTTTAAATTTGGCATTTTGTCTGTCGACAAATAAACATTTAGTAACAGATAAACAAAACAATTTTATATCTTTTGTAGTTTAATGTCATTTTGGTAACTTTAAATTCTCTAAAATTTTGATAAATGACCTTTTTGGATTGGTAAATTTTAGAGAGCGGAATGAGGTCGGTCCCGTTTCCCGGTCATTTTTCACGGCTTTTCTGGAGATGGCGGGATGAAGCCGGGATTGGGAATTCCCGGGTTTCCCGGTTCGGGTCCCTGCCGGTTAATTTTCCTTTACCGTTTTCGGTTTTTTTCAGAATTCCGCTGTCTAGTTTTGTTTTTTTATTCTGCTAAATTTGTGCAGGATTTTCATTAAATAAATTAATTTTAAAAAGTTTTAGATTTAATTTAAGCATATAATGAAAATGAGTCAACTTAGTAATAATTCTATGGATCAACTTCTTGCGGAAATGTGTAAACATGTTTCGAGTCTTCAGGACAAATTGCAAGTTGCTGATTCCGCCGCTAATAAAGCACATTCAATTACTGAAGGGATTACCCAAGCTAAGGAGGTTTGAGAAGAATTTTTATTTTAATTTTTTCTTAAACTTCTCTCAAAAAATTTTTTAGTATGTTTATTCGTAAACCTCTCCAAAAATTTTGTAAAAGTGTCGTTTGTGTTGCCCCTTTTTTCTCATTTTTTTATCTCCCGAGAAAAAATCTAGAAAGAAGGCAAGCATCTAAAATATTGATAAAACTCTTTCTCTTTTTTCTGGGGAGATAGAAAAATGACAAAAGGGGTAACACAAACGGCACTTTTACCAAAAAATTTTTTTAGTATCAAGAAAAAGTCGCTTCTTTAAATTCTTGTTGGAGGACCAAAAATCGATCTCAACTCGTTGGCAGTCTGCAACAAGAGAATCGTCAAATAGTTGCTTTGGGAGAAGAAAACAAACAATTAAAGTTTGCTTTAAAAGAAATGGAGGATGGAATGCATTTAATTATGAGTGACTACCGGCGAGTTCTTTCTGGATTTATGCGTGTTGAAAATTTGGATCAGGCTGTCTGTTCAAAGACTAACAACGTTTATTTTTAATTTAAATTGAATTAAAATATTTCTTCAGACTTATTTTGCTGGTGTAGACCATAAGGACTACATTGGAATGGCTAGGGCAGCTGGGAAATATATGGCAGTCACTGAGCAGTCAATGGCTGGGGATAAGGCGGTAAATGTTTTTTTTATAGTTTTAAAAAAGGTTTTTTGGAGTGTTTAAACTTGGGTATTTTTGAGTTGGTAATATTGAACCTGACAGACCTCATTTTTCCCTTTTCAAGTTTCTTCCTATATATTTTCAGAATGGTCAAACTTCTTCCCTTCTTCCATCCTAATTTTCCTTTCTTCCATCAAGAGGAAATAAAAACTAATTTTGATTGTTTGTATGCAAAATATAGAAAAGCAATTGGAATGGAAGTAAGAAACAAGTCTGACCATTCCGTAGATATTTATGAAAATTGGCGAGGAAAAATGGAGTCTGTCTGGTTCAATATTACTCTTGAGTTTTTTACTGACCGAGAACTTTAGGGGTTTGCTTCACTGTGTCGTATATGTTTTTAATCAAGGTCCCCTTAGTTTTTAACTAGAATTTTGTTTTTTCCATTAATTGCTGATTTACGTTAGTTGCTTTTCCTCTAGGATAGAATGCCGTGAAAAATAAAATAATTAATTTAAGAATTAATTTAGGCGTTCAAGTATACTCCATGCCGCAAATATTCTTTAAGAATTATTCCTAAAATATTTCCCCTCAAATTTTCGGCTACCTTTTCCTCAAAATTCTTTATATTTCCCTCAAATTTAAGACTATTATGCAATTGGAAGCTGAAAATATAATACTTCGTCAAATTTTGAATGATATTCCAATCTATCAAGAAGCAACATCCTCAAAGACGAAAATTGACAATAACGATCTCAGCAAAATTGTTGAAGTTGACGAACACCAAGAAGATTTGATGAATACTCCAACAAAGGAATCTTTCAAGGAATAAAGAAATGCTCATAAATTCTCTTAAATATTTCTTTGTATTTTTCTGGACATAATTGTGTGTGTAAGGTATTTTTTGATTTTTAACAAGTTTTTTGGAGTTATTTTTAAATTAGATATAAAAAATTGAGAAGAAAAAATTTAAAAAATTCACAAAAATTTCTGTTAAGATGGAAGTTACTAGCCTCCAGAAAATTAAGCAAAAATGCTCTTTAAAAATATTTTTAGTTTGTTTGTAGGTAATCAAGCTTTCTGAATCCGAATATGAGTTAAAATTCAATTTCGACTCTCGAACCCTTGATCATTTCGAATTCGGTTCGACACACTATAATTTAACGTGTTTTTATATTATTTTGTAAAGGTTCAAAAACCACTATTTGTGGAATATAATTTAATAAATTTTGAATAAGCTGCTATGAATAACTCCAAAACCAGCAGATCTTCTGGTTTTGGAGTTACTATTCTAGGGATAATCTCAAATCAGTTCGAGATCCCTAGAATTTTAATTTCAAATTTCCTAAACTGATATGCTCGCTTCAGTTCCGGGATTCGAAATAAATTAAGCTTGAATTCAGCACACTCGATTACTTATTGACAAACTTCAGAAATGCCAAAAGAACCCTTTTTGTCTATTTCTTTCTAGGGTCCAGTTCACTTCTGCCCTTATTAAAATAACTTCAAATTAAATTATTTATTGTAAACGCATGAATTTCATATAAAATAAAATTAATTTTGGAATATGTATGTATTTTTACATGTTTAAAATATTGTAAATCTCAACCTCTTTTCTGACGATAAAAAAATTTAAGAATTGAAAATTTTTTTTAACTTTTTATGATCTGTAAAATATCATAGAAACAACAGATTTTCCCAAGAAGTTCCTCGTAAATAATTCTTTCAGCAATTTCTTTTTAATAATTTAAAAACTACTATGTTATTGAAAGACGGCTTTTATACTTAAATTACTAATTTTTTGGTACATTTATAAAATGAAATTTTAAGTTTTTTTAGATTTAAGAATTTTTTAAAATTAATTTTCTATTAATTTAAAAATAAGTCTATTTAATTAATCATATTTCTGTAAAAATCCAATACATTCTTCAACATCCTCTTTTGAACCCAAAAAGATTGGTGTACGTTGATGAATAGTTGTTGGATGAATGTCTAAAATTGGACCTTTTCCATGGCTTGCTAAACCTCCAGCATTTTCCATAATAAAAGCCATTGGGTTGCATTCATATAGAAGACGGAGTTTTCCATTTTGGGCATCTTTAATTTTAATTATTTTTTGGAAAAATATTTTAAAATAAATTTAGAGAGGATTAATGTTCGATTTCCGTCATTTTCCTCGGTTTTATCACTAAAAAATCCAGTACATTTTTTAGGTCCAGTAGACAAGCAATTTTTAGTCAATAACCAAAAAAGGGTCCTGCAAAGGATTTTCCAAGGAATTACTCAAATAAGTTTAATATTTGGAAGAAAAAGATGTTTATAATTAGGATTGAGTTTCGTCCCAATTTGGTCCATAAATCAACTCGTTGGGTATTAAAAAAAGTAAATATGTATACCACTAGTTGCTGGGTACATAAAAATTCCGCCGTAAAGGAGAGTACGGTGTACATCGGCCACCTAAATAGGAAATTTTAAAATTGAAAATTAAGAAAAACCATAGAGCCAACATAACGCTGACCATAAGCAGATTTTCCACCTTCCGGAAATTTACGTGAATAAATATATTCGGTAATACCTAAAAAAATTAAATTGAATCAATTAAACCTCACCAACCTTTAGACCATTTCTTTGCATAACCTTCATTTATACTATAAATTTTTCCTTTCTTTGGCACCTTCATTGCTGGATTTGTTAGGATAAACTCACCAATACTCTATAATTAAAAAATTTTTTTAGTTGTCCGCAAAAATTTTGCGGATTAAAAATGCGGACAGAAAAGGCTTACTGGATCCAAGGTGAAGCCATCAACACGTCCCGGAGTCGAAAGAACAACCATTGTTGCAGACCCATACAAAGCTATAAAAACAAATTTAGGGGGTTATAAAAGAATTTGTTTTACCATAACCAGCAGCTACCATTTTTCTGCCTAAATTTTGGAATAATTACAGACTATTTTTTAATTATGAACCTGGCTGTAATACATCTTGAGGTTGAATTGGGCCTTCGCTATTCTTTCGGAAAATGCCAAAAATCGTTCCAATCGAAACGAGACAGTCAATATTTGAGGATCCATCGAGAGGATCAAATGTCACAATATATTTACCTTAATTTAAAAATCAGAATAAAAGAATGGCTGATACGAGGCTAAAATTAAGGGTTGTAGGCAAGAGTTATGGACCTTAACTATTATCTAAAATTTCCAAGTTCTGGACAGAAAACAGAAGAATGAGCAGTAATATTATAGGCAATATTACTTAAAAGAAAGAGGGAGAGGCATTTCGACTTAACGCATTTCCTTTATTAGAATGCCATGGCATTCTATTTTTCAATCACCTTCAAGGGTGGTATTCTATTAGAGGGTGGTATTCAAATAGAGGAAATACGGTATCTCAACTTGCTGTCTTTTCCCAGTCCTTTTTTCCTATCTTTGGTACCTCCTAGATATCTACGCTCCCTGCTTTACCCTATTCTAAAATGGTACCTTGCTTTCCTACTTCCACCTCAATCATATTTTCATCCTCCTCTGATACCATAGCGCAAACAGTGTAAGAGGATTTTAACATATTTATCATCAACTTTAAAAAATTTTCTTTAAATTTTCAACTAATCCCCTAATCAACCTCATTACTAAGCACATCAAGTTTCTTGACTTCCTCTCCTTGTACATTAACATTCCCAGCGACTCCATAAAGCTGTGCTAATCCTGCCTTTCTAACAGCTGAGGAGATAGCCTTAACAGCTGTGAGAAGACTAGTTAGTAGATTCTAAAAAGGAAAATAGGGAATTTTTTGAAATTTCAGAAAATTTCTAAAAATTTTTTTGAAGGAAATTTTTAAAAAAATTTTTGAAAATTTTTGAAAATTTTTAAAAAATTTATCAAAAAAAATTTTTTTTGTAAAATTTTTTCCCAAAAATTTCTCAAAAATCAATATTTTTACAGTTAAATCTCCTGTAGCTTCCGGATATTTACGCTGCTCGTTCAGTACAAATCTTTGTAAAGTTACTGAATCTGTTTCAATTCCGTATTCAGAAGGCATTTTTAAAAAATAAAATTTAAATATTTAAAATCTAAAAATAAATTAGTTTTCTATTTATTTGGGGAGGAAGGAATGGAAAAAATGTAAAATATATTAAAATAAACTAAACCAGGGTTACGATTCGTACTTTATTTGAAAGTACAGTACTTTAAAATCGACCTCCGTACTTACGAAATTGAATTTGTACTTTATTGAAAGTATGTACTTTAAAATCAACATTTTGAAAAAAATGGAAGAAATCTGGCTTAAGGACCCCCAAATTTCTCAAAATTTTCGCCTGCGGCGCAAAAAATAGATTTTTTGGCGCCTTCGGCTCCACAAAAATGCATTGAAATGCACAAAATGCTTGGTGGAAACAAAAAATTATTAAAAAAGATTCATTTAGGAGAGAAATATGAAAGATTTGAGCATGAATAAATATTTTCTAATTTAATTTTGAGTGTACTTTAAATTTGGAAATTTAGCCCCTATGTACTTTTAAATCAAGATTTTTGTACTTTTGATGGGCATTTTGTCGATCGTAACCCTGAACTAAACATATGACTTGAAAGAACGCGGAAAAGGGAATGACCCCCCTCATAAATTGTACTTGTAAGGAAGGAAAATTTTAAGAGAAAAATTGACAAAGGAAAGTTATTCGAAGAAGATAAGATACCTATATTTTGTTAACTGATTGATTTTTTTTCTAAAAAGATAAAAAATAAAAAATAGGTACAAATGGATCAGGATGGGTTCCGCCAAATTTTAAAAAGCGTAAGACCTAACATAGGAAAAGCCGTGGGGTGTCCGTAGGACTTCGGGATGAAATTTGGTAGACAGATAGTTGTGAACCTATCTTAGTTGTCCTGATTGGGAAAATTAAGTCCCACGGACACCCAACAGCCTCTTTTTTGTAAGGCGGAAAAAAATAAAAAATGGAAGCAGCATCCCTGATATAGAAGGATGTACTTAGAATTTGGATAATTTTAAAAACTACCAATTTTATCCCAGTTTAAAATTTTTAACATTTTTTGTCTGAAAAGAGGGTTTGTTTACCACACATTATTTCCTTTTACAAGGCCAATCAATCCTCCGATAAACTCTTCTCTATTCCAACTCTTGACAATAAATGTGCAGAGTAAATAATCTTTTTGCACTGTCCCACATTTTATTGGGAATTTTTAGTAATAAAATTCATACATTATTGAAAATAATGATGATTGTATGTATAAATAACTATAAAAATTTTAAAATACATATACCTAAATTCCATCAATTGTTGAGATTAGAGATTTTTCGGGTTACTAGAATCCAGGACTTTTTTCCGACCCGAAACCTAATCTAAGGGTTTCGGATCACATCACAACCTGGAACAATTTCTGAGGGTAAGTTCTTGATGAGATAGCATCATTTGATTCTAGTGTATTTTTAAAATGGTGTTATATTTAGTAGTATATTTTTGGCAAGTTTAATTGCCGTTGGTTATTGTTGCAATGCGAGACAATATTAGTAAAGCAGCCGGGCTATAGTTATTGCTCTCCTTCAGCTAGTGCAAAAGGTGAACCAGCATCTTCAGTAGACCGGACTGATGTGTTAGCCATTACAGCACGCCGACTACTGCACAGCCTTAGGAATTAAAAAAATTAAATTTACACAATGTATCCCCGGATCAAAATATTTTAGATCGCTAGATTAAATTGTTAAAATATTTCTTTACCAAAAACCTAATCTGCCAATGATCTAATTAAAATAAAATTTATGAGGAATATTTTATGACACTTTTTCGCAAGAATCTTCAGTCAAAACCAACTGCTTTCCACCCCTCCCCATTCAAAACAAACAAACAACTTTTTAACCCCTTTTAACAAGCATTTATTTAAAAAAGAATATTTGACATTTTTATAAAGCGTGGATTTGCTTTGTCTTTTTAATGGAAGAAAAATGAGAGGGAGAGATTTATTAAAGATAAAAATTATTTCCCTCATCAAAAATATATACATGAATATTTTTTTAGCTTTTCTCGATTTTATAAAAGTATTTACATATTTTCAGTTATAAATTTATTAAAAACATGTTTTTATACTTAAAAAATGTTAATCGTTTTATTACTATAAAATTTGTATTAAAATATTATTTTTGTAATAAAAGGGGAAATTTGGGGTAAATTTAAGTCAAAGTTTTGACTTAAAAATTGAAACAATGCTCCAGTTAAATAAACCTTGTTTGATAAATTTTTAATTCTAAATAAACTTAAATATGTAAATAATAAATAATTTAGAAAATCCTTTCCTTTTATAATACGTAAATATGAAAATTAAATCATTTCCAACTTGATTATCTAGGACAGGATAATAAACTTGAGATTTTGTAAAATAAATAAGAATTTTCCCCTTTAAATTAAAGTTTACTAAATTCAATCTTAAGTCTTCAATTCAAGTTTATTAAGTTTAGGTTTATTTTCAAGTTTTAGGTTGCTATCAAGTTTATGTTTCCTATTAAGTTTATTATTCATATTCAAGTTTATTTAATAACCTGAACTTAAGTTTAAGTTTAATAATTTCAACACAAATAAAAGTTTTATTCCTTTTTCCAACTTTTCTCCAACTTGTAAACTTGTTAAACCTAAAACTATAAAAATAATAACTAAAAGAGCCTCAACAAAAAAGTCTATATAATCCCAATAATATACAAAACTTTATTTCACTTTATTTAAAGTTTTATCATCCAAATAAAACAAGGCAATTGTTACTCTCGAAAATATTTTTACAAAAATTATTCCCCAAAATTTCCCCCAATATTTATGTACATCCATGACCGCCATTTTTCTGCGCCAATTTTTCTCTTCAATTTTATTATTAAAATATTTTTTTTTTATTTTTAATATTTTCCCCTCAATTACAATAAAATATATACAAAATCTCGTCCCTTCTCTTCTTTCTATTGTCAATTGCAACGTTGAATTAAATTGGAAAATTCTTTTATATTATCGTTCTTCCCAAATTTTCACGTGTCCAATTGTGTTGGGTCTTTAAGTTATTAGAAATGTTTTGTGGGTGTTAAAGTGTTAAACTCTCGTTTTATTTATTAAACCCTCTTTTTTACCTCAAAATTCTTTAATTTTTCGTTTAACTATAAGAAGGTTTTTTTTTGGCGTGACATCAGGCGCGCGTCTGTAATATTGCCAAAAGAGCACCTAGAGCCATAAAATTTCGAGGAGATATAGCTATTATTGTCGATTGACATGGGATACGCCCAAGTAGGCGCGGTCACAATGGAGCAAAGCCATAACTAGCTGGAAAATTTCCGGCCCTTATCAATCATGTTATCAATCTCTTTAGCTCGATGGGTGTAATCGTTTAATACTGAATTTGGTAATATTCGGAAATCTTGAAGCAAGTTATGGCTTTGCGCCGTTATGGCCGCGCCCTTACTTGGGCTGTACCCGATTGACATCTTTAAATTTTTTAGAATTTTTGGTCAAGTACTTGGGGTGTTAAGGAAAGAAAAGTTAAAATTTTTACTAATATTTGTTAAGTTTTTAAGCATTTTCGATCATAATTTTAAAATTACTAAACAAAAAATTATTAAATTTATTGAATAGCTAGTCAATACATTGAAGAATATCTAAACAGAATTTTACAATTTTAAATTCACTCATTTTATCTTTACTCAAATGCGCGCCAAAACATTTTCTGCGCCGAAACATACAAAAATCTTATGATAAATATGCTTTACGAAGTTGTAAAAAACTTTGCTCTTTCACACTATTTGTTTAAATAAAACTTTAACTAAAAATGTATGGGTTAAAGCTAAATAACGTGGAAAAGCCCGAACAATAGAAAAGTGAGAGTGAAAAGAATTTTTAGGGGTTTTTGTATTTTTTGTTTGTTTGCTTTAATTCAATCAAAAGAGAAAGTTTTGTGGATGGCCTTATTTTTTTTTGAAAATAAATTTTTTAGTTTTTTTTAAATTAAAGAAGGAAGAATAATTTCTTTTTTTGGTTTTTGAAGAAATTTAATTTTGATCAAGTATTTGAGGTCTTAGCGTTTGTCTACAGGGGGACACAAAATTAACCCGGACACTTTATGCCATAACTTTATTCAAATTAAAGTTAATGAGATCAAATAAAGCTTAAATGGTAGAGAAATAAAAAATGAACAAAAAATCATAACCATCCTTTGCTGGGATACAGCAAAAACCATTTCATATTAATAATTTTCCATGGGAAACCCCTCCTTTATTTACAATATATGTCATTTTAATATTTAATTTTCTCGTACATATTTTTAAGGAAATTAATTTTTTTATCATTTAATCTTTTATTTTGATCTTTTTGTACTTTCCCTCAACATTCCTTCCTAAAATTACGTTTGATATTTTCCTAATTACTAAAATTTTTCTTTAACATAAATTCCTCTACTTCTTAATTTTCTTATCAATACTCTTAATATTCTGTTAATATTTATTTATTGATGTCAATTTAATTTAATTTTTGTTTTGCCCTCATTTTGTTGCTTTTTATTAATAATTTATTCAAAAAAACATTCATTCCTTTAATAAAAAATAATTTTGAGGAATTTAGAGTGTTTAATAAAGGCTGGAAAATGCGTGAATTAAAGGACCAGCTATGCACAGTGAGTTTATTTTTATGAATAAATGACTTGGCTTAACTTTTGGAATTATAGTAAAGTGTTTGGAATCCTAAAATTTTAAAATCGTACTTTTTATCAAGGCTAAAGTACGAGAATGTTGACGGAAAATTTTGGCAAATCTCCTGTCTTTTTCAGGATATTTACAATCACGATCCGCCAACTCTCGTCTTTAATAGTCAAAAATTTGTCAGAGCAATGCTCTAACATACAAAAATAAAATCTGGTGAAATCGCGAATATAATTGCATAATAACTATAACTTCAATCATAGCTTTTTAGAAGTTAATTTGAAATAAATTATATTAAGTAAAAGAATTGATGACAGTATATATATATAATATGCCTGTAGTATATCCAAAAGCTTTAGCCAAAAGCTTTAGATAAAATCTCTGGGGCTCTTTCTATCATTGCAGTTCTTGCAGTTTAACTCTTGAAACTTTAATCTTAACTCTATCTTTCAAAAGTTAAAACTCTTAAATCTTTGAGTAAAAATAGTTTTTGTTCCTTCTACTTTTTTGAAGGCTAAATTCAATAAAGTCAAATTTCAATTGTTTATTTCCACGGAAAGATTTTTATCTAATTTTTAAATCAAAATCTTTATTTTTTTTTCTATTTCAAAATTTAACTCAATTTTGTACTTTTCAGCTGTTGGTTACTTTCCAAGACGACAAAGAGCCTGTAAGTCAAAGAAAAACGGAAAGGGATAATTTTTAGAATTTTGGGAAATAAGGGAAAGGGGAGGATCAAAAAGGGAGGATGGATTGCGCATTTGGCAATAAACAAAAAATTGAAGAGAATATCAATTTTAGGCCAAAACTAGTTTAAGGACAATAAACTTAGTTAAAAGGGACAATAAACAATTTTTGGAATTTTTGGGGTGAATATGAGAGAATGTTTTGAAGAGACAATCCTTTAATTGAGACTATAAAACAAGAAATAAAAAAACAGAATAAAATAAAACTGAGTAAAAATTAAAAAGAATTAAAAACAAAATAAAAAAATATTTTATCAAATTTTTAGAACAAAGAAATAACAACGGCGCACACTTTTGCAAGCACTAAACAGGAGGATTATCCACAATATAGGCGTATAGTACATTCTAGACATACTGGTAAATATTAAAAATTATTGTGTATACTTGAGTAAAATAAACTTGAAAATCAGAATTTATAGAATAAATTTAAATCAGAAAATAAACTTAGTCAGCATTTCTAAAATAAACTTTCTTCTGATGAAAATAAACTTGAAAATAAAAATAAATACATATGTATTTAACTAAGCAGAACTTAAAAATCAGAATTTCTAAATATAAATTATCAGAAATTAAAATCAGAATATATGTAAATGTTTCAGATTTTAATAAAACTTGAAATCAGAATTTTGAAACTTTTTTGATTAGAACAAAAACATCAGAATATATCAGAATAATCAGAATAAAATATATTCTGATTTTTTTGTTCTAATTCGAAAAAGTTTCAAAATTCTGATTTCAAGTTTTGTTAATTATTTTAATATTCTGAAGAAAGTTTATTTTTAAATATTCTGATTCTATACCCCCAATTTGCAACCTTAATTTACAAAATGTCACTAATTTTTAGGTCACTTATTTTTAACATTTAATTATTATTTTTGTTTTACCTCCTCAATTATTTCCACACACTTCACATTTAATTTATTTTTAACTTTTTATTTTTTTCCTCTCATCTTTGTTTACTTTATTAGAAAGCAAAAATAATAATAATTTTTATTTATTTATTATTGCCGTCAATCTCTACAAACTTCCCCCCTCTCCCCCCTCCCCCTTTCCCTCCAAATCTCCGTCAGTTTGCGTTTCCCTTCAATAAATCTCCCTCCGATTTGTTTGCCTTTTCCGCTCATTCATTTCCCTCAAAAACAGTCTTCTTTTCTACCTTCTTCCGTCTTCCTTTAGCTTTAACTATTTTTCTCGTTTTCATGACTTTCCGTTCTATCCGTCTGTCACCAATTGCCAGACTGACACCTTCCAAAAATTCCCTCCAAAATTCCCTCCTCCAAAAATTCAATTTAATATTCTAATCTATTATCGCGGAGAATGCGCATAGAGAATTGGCAGAAAAAGGGGTGAAAGGTGGATTATCCCTCCTATTGCTCATCTCTCTCCAAAAAATTTTATTTCCCAATAATTCTCTACAACTATACGATTTTTGTTTTTATTTACATTAAATTTTATTTGTTTGTTATTTTAACAATTTAGTTAGAAATTTTGTAGAATATTTCTCAGATTTTTTATTGAAACTCACCTATCCCCCCATTCATCCTCAATATTTTAAAGTTTAAATCTCTATATTATCCCACCTTCTAAGTTATCCAAAGCTTTAACATAGAATGGCTGTGATATGTCAGAACGACCTTAGATCAAATCAGACCTGATCACGGGTGTTGATTTTAGTACCCGTATCCGGATATTTACGGCGGATATCCGCAAGCATCTTGATATTATCTGTATCCATATCCGTGTCCATGAGCAGGTCCGGATCAACTTAAGCTTTAGTCTCTTAGTCTCTTACGTATCCCGATCAAATTTAGTTAATCACTTAACTTATCCAGCAACAGACTGTGATAAATGGGGAATTTTTCAATTTTTTTTTTTATAATTTTAAAAGCTTTCTTTAACCAATTTTGTCAGAAATAAGCTAAAACAAAAAGCATTAGAGAATTTAAGGGTAATTTACTGATAAGATGGAGGTGTGATAATTGATAGCGTTAATAATTTTTGCTATCATTTCCTTAATTCTTTTTAATTTTTAAAAACAAATTTTGCAGATCGTGATGAGTTTGGACGGCCATTAAGTGTTACAGAGCGTCTATCGCAGTCCTCCCTCTCCGCATCGATAGGGCCTCTTGGCTCTGATATGGTAAAAGCAATTAAAAATGACAAAAAATTTTTATTTTCTTTTTTAATCAAAAAATAATTTCCGTGAATGACAAATCATTTTATTTAATTTGTTTTTAAAAAAAGGTTGAACATCGCCGCGCTCTTTCATCGCCACCTTTCTCAGTTACGGTTAGTCCAAATTCTCCTAATATAGAGAAGCCTAAAAGTGTGCCACAAATAAATAATCAAAGACAACATAATTCTATATCATTGCCAAGAAGTGTTGATCCTCTTTTAACTATACATGAGGTAATTTAAATTAGAAGGATTTGGAATTTATGCTAATCCTAGACTTGGAGTTTGATGAAAAAAGCTAGGCTTGAATAAGTTTTGACTATTTTTTAATCCCTAGAACACCTTAGAAAATAAATTGGCAGGGAGATGATTTTAGACTAGAGTTCTTTAAAAATATAGAAAGAGTAGCAAAAATTTAGCAACCGGGTAGGATTCGAACCACCGACCTCCTCGTAGTTATTGTTAGGCGCTTTCGTTCACCACATACAGGAGCTCTACCACTGAGCTATCGAGAAAGGTTATTGGTTCAATTCCTAATTTTGGTCTCTATGTAATGTTTCAGCACTACAGGTTTAAATCAGTCTTATCTTTTTTGTTTCCGGATGCTCAAAATCTACCTAAAAATCTACATACTTAACTATGCAGTATACGTAAGAATAGGTAAGAAGAATAAGATAAGAAGAATTTTTTATGAACTCCAAATGTATTGCAACTCTAAATTGAATTGAGCATTTTAATTTTAGATAATTCAGTTAAAATACTTTTCAGGTCTCCCTAGCCTATACAAGCCCAAAATCTACTACCCCAACTTCTGCCCCTCTACAAGAGCCAACATTCCCCAACAACACACTCCCAGGCTTATTAATTGCCAAAAATAAACAAACAGCCCCAGCAACAATAACAACATTTCCAACATCTGGAAGTGTTCATATCCTTTTACCTCCTAAAGAAGCTAATAAAACAATTAAAATAAATGGGAAACAAACAGCTAAAACAATGAATACTAAATTGCCTTATGTTGTTAAACGGCCAGAAGGGGATTGGGCTTATAATAGAAGTAATGGACAATTACAGGTAAATTAAAGGCAAATTTGTAGGGGAAGGACAAGGAAATTAAACTTAAAAAAATATTTGTGGGAAAGAGTCACGTAATATTTAATAATACATATTTTTAAAAAAATTGAAATTCTGACATCTCTCTCTTAAATGAAACACTTCACGACCGAAAAGAGAACGAACACACAATTAAGTTTATTAAAAAACATATTTCGTTATACATCCTGCCGACAATTTCCCGATTTTGGGAAATTAATTTTTGTCGGGAATTCCCGTTACCGTTTCCCGACATTTTTTAGAAAAAATCGGGAATTTTCGGGAATTTTCACTTCATCTCTGACACTGAAAAAGGAAGAGATATGCCTTCTCATGCTTACAAAATTCTCAAAATTTTTGCCTGCGGCGCTGAAAAAGGAAGAAATCTGGCTTCTTGGCTTTACAAAATTTTCAAAATTTTCACCTGCGGCGCAGAAAATGGAAGAAATCTGGCTCCTGGACCTTTCAAAATTGAAAAATTTTTGCCTGCGGCGCTAAAAAGATGAAAAATCTGGCTGCTTGGCCAATTTTCCTTGATGTCTCACTTAGTCCCTCAATATTCCTCCACTTAATCCAACAATATCTTCTTAATCACTTGTTGTCCCCTTAATCCTTCGATATCCTATTTAATCCTTATTAATCGCCCGATATCTCTCATAATTCGATCAAATCCCCCGATATCCTTCTTAATCTACAGAAATCGATGTCAAAATCGACACCACGTCACAAACTAACAAAATTCACGAATCTCCCGAAAATTCCCGAAAATCGGGAATTCCCGAAAATCGGGAATTCCCGACGTTTTTCGGGTCGGGAATTCCCGATTTCGGGAAATTAATTTTTGTCGGGAATTCCCGTTTCCCGAAATCGGGAAATTAATTTTTCTCGGGAATCCCGATTTCCCGAAGTCGGTAATTTTGATTTTTTGTCGGCAGGATCCCTGATACATAGGTTAGCCTGCCACTGAAGCATATGCCTGATCAAATAGAAACTCAAAGTTTTATTACTTCAAAGCACCGCAGCACTTTTTTTTGCACCTTAGCACTTTAAAGCACCGCAGGCGAAATTTTTGAGATTATAGGGACAGGGAGTAAGAATTCATTCCAAATTCAATGTACGGAAATATTAACGGAAAATTTTGGCAAAAAGTCGCAGTAATTCCTGCCATATGCAGATTTGTCCAGAAATATCTGGATCCCTTTTTCATAACATCGGGATAACATAATCCGATAAGCCTAAATTTAATCATTAAAAATTTGTTGGAGCATTGCTCCAACATACAAAAATACCTAGAACTTATTTGATTGGCACTAATAATTACAACTTTGATCATAGTATTATTTAATTTTATTTGAAATAAATTATATTAAACAAAATTAAACGGCCGTTTTTATTTTGTCAAATCCACAATTTTCGTTTTTCGAAGGTTAGGAAACTTAGATTTAAGATTCTGAACATCACATGCCGTTCACAATAAACTGACTGATCAATCTCAGTTTTTATTTTAAAAATATTTTTTATCCTCCCATATTTTATGTAATCTCTCCAACAAAAGTTATGTTTACAAAAGCAGAATAATAACTAAAAATAATTTTTTTATTTTTTATTTGCTATTGTGCAATAGAGCAGAAAAGCTGCTTTTCAATCGAGTTAAATATTTATTTTCATTTTTATTTTTTTCCTATGAATACATATCATCATTCTCTTAAAAATCGAAATATTGAATTTATAAATCATTTTCTCCTACATTTTTTGAGTCAAATTGATTTTTGTTCTTCCGTCCACCTAAGGGTGTGGCTGAACCTCTTATCTTTTTATCAATTTATAAAAATTTTTTCTCTCACTTTCAGATCTCTGATAAACCTCAAAAGTCGGGAATGGAACGACAAACATCAACAGCAACTTCAATTCCAACACGCGGAGAGGGAGGCACTACGGGAGACGCTGAAACAAGTATTATTCCAGTGCGTGTTCTTCAACAACAAAAAACTAAAAACGGCGGTAGTGGAACATATTCTACAGCTGCGGGAAGCATTGACAAGAAGGGGAGGGGGAAGAATGGGGAGATGGAACAGCAAAAAGCTTCAAGGTGGGAAATGAAAAATGAAAGGTTAAATGAGTTAAAAAGGGGTGAATAGGCAAGGAAATAATTAAGAAGATTAAAAAACGTGAGCAAGCAAGAAGGAGGTGAATGAGGAAAGGAAAAAGTGAAATGAGAACGGAGGGAGAGGAAGAGCCAGAAATATGAGTATGTTCCCTTCACACTACCCACGGTTGTTCCCTTCACACTAACCGTTCCCTACCCACTACCCCTGATATGTTCCCTTCACACTACCCCGGCTGTTCCCTTCACACTATCCCTAACATGTTCCCTTCACACTACCCGTTCCCTTCACACTACCCCTAACATGTTCCCTTCACACTACCCATAATCTACACATTACCCCTAATATGTTCCTTACACACTATCCCCATGCTCCCTAGACACTACCCCGGCTGTTCCCTTCACACTACCCTGGCTTTCCCTACACACTACCCCTAATATGTTCCTTTCACACTACCCCCGGTCTCTTATTTCTAAATTTTACCTATCAAGTCTAATTTTTTTTCCTTCTCTTCTCTTGAATAAAACCCATAAATATTTTACGAATTTGATTAAAAATCATCTTTTAGTGTAGAAAATTAATAAAAAATACTCATTTGGGTTAATTCAATATCCCGCAGCTTTCCCGGTTTTTAGCATATTTTACCCGTTATTAATATAGATATGAAGGGGGTTTAATTGAAGAAGAGCCGATTTATGTGAGGAGGAATTGGAAGCAAAAATAGAGGAACGGCTCTCATTCATAGTCACCCTCACTGATTTTTCTTTTTCCTGCCAGCCGCGCTGACTTACCAAACATCAACCACCCACTTTTTCTTTTCATTTTCTGGGCGGTATAATAAATGTTCTCCTCTATATTTTCTCCCCTCTTGTTTACCTCTTTTGCCCCTGTTCACGTAAAAAAAGGGGAAAAAGGATTTAATAAATAATTCCCTGTTTCCACCTTTTTTTGGCCTCGTTCAGGTTCGTACTAAGCAAATGTTCCGATTAATATGTTCCGGAAAATTTTATGGCTTTCCATTTAGTCAATGCTTATTTTTTTCTAAAGCTTTCATTAAAGGAGAAAAAGAAATTTAAATTTAGAAAAGGCAGCAGTCCCCCCTCTTTAACAACTTCACGTCCATCAGTTATACCTCCAGCACCACCACCACCCACCTTATCTACACAAATGAATGCCCCTATTAGTGGTGTATCTGGTCTTCCAATGCTTACCCATCATCAAAGTAAAAGTTATGAAAGTAGTGAACAATCTTCAATGAGAGAACAACGTGGGAAAGGCAAGGCAAAGACCGTCTTTCAAAAAACTACTTGTGAATTGCTTACAGAAAAGTCGGTCACAACTTTTGGGAAGCCAAGAGTTTTGAGGCAACAAGCGGTTGAACAACAAGTTTCTCAACAACACGTTCCTCCCAGCCAACAACAATTTCCTTCCTCTCCACAAAGCATTCCTTTCACCCCACAAAATGTTCCCCCCAGCCAACAAAATGTTCCTCCTTCCGCTCAACAGCCTAGAGGATTGCCACGTTATAAACATGAGACTGATCGCGAAATGGAAGCACACCTCATCACGAGATATGATAATGGTAACGGAAGGATAGTCGAAGAAGAGAGAAGACCAATACCACAACCGCGGGGAGGTATTTCGCCTTTGAGGGAAATTCAAAAACCCGAAGATCAACAAAAAAGGGATATTCTTATGCACGAACAATCTCGATCAGTTGAACAATTTAAACGGTCAACTACCAAAAATGGGAGTACAGATATTTTGAAGCCATTACTTATCGAATCTGAGCCTGCAAAGACAAGAATCCTTTCATCTCCAGAAGAAAATGGCCATAAACCCGTTGTTATATTACCTACTAAAGCACGCCCTGAAGTTCAGAAACCTCGTTTAATTGATTATGCTACCTATAAACGTGAAGTTCAAGAGCTTCAAAGAAGAGCTGCTAAGGTTGACAATAGAGGGGTTTATGAGGAAGTTACAACACCCCCCTTACCTCCTCCAATGAGCCCGGCTATTGTCCTTCCGAGGAAACAACCATCTCTTGATAAGACAACTTTGACTGGTCAGCGTTTACAAAAGTCCAAGGAGGCTGAGCCTGCTATGGAGACGACAATAAGGTAAAAGTTGGATTATGGAGCTAAAAGAATGAAAAACATAGAAATACCCTCTATTTATGATACATCCCATTATAATAGGGTAAAACCTTATAGGAGAGATGTTCTTATAGGAAGGTTGACTTTAACAAAATTTGTAAAATCTGATAACTATGGGCGAGATTGTCAATCAAAGTTTTTAAAAATTTCCCATTTTTCAGATATTTTGCCAGAGAAGAGCTTTGGGAGAAACGAGGAGGCCTACCACCTATTGAACCCATACTGACCTCACGCCGTGAAGGGAGCTCTTCAGAGGAGGAAATGAAAAGATTGGAAGAAGCTAGACTTAAAAGGGAAGCTGAAGAAGCTAAATTAAGAAGAGAACGAGCTGCAATTGAAGAAAAAAGAAGAATTGAGTTGGAACAGCAAAGGAGGAGACGTTTGGCTGAGGAAGAAGCTTTGGAGGCTGCGAGGAGAAGAAAAGCTATTGAAGTAAAAAATAAAAGGAAAATATCTAAAAATTCTTTTTAATTTTCAGATTGAAGAAGAAAAACGAAAAATTTTGTTGGAAAAACAAGAAAAAGCGGCAGAAGCTGCTCGACGACCTCCCGGCCCTCCCATTACCTCTAGCCATTCCACTTCCTTCTATGAAAGTTTTGAACGTTTTATTAGTAGAACAACAAGTCTAGCAACCCCAACAGTTCCTATAGAGAGTAAACAGCCGGCAGTGAAAGACCAAATTCAATTAATTCCGGCTGTTCCCTTAACTATAACTGAGTGGGCTGTCCCTATTAAAATGGCTGAGGAGAAGAAAACTGAGGAATTGACACCTAAAGGAAGGGAGGTTGTTAAGAAGGAAGAGCCGATCAAGCAAGAATTAGCTGTAAATAATATTTTTTTTTAATTTTCGAAAATTTACAAAAATTTTTAAAGAATTTTTTTAAAAATTTGAAATTTTTTTTTGATTTTCGAAAATATTTTTTAATTCAAAAAACTTTTAAAGAAAATCCCAGCAAGAGAATATGAAGAGATTGACACTTCTACTGATGCTGGTAAACGACTTTTTGAACAATTAAAACGAGAATTGGAATATGAAGAGGAAATTGATACAGAAGTTAGAAGAATGAGGAGAGCTAAAGGGGAAGATAAAAAGGAAGGGGAAGAGGAGGAGGAGGAATTGGGAAGTGTGGGACAGACTTTGGAACATTCCCCTCCAATACTTCCATCTTCGACTGAAGGGGAAATGGATTCTGAACCTGTGGAGGAAGCCCCTTCTTCTGTTACTGAGGAGGGAAATGGGCATTGGAGAGAGCATTGGGTAAGCATTAGATCCCCATCTAATCTTACTCCTACCATACAAATTTCGAATCTACCCCATTATTTTATCATATGTATCTCTTAGTCATATTTGACATACCCCGCAATAAGGTAGCTAAGGTAGGACAACTTAACGGTTTCCAATAATTTCAAGTCTTTTAGGTATAGAATAAGGATTTCAAGAAATTTTAAGTCATAAATATTTTTTATGAAAGTGAAGAGAATATACATATAAATTTGATTTCCAATAAAGATCCGAAAATATTAATTCCTCGTTCCTGAAGAGGAAAATGAGGGCATAAAAATGAGGGCATTCTTTCTCAAAAAATAAATATGGGAAGTTATTGTTCAAATACTCTCTTATTTAACTCTCCAATAAAAATTCCTCAAATTTCTTTATTTAAAGGGTGAAATAAGTAACGGCATCGGAGGAGGAGTGCTTTCCCCTAGACATGCAGTTAAGGTGTCCATGTCAGGGGAATTGCCGCCTCTAATGGAGGAAGAGGAAGAAATGCAGCAATCATCCACTTTGGATGCGCGATTGGAGGCGGTCAGTTATTTTTCTCGTTATTTTAAAGGAAAATAATTTGGAAGAAAATTTGAGTGGAGGATTAAGTAGTATATCCGTTAAATGCCCTTTTGACGGTAGTTGAGTTGTCATTTTCCCTCATATTCTGGAGTTTTTTTAGTATCAGGAGTGTTCTTGGTATCATTTTTCTGGAGTGTTCCTAGTATCCTTTGATAGATAACAAAATATTTTATTAAATAAATGCCCTAATTTTGGGACAATCTCACAAAAATTTTATTTTTAAAAATTTTTGAAAAACAGCAAAGAATCACGTTTTTTCTGGAGGGAGACGTCTTATATTCTACCACAACATTGTTTTCCTTTTTTCTAAAATTTTATTTTTTTGATATTTTATAGCCAATTTAATCCTCTTTTAAACCAACCTAAAAACTTGAAAAATGATTCATTACTTCTTAGGTTATAAATAAAGAATTGGACTGAGGTTATTGTTCTATAAGACCCATTCATTTTCTTTTACCCTTTTAAATTAAAAATAAATTGTCATACAAATTTTTTAAAATTTTTTATAAAATTTTTTCCTCCTTTCTATTGTACTATTTATTAAAAAAATGCCGTCATTCACAAAAAATTACAAAAAAATTTTTTTAATTCTTATTTTTCCTTTTATTTTACCGCCTATTGTACTCCTTCCTTCCCTATTATTCCCCCTTCTTTTTAAACTTTAATTTTAATTCCCAGATTATTCCCTTAAATATTTATAATTTTTAATTTTTTAAATTTCTCAATTCATTCCCATCATTCCCCTTTTATTTTTTAAATTTAATTTTTTTCCTCCCCAAAAATTCCATAAATTAATCAAAAAATACTCTTCCGTTCCTACCCCTATTTTTTAATCTATTGCAAGGTTTTTCCTCTCCCCATTGTTGAACAAACAAAAAATAAAAAAATATTATACATATTTTTGGCCCTTTTTAATTCTTTTCAATCCTTATCTTCTTTCCTTCCAAACTAGAGAATTTTTGTTTGATTGTTATCATCCATAATGCAAACGGTACGGTGTAGGTAGTGCGAAGGGAACATTTGGGCGCGGTTTATAAAATTGTCAAATGAACTTTTGGGGACGTGAAATTTTGTACAGGCGTTCTAATTGAAGTTATTTAACATTTCTAAAAAATTCAGAACTTTTGGTTGATAAAATCAAATATGATTATAGAAAATGCCGATAGAGTTCAAAATTTATAAAAATACATAAAATTTTGGAAGGAAATTCATAAATAGCTTATTTCGGATTTTAAAATTTTTTATAGAAACTTGAAACTTTTTAAAGCTCTATTTAAATTCAATTTGAAAAATTTTTCTAGGTTAAAATTTTTTGTTAGCTACGCCCACATCTTATGCTCCTTTCGCTCTACTGCCCAATGTTCCCTACGCCCTACGCTTATGTTCCTTTCGACCTACTACATCCGATGTTCCCTACGCCTTACTCCTAATGTTCCTTCGCTCTACTGCCAATATTCCCTACACCTTATTTTTGATATTTACTTTACCCTAACTTTCCTAACCTAAATTTTTTTATGTTGCCTTTCTTTTGATTTTTTATTTATTTATATTTCTCTCCCCCCTCCCCCTCATTTTTCCCTTATCACTCACTATCAACTATTTACAGTTTTATTAAATTCCTATTTTTATTATTATTTTTGCCCAATTTATATATGAAATAGTTTGTCTGTCAATACAAAAGTTTGGTCTTTAATTCCTTCATTCTCTCCCTCCTATTCTCGTCACAAAACACAAAAAAAAGTCTCCCCAAAAATATGGACAACAACAATTTATTGCTGAAGAGGAGACAACAAACATTATCCACAGAAACAAGCACTACAACAAACGGAAGTATTAACCAATTTCGAACGATTAGTGACGACAACGATGCCGATATTGAAGAAGAAATGGAAATTAAAACGTTGACAGGACAAAGTGTCAATACAGACAGCCAACAGTCATTTCGTTCATCTCCAACTGTGCTGCATTTTCCGTCTAATAATTACCAAAAACTGCGAAAAGAGGTAAAAAATATCATCCCTCTTAAATAAATTTGTAAGGGTTTTCTCAGATTTTTTTTCATTTTCCAATTTATTGTAAAACCCCTTTCTTTTATTTTTCACACCTTTTTTTGTCCTATTTTCCAAGCATTTTTCTATTATTATACAAACTCTCTGTTGGAAATAAACTTATTCAAACATTGTATTTTTTATTTTCCTTTCTCATAATATTCTAATTCAACTTGTTTTTGCAACTTTGTTTAGAGAGAAAAAGAAAGAAAAACACAAACTTATTTTGTATTTTTATGTATTTTTGTATTAACAAAGTTGGAAAAGTTTTAGAAAAAGTTGGAAACTTTACAAAAACTAACTGTGCGCCAAACAAGTTTTGTAACGTTTAAAACTTGTTAAAAACGCCAAAACTTTAAATTGACGTTCTGTGTGTTGTAAAACTTTCTTTTGCGCACAGCACAGAATTTGTGCTTCCCATAATTCCCTTATAAGGGATTAAATTGATAAAAAAAATGGGAGGTATGGAAGGAATTATTTTAAATAATTTTTTTATTATTGTACAATTTCGAGTAACCCTCTAAACAAAAAGAGATTAATTTTCCATTAAATTGTTGTTGCATATTTAATAAGGGGAAAAGTGCTAGTTGTTTACTCGACAACCGATTTTTTTCGGAAAATAAATAAAAATCAGGCTTGCACATGGATACGGATTTTGCTATCCGTATCCGGATATATCCGTAGGGTCAATATCCGTATCCGTTTGTATCCGTCCGATATCCGTCCGACTTTTGAGTCATATCCATCCGCGGATATCCGCGGATATATCCGTTTTTTCTCAAAATGGTCAACTTGACTAAAATTTTCAAAATGGTCAAATTTATTTAAATTTTAGCAATGAATAGATAATTAGGTAATAACTGCATGCAACAAAATAAACCTTGCTTATGAACATCGGAGGTTCGAAAATTGGAAGGCAGAGGTCATACTGACAAAAAAATAAAATTTTGAAAATTTTTGAGAATTTTTGAAAATTTAAATTCCCGGTTTCGGGCCGAAATGAAAATTTTGGTTATATGACCAGTTGATTTCAGCGCCGCAGGCGAAATTTTTGAGAATTTTGTAAGAACATTAAGCAAGAAATCTTCTATTTTTAGCGCCGCAGGCGAAAATTTTGAGAATTTTAGAAGGCCGTAGGCCAAAAAAATGCACTTTTTTGTCCAATCCCCTGATCAAATTTATCCCTATTCCCCATTTCGTGAGGGGGGGGGGGAGAATCTCCCTGGTTACGGACCTGGTATAGTTTTGGCCTCAAAAATTGTAAAAATTTTCGACATGAGTACTGCTCCCCGAGCCTTTGGTTCGGGATCGTCGGGAATCAGGGTTTGCCGGAGAGGGCAGGTTGTGGTTCGGGGTCGAGGTTACGAATACGATTACTAAGTACGAATATGATTACTGGTTAAAAACCGTTGAGTTCAGCACCGGAGGTGAAAATTTTGGGAATTTTGAGAGGAAAGAAGAACATTTTTCTTTTATTTTCAGCGCCGCAGGCGAAAATTTTGAAAAATTTGGAAGGCCATATGCGAAAAAATTCAAATTTTGAGATGGATATCCGCGGATCTGGAGCATCATATCCGTATCCATCCGTATCCGTCCGATTTATAAAAAAACACTATCCATATCCGTCCGTATCCGCGGATACCCGCGGATATCCGGATATTATCCGTATCCGTGTGCATGCCTGATAAAAATAATTATTTTGGGTATTTTATAGTAAAGAGAAAAAAAGGTTGTAAAATGGTCAGACAACGGGGATTATTATTTTTGAAAAAAAATTTTTTTGATGAGCATTTTAATTGAAGAGAAAAGGGGAATGAATGTTTGTTGAAGTATTTCCGCCACTTAAAAATTTTTTTCGCGCATAGAAAAAATATTTTTTGGATTAAAGGGGCAAACAGAAAGACAAATTTGCACTCATTTTTCTTTTTTTTGTTTGTTTACTTTGGCGTTTTGTCTTTTTTCTTTTTATTTTTTAAAGCTTATTCTTCAAATATTAATGATTTTTTAAAAATATTTTTAAAATTCTCCTTTTAAAATAATCAAAGTTAACTTATCAAGAGTTAACTTATATTTTTTATTATCATATTTACCTTTAATTAAATGCCCTAATCAATTTAAGTGCCCTCTTTAATTAAATGCCCCTTTGAAGGTGATTGAAAAGGATTAAAGAGGACACTCAAACCAGACATGGTCATGGATACGGATATGGATACAGATAATCTCAAAATGCCTGCTGATATCCGACTGTATCCGCCGTAAATATCCGGATACAGATATCAAAATCCGTATCCATGTCCTAGTTTGACTCAAACTACCTAGAAATAACTTGTGGTCATAGGAAGTCTCGGTCCGCTTGCATCTCCGGAAAAAGAGTGGTACCATTCGACTTAGCTCGTCGAGGCGAATCGAATGGTATGGGTTTTGTGTCGAAACTAAAACTCCGGTTTCTATTAATACACTAAATTCCTTTTCTACTATTTATTGTTCCAAATAAAAGATTTGGAACAATTTTTAAAAATTCAAAAGAATTTCCTAATTGTCCCCTTTCTGATTAATACTTACATATAAATTATATATCATTCTCGTTTTTCAGCTTCAAACAAGCAGGGAAATCCCCGTTCGAAGACCACCTCTATCAATACCTCCACCTAAACCTCCACACAGTATTCCTTCTATTGGTGATCGACGTAGGGCAGATTCTTCATTTTCCTCTGCCTTCTCAGTCTTTCCGGTGTCACCGGCACATACGTAAGTTCGCTTAAAAATACTTTTTTTATAGTCCGTTATCTTTTTGTACAGTTTATTTAATACCACGTGTTTTTATAACAAAAAGTTGACAAATTATTGTTGACTAAATATTTCGATTTTTTAAGAGGATTATAGAACAATTCCCCCCAAAAAACATTAAAAAATGTAAATTATATAGTGGAATTATATTACAGGAAAAATATTTTTATGGAAGGGGAGAAGATGGAGCAATTTTTGTATACTATTATGTTAATACTTGAAGGTCACCTGATAGTACATAGCTACTTTAATTTCATTTAGACTTTATACTTCCTCTTATCCCGATAGAGTTAATTTCCCATCTAACAAAGGGGGGTGCCTCCCACGGACACCTGAGGCACTCTCCTTTGTAAGGTCGTTGAAATTGGAGACCAGGCTTTGGGATTGATCGTGATCCGAGATTGACGTCGAAAATGCTGACAAGATTCTTGGACAAGAATATTTCCATTTTCTATGGAGGAATGAACGTGAGGAAGGGATGCTTAGGCTAATATCCATTCTCTTATTTTCCGTTTTTTAAATTTTATTTCAAACTACCATGAGGGAGATACTCCTTCCCTTCTAATCCCCCTTCCCTTAAAATGCCTAAAAAGCTAATTTAAATATTAATAATTAGTATGGAATACAGCCCTGCTAGTAGCGACTATAGAAGTGCTATTTCCGCTCGTCAACACTTTCCTCGTTTAATGAGACCAATTTCGCCTGCACGTGAGGCTTTTAAAAATTTAGTTTAAAAATCACATTTTTAATTTTGTTAGCAAGTGGAGGGCATAGTAGAGTGTTAAAAATGGTTAGCGAAACATCATCAATTAGCAGCAGACCTTTATCGCCTTATCCTGGCTCTACTGCTGCTTCTGCTATTCGAGATACACGAGAACGTGAAAAGAAGGAAATGAGTGACTTAAATGATAGATTGGCTATTTATATTGAAAAGGTAGTTATTGAGTTAAAAAGTGAGGTTGAGAACCGCAATGCAAGGTTGAGCCTGGTCGACTTAATTATAGGAACTACCTCGAACCTACCCCTAGGAACCTAACCCATCACTAGATACATAAGGCCACACCTTGATCCTTCTGACTCCATAGAAGTATCCCTTATCACAGTTATAAAAACCTCAAAGATATAAAGACCCCCCAAGGATAGGTATCCATTTCCTTCCAATGTCATCTATATCCTGTTATGTATCGACTTACGGTGTGTCCGAGATACTAACAGAAAGACTAACTAACAAACGTTTATCTACAACACTATACAATAAAGGTGAACAATAGGAATACGACTAACTGCTGGAGTACAAGACTAAGACTGACTGACACTCGGAATAGACTAACGACTAACTATAGACTGACTGTAGACTAAACTCGGTAACTCTCTCTCCGACTGGCTAAAGCCTCAGCCTTTTATACTAAGCACATACCCAACATATCCCATGTTGTTAATTTATTCTTTTATGAAAAAATACTCATTTAATAGGTCCGTTTCCTCGAAGCACAAAACAGAAAGTTGGCGGTTGATTTGGAATTTCTACGCAAGCGCTGGGGGAGAGATGCCTCCAATGTCCGTGATATGTTCGAAGCAGATTTGAGACAAGCCAGAAAACTTATAAATGAAACTGAGAAACAAAGAGAAGAGTTGGAACGTAAAGCTAGGGCAATGGCCGAAGAAATGGCACAATTGAAGAGAAAAAATGAAGAAGCTTCCCATGTCCATGAAGAAGACAAGGAACGGATGGATGAATTATTGTTGAAATTGGCTGCTTTGGAAAGTGAATTGGCGGCACTGAGACGTCGAATAGCTATTGTAGAGGAAGATGTGAAAGTATTGAAGAGAGAAAATAGTCGACTTACTGGAGAATTACAAAGGACAAAAACTGTAAGTTAACTTGGAGTAAGGAACATTTCAAAAATATAATTGGAATTATAAGCTGACTAAAATGTGTTATGTAGAAGGGGAGTCATGAACTAGAAAATATCGCATAGAAATACCTGGCAATTCGATCTAAATTAATATTTTCACATTTGTCCGTGATGATCACAGACTTCAAAAATATAATGTCCAAATATCTATTCTACATTCTTTGGTAAAGAACGAGAAAGTTTTAATTAAATAGGATTTATTTTACAGTATTTAATATTAAGTAAATGTGAGACAATCACATTAAATAATCTAAGGCAGATAGTGAAAGTAAAATAAAACTTAATTTGTTGAAAATATTGGTAAATATTTAATTATTATTTGTCAGTGCAAAGCACTGACCCCAAAAATACTAAAACTGATCTGCGGGACAATCAGTTCGATAAAAAAGTTTTAATTAAATAGTATTCATAATAGATTATTTAATATTAAGTAAAATTGTTAAATCTAACTCTTAAATTTTTTTTCAAAAAATCTGCATTAAAATTCTTTACGACAAATAAAGATAGAAAAGGTTCTTTTCTAATATGTAGTAAATTTAAAATCTATTTAGTATAGATTTAATGAAATTTAAAAAAATTTTATTCATTGACAGGAATTGGACCAAGAAACACTCAACAGAATTGATCACCAAAACCAAGTCCAGACATTATTGGAAGAATTAGACTTTCTCCGGCGTGCCCACGACCAAGAAATTCAAGATTTGCAAGCAATGGCTGCTCGAGACACAACACAAGAAAATCGAGAATTTTTCCGGAATGAATTGGCTTCGGCAATGAGGGAGATTAGAGAGGATTATGAGAGAATAAATAGTCGAAACAGAACAGATATAGAGTCTTGGTACAAATTAAAAGTACAGGAAATACAAACACAATCAGCTAGACAAAGTATGGAGCATAATTATGCTAAAGAAGAAATTAAACGATTACGGACTCAGTTGGGCGATTTGAGGGGGAAATTGGCTGACTTGGAGGGGAAGGTATTAAAATTAAAATTATTTAAAATAAAAAAAAATGCTATTAAAAATTGGTATAATTAACGTAAACCTAAACATTTAAATACCGTAATCTCTCATTCAACTTTCTCTTCAATATAATGTTCATTTGGAATCTACTGGGGGAGGATTAGTCGGATATTTTTCCCATTAAAATTAGCAAATCGGTTGTGAAATGTACATATGGGACCTTCTCGGTATCACGTCCGTAGTTGGACTCTCTTATATATGTGTACCATGCTTAATCATTTCCTATAAGTACAATATATAATTGGACACTCGGAGGAGCTGCCTAACAAATATCTTTGTTGTCCTCTCCTACTATTATATGCAATTTTTCCGACCTTAAAAGGATATATGAGAGTCAAAAACTATGCTCTTTCTAGATGTTACAAAGGAACATTAACAATTGGGGATGAAAAAAAGAGAAAAACTGCGACACACAAAACACAGTTTTCATTTCATACAGACTGATGTTATACACCTACCTAAATTTGTATGTCAGTTCAAAACTGACTTCAAAAAATACACTTTATTTATGTTAAAAAATTTTATAGAACTATAGAACTTGAAACTTAAATATGAATTATAATTTATTATTTAATATTAAGTAAATAATTTCCGTCCATTCATTTCGAAATTAAAAATTTCTCATTTCCCAACAGAATTCTCTCTTGGAAAAACAAGCAGAAGAATTAGCCTATCAATTAGAGGACGATCAAAGAAGTTATGATTCAGCTTTGAATGACCGAGATACCCAAATACGCAGAATGAGGGATGAATGTCAAGCTTTAATGGTTGAATTACAAATGCTTTTGGACACAAAACAGACGTTGGATGCAGAAATTGCTATTTATAGAAGAATGTTAGAAGGGGAGGAAGACAGGGCTGGGCTTAAACAATTAGTTGAACAAGTTGTTAGAACACACCAAATTAAACAAAGTGATGAATCGGGTAAGGGTTGTCAGTGTGTAAGTACAGTGTAAGTTTTTTTTTAACGCCGAAGCCGGTAAAAAGTCTCCAATTTTTTACGCCGGAAGCGCGAATTTTGGAATAATTTTTTAACCAAAAAGTTTATTTGTAAGTACGTACTTACAAATAAGTACATTTTTAATTTTGGAAGTACGAAGGTCGATTTGTAAGTACTGTACTTCCAAAATAAATACGAATCCGAACTCTGGTTTATTGGATATTAAAAAGATCTGGACCTTATTTCGAATTTTGAATACTTAGAATTAGAGTAGTATGTTAGAGATATTTTAGGCTGAATTATAAAATACGAATTGTTTTCTCAGTTAAAAAATCGAAGGATACTGGTTCCAGAATTTGGGCAATTTCCCGTCTTAAAAACGGAAAAAGGCGATCCCGGAACTAAAAAAACATAAGAAACAATAACCCCGGTCTAGGGAAGAGCCCTCCAAATTTCCGTTTAAAAATATTTTTTTCCTTCTCAGAATCTACACGAACCTTGAGAGGAGAAAAATCATCTCGTCAATCCTACCAACGTTTTGCAAAAGGAAATGTTTCCATTTTGGAAACGTCTTCTGAGGGAAAATATATTGTTTTGGAGAACACTCATCGGTCAAAAGAAGAAAGAATGGAAATTGAGAAGACGGATTGATGGAAGGAGGGAAATTGTTTATACATTCCCTAGAGATTTTGTTTTGAGGCCTGGAAAGACTGTTAAGGTAATAATCAGAAAAATAAAGTTTGACCTCTATTTTGTAGACGCTCTCAGAAAATTACTAGGTATAAGGTTATCTCAAGATATCGCGGTCTTCGTTAGAGGAGGGTTACAGGCTTGTAAGGAGGTCGGCCCCTAGGCCCACCGAAAAAATCCTGGTTAAGGGCCTTCCTCTATATAATGTACATTCACTAGTATTACCCCTCTATTTAGTTTACGCCTTCTTCGATGACAGAATTATACTTCAATAACTCTGTTTAAATTTACCTCACTATATCGAAAGGTGACTTTATTGTAGAATCCACAGAATAAGTGAGTATACGAAATAAAGATGTTTTACAAACATAAATAAATATTTAGTCAATTTCTCGATTTTGAGTAATTAAAAAGAGGCATCAATTAAAATATAATTTAATATTTTAATCAGATTTGGGCGAATGGACATGGAATACATTCTCCTCCAGACCAATTAGTTTATGAGGGTGAAGATAATTTTGGAGTTGGATATAATGTGCAAACAATACTTTACAATAGAGAAAATGAGGTGAGAAATTTTGAAAATTTTTCTGAAAATTTCAAAAAAATTCTTTCTGATTTTTAAAAATTTCAAAAAAATTTTTTGGTTTTTAAAAATTCATAAAAATTTTCAAAAAAATTTTTTAAAATTTTTTTCTCAAATTTTCAATTAAAAATTAATTTTGTAGGAACGTGCATCACTTATTCAACGCTCTTCAGGCCGACAATAATTTGAAAAATTGAATTATAAATAATTTTAAATCGCTCAAATCCTTAGTAGATTATCCCCCTTTACGAGCAATTTTTTAAAATTTTCGCAAAATTTCCTGCCGAAAAAATTATTTTTTAGCCTTCGCGATTTTTAATTCTTTCAATTTTTAATTCATTTTAAATAGAGTGGCATGGCCTTATTTTAAATTTTATTTTTAAATAACCACAATTCTGCACAATTTTCACTTAAAATTAATGTATTTTCTCTACTAGAGATTGGTTGCTTAACTTGAAAAAAATTATTTTGCTCATTTTAATTGTCTACAGATTATGCATTCTGTGCGCAGAACACAGATTCTTTCGATGCTTCAGCAGAATCTGTGGAATAATTAAAATAGAATTTCTGTGGCAGTGCACAGAATGCAGAACACAGATCTTTGGTAAATAGGCTCCAAGAAAAAATTTTTTTTCTGAAAATGTTTTGTGATAAAAATTATTTTGGAGGGAAGGCCAAAAATTCATTCAAATTAGGAAAATCAAACAGGTAATCGAGTAAAATAAAATCTTAGCCCAATCTCTAGTAATTAATTTTGAGTAAGGCTGTTTGGTGAAAGGCTAAGAAACTAAGAACTTTTTTGATTCGATTTCGACTGTCAGAAAAAGTTTTAGAATATGTATCACCCAACAACCCTCCCTAGTCTCTAATAATTTCTATAAATTATACATGGTCTTACAAAATTGAATAAAGCCCGGGGATTTTATTTTTTCGGTTTATGTAGTAGACATTGAATAATTTATAGAAATTAATTTTTATTTTCTTAATTTTTTCACCACACAAATAATTTGCTTTCAACAATTCGCAAATTCCGCAACTCTTATTTTTGTGAAAACTTTCTTTTAAAAATATTTATAAACTAGTCTAGGTCAAATTTTTGGATTATTAAATACCCCAGAAACTCTCCAAAAAATCCAAATTTTTGACCTAGATATGGATCTGTCTTTTCTTTTTTTGAAATTTCTATTCGTGCTAATTACTATTTTCTTTTAATTTCCAGTTCAGTAAATCTATTTGAGTGTAATAAATTTAATACTGATAAAATAAAATCTCGATATAGACTTATAGAGATAGATACAAGAGTAATCCCCTTTACCCTCCCCCTGAACTAGAGTTGGGCAAAACGATACTGGTATCGGCCAACCCGAGACCGAGATTAACCGATACTCAAGAACCCGATACCGAGACCGATACCAACATTTTGAGCCGAGACCGATACCGAGAAACGATACTGACCGAGACTAACAAAAAATTTTATTTTACGTCAAATATACGTGTAAAAATAATTTATTCATTATTTTCATCATCCAAATCATCGGAGAAATACTCTTCATCATCTGGATCCGATTCGATTGATGGTTAACATCCTTTTTTATGAAAAATACAATAGTAGGATTTATAGGTAAAAGGATCTCGGCTTGTCCAACTCTACCCTGAACCCTCTTGGCGGCATGTTTCTTTGATACGGTCCGGGGGGGGGAGATCTGGATCCGACAATCCTAATATACGTAGAAGTCCAACTATAAACTAAATAGAATATTAAATTTATATCCAGTTATTTATCTGTGGCCGTCCAAAAGGAAATTATTTATAATTCCTTTCCCTGTGTTATTTTATGCAAACTTTTTTGTCTTAATTTTCAAGAATACATAACTAGTAAAATAAATTTTCTAAAATTTAAAAGGAATTTAAAAAATAATTTTTAGGATTTTTAGGATAAAGGATTTTTTATTAACGCTTCCGGTTTGGTTAACCGTCCGCAAGCAAACTAATTGAAAGTATAACTAAATTATAAAGACGTTTTACTTAATATCTTTTATTTAATTGCACTTAAATTTAATGTTTGAATGCGAACAGAGATCTAACTTACAATACATTTAAATAAGATATATTTTTGTATGTCAGTGTCGAAAACTGGCAATTTTAATTTTGTGTAAAGAAAAGACCGAACGAATAGATTAAAGAAAAAAATCTAGTAAAGATTTTGAGGCTGAAGCCTGCACCCCAACACGGTGCCTAGACTTGATCCCGTAAATCATCAAGTTTTCGGTTTGGTTCGAAATTGACAACTTACTGAAGACCGAAAATTAGCAAGACAAGACGATTTTTTTATCCAAAGTGTAAATTCTTGGTTTATTTTTTCTGCGTTATATACGACCACATACATATAATTTTGAATTTATAGGAAATAATCATAAAAATATATTGTCTTGCGATGAGGGCGCCAAAATTGATCAAGAATCAAAGTTGATCAAGAAGAGTCTTAAACGTCTATAAAAGATGTTTTTATAAGTTCCATAATATTCCTATTTTTGTTTATCATTTCAATGATTTAAAATTTGACACTGTATAATTTAAAATTTTGATAAAATTTTTTTTATATCCCCAACTACCATCGTTGATTATTAATCCATCTATTTTCTTGATTCCCTCTAATTCCTTCCTCATCTATTTCATCACCATCAGAATCAATTATTGGATGCCTGTATAAATGTAATGCTGACCCATTAGCTCTAGCAGCTTCCGCAACTGTTTGTTTTCCTATTGAAGATGTTGGGTAACTGCTGACTCTTTCGGTTGTTGAATCTTGAATTAAAAATTTTTATTGGCTTCGGGAGTGAATGAAGCTGTCCGTATGATATCAAATTTTGGATTGATTAAAGTAACCACAAGGGATTTTATATACTTGTTAGTTGAAGGTAACATCGGTACTCCAGGGTTTACAAGCCTCCTTGGAGCGTGCCACCCTGCAAGTGCGATACAGGGACTACACTGAAGCAGACTTCATGTACTACCGGCGGACATCAAAATTTAGTCTCTTGTTAAGTGCATGTCGGGGGGGGGGGGTATCTTAGGGGGTAGGGGTATCTTATATTGAGTTCAAATAGTAATAAAAATCATTATTAAGGCTGTGATAGTTAGGCAAGTAAAATTAGTGAAATAGGCGCCTAAAATAGGCACAAAAAAGCCAAAAAAGGCACAAAAATAGGCAGGTAAAAAAGGTTATCAGTAAAGCTGTGATAGTTAGGCATGTAAAATTAGTGAAATAGGCGCCTAAAATAGGCATCAAAAAGCCAAAAAAGGCACAAAAATAGGCATTTAAAAAAGGTTATCAGGCCTATAAAATTAAGGTAAAAACAAAAAAATAACCATTTAATCGTCATTTTATAAATTATAAACTATTTATTAAACTTTGCCATTTATTTGCCATTTATTCGACATTTTGAATCATTTTTTGAAAAAAATAGATTAAATTTTTTTAAAATGTCGATAATTGACAAAATGGAAATCTCATCCAACACACAAAACGCCGCACCCCAAAACGTCCCAAAACCAAATCTTCCCAGTTCAAAATGTCCAACAGCGTAAAAATAAACAATTTAACGAACTAAAAATCAATAATGGGACTTGGCACTGATTTTTTCCAATTTTGGACTGATTTTTTTAGATTTTGCACTGATTTTTAGGCAAAATTTCGAAAAAATCGCTAAAAAAGGCAAAAATAGTACCAAAAATTTAAAAATAGGCAAGAAGGCACAAAAAGTCCAAAATAGGCAAAAATAGGCAAATTAAAAGTCATGCTAGACTCTTCGGGCCAAGCTAAAAACACGTTTTTTGAACGTATTACATCATCCCAAGCTTGCAGAAAAAATAGGCATTTGCCTATAAATCACAGCCTTAATCATTATAAATTACCCGGCTTCGAACTAATCTGACTACTTCCTTTTTCCTCATCTTTAATAGGTCTGAGAAAAGTCCCAATACTCATGTCAGACTTTTCCCTCCCAGAATGACTCATTGATGCAAGTAACTGCCGTTGTTGTGACATTTCTCGCAAATGATGTTGTGACTCTCGAAGATTTAAATATTGCTCTAATTGATTCTTTGGAGTTTTATAATCCCGCCAATGTTGTCCTTCTCTTCTTCCAAAAAATATAAAACTTAGACAGAGAATACAAAGAAGACAGAAAACTGCGAGTAGAGGGAAGACCTGAAAATTTTGTGATCATTTTTAAATTCAAATAAAAGTGCGTGAATGAGGGTACATTTCAGCACGGAGTTGATAACTTGAGAAATATGAGCTTTTAACTTGTTATTTGATTAGAAACCGGACTTGGAATGTTGCACAAGAATTGAGATTGATATATCGAAAAATATCAATCTCGGTAACCTATAATTTCCTTGAGGTCCTACTTTTGATATCATTAAAAAGAAATTAAATTTTGTTATGATTAAAGTTATAAATCAAACCTATCTCTATAATTAGAAATATAATTAAATTATAAAAAAAGTTTTATTTAATATCATTTATTTAATTAATCTTAAATTAAATATAAGAATGCAAATGGAATCTCACTTACGTTACATTGAAAGTACTATATTTTTGTATGCCAGTGATAATAACTGGCAATTTTGATTTTTTGTAAAAATAAAAGACCGAAAAATTAAATTAAAGAAGAAGCCCGAAGATCTAGACTGAAGACCAAGACTAAGGCTGAAGACCAAAACTACTCCCCAAGACGACCCCGAAAATTATCGGTTCGATTCGAAACCGACAACCCTATTTAAGACCAAAAATTTGAAAGACTCAAGACAATTTTTTGGACTTAAAGGCAAAGGGTTTATTTTTAGTGCGTTTTTTTGAATCTAGATACCAATTTTTCTAAAATCGCTACAGAAACCAAAGATAGGTATCAGTATTTCCTTATTGATATCGAACCGTTAACGGCTTCAATTATAAATTTTCATTGCCCTATCGAAATTAAAACATTCTTTACTTACCAAAACACTTTCCCAAATATAATAAATAGGAGGGGCTGGCAAATGTTCATTTTCTGTTTTAAATATTTTGTAGCTAGAAGTATTTGCTGTTTTTATTCCCAAAATACTTCCCTCTTCGTTGTTTTCTTCTGTTCTAAGATTTTTTCCATCTTTAACCTTTTTTCTTAAATATTGTTCTAAATCTGCTGGAATTGTGACGTTTTTCTTAAAAAAATTAATTTTTAATGATAAAAATTTATTGTTGTTACCCCGCACATGTATTGACACAGATTTATTCAAACACCCCTATTTGATACCATTGCCAAAAAATAAAACTCAATTTACGCTAAGCCTTTTTTAATTTATTTACCCATAAGAAGGACATACCGCCAATTTAAGATACTCCATAAAATACAGCTTTACATCCTCACGATATCTAGCAACGGGAACACTGTTGAGAAAAATGTTGGGTCGGGTTTTTAAAATTTCTTACAACAGATTTTTGGTTCGGATAACCCGGCCCCTTGTATCTAGTCCAACGTTTCAATATTTAAGAAATCTCTTATTGAACTCGTCAAGTTCCCCGCTTGTGTCATTTTACCTTACTTTTATAATTTGAATTCTTAATAACTGGGTAAAATAAAATTAATTGCTAACCAAATAAAATTTGCACCAATCAACTCTAAATTCTGGATAAAAATGTCTGTCCATTGGAATGTTTTGATTTAGAGAACAAAATTCAGTATTTGAATGCATTCCACGAGCAAATAGTTGAACATTTGGGTGAAAGTTTAGTTGGGTGCCGATTTGAATTATTGCCCTTTAATGTGAATAAATAAAAAAACACATTTATAATCCTTAGATTATCCTCGTTCACATATTTATTAATCTTCGGAGTAAGGAATTTGAAAAATTCTGAATCCGGTATCTGGATTTTTAATTTTTCTCGAGAAAACGCAGTCGGTTCGAGAAATCTGAAGATTTTCCTAAAATCGAAAAATCTAACTACCTATAATATTTTTCTAAATTTATGAACAAAATATAAGCTATGTTAACTTTAGCGAAGTTATATGAGATCAAATTTTTATACAATTTATTTAATATAATCTATTTAAATTATATTAAAGTAAATGTTTGTCTTTTACCCGTTAGGTGTTCTTAAGGCCCGCAATATTATGTGCGTAGTTTTGAATGTCAATGTTCTATTGACAGATTGGACTGCTCATTTATAAAAATTTAGTCATTCCCAAAAGGATTAGGTATTTATCGGGATTGTTTTTATAAAAATTTTAGCAAATTTTGAACTTGAAATTTTTCTATCAAGAGTATCAATAGTCAAATTTTGTATCCCAATTATATTTATATGTACTTGCTTCTTCTATATACACGTAAAAATATCCTACTAAATTTAGGCTATAAACATTTTTTAAAGTTGATTTCCCACCGAGACAAGCTATAAGTACTCACATACATACGTGTCCGGTAGTTTCGTCAGAGGTTAGTTTCGTCAGAGGACATTTTCGTCAGAATCAGTTTCGTCAGAGGTTAGTTTCGTCAGAGAACAATTTCGTCAGTGGGCTGTCTCGTCAGAGATCAGTCTCGTCAGAAGACAATTTCGTCAGTAAGGCTCCCTTTTTAAAAATCTGAAAAAATCTGATTTTTGACTTATATGTACTAGGTTTTTTGTTTATGGATCGATTTGAACAAATGAGATGTTATTCGAAAGAGCTCTGAAAACTGAGTCGAACGAGTTTTGGAAGAAGTTGATCCAACATTCAGAGACCGAGTTTCAGACTCCTGAATCGTGAAAAACAATAAGGAGGCTCAGCTCGTCGAGCTGGAGTCAGCTCGACGTTCTGATCTGAATGAGTTATCATTTGTTAACTCGAAATTTTCAGCTCAAAAATCAGCTTTTCTAAGCTCTTTCAAATGACACCTTATTTGTTCAGATCAATCCAGAAACAAAAAACCTAGTATAAGTCAAAAATCAGATTTTTTCAGATTTTTAAAAAGGGAGCCTTACTGACGAAATTGTCTTCTGACGAGACTGATCGCTGACGAAACAACCCTCTGACGAAACTGTTCTCTGACGAAAAAGGCCTCTGACGAAACTGATTCTGACGAAAATGTCCTCTGACGAAACTAACCTCTGACGAAACTACAGGGCACCCATACATATATAAGATACTCATTATTCGATACGATTTCTATCTAGTGTACTTTTCAAAAAAATATTTATTACCCAGTTCTAATATTCCCCTGAAATTGTCTCAATAAATCCAAAGCATTTTCTGTACCCGGCAAAATGTTAAAAATATATGGGTTGACATGTTTGCCTTTAAATGTTGAGTGAATTGCCTAAAGAATTTTGATTAAAAAAAATTTTTTTTAATCAAATTATTTCCAAACCCTTTCCAAATTTTTTATTTTATCATCCCTTCCAACTCCCCATAAAAGCTCCTCGGCATTAACATTGGTTAAATAAATTTCTGCAATTTGTCTAGTTGTGCCAGAGTATCTAGCTAAATAAATAACTAAAAATTTTGGAATTTTTTTGGTAAATTTCTTTGTTTTTGTGATTAAACGGCGGTTAGTTAAATGTCTAGATTTTACTTAATATAATATATTTCAAATAAATTGAATACATATTAGGGTTTCGCCGGAAGTTCCGGTTCCGGTTCCGGGTTCCGGAAGTTCCGGTGTTTTTTTGGTTCCGGTTCCGGTTCCGGGAACCGGAACTCAAATTGGTTCCGGTTCCGGTTCCGGCTCCGGTTTACAAATCGGTTCCGGCCAAACCGGAACTTTTTTACACCCCTAAGGATTAGTTTTTTAAAAAAAAAAGTAATAAAATACTAGTACTCTCATACTTGTAATAAAAAAATCGAAAGAAATATGTATATTTTCTTTCAGTTGATTTCTGATGAGCGTGTGTCCGAGTGGTTAAGGGTTTGGGCTTCACTCAATGTGTTCATGATTTTAAGTTGGGTTCGCTTCCCAATCGTAGGACAAAAAATATTCAAATTTTTCTTTCAATAAATAAATCATTTTATGAGTTTAATTTTGTTTTAAAAATTATTTTATTTTTACATGGAGTAATTAAGGTTTTTTGGCCCTCTAAAATTCTTAAAATATTTCATATGATTTTTTTGCTTACAGCCTTCTTAAATTTTCAAAATTTTCGCCTGCGGCGCTGAAAAAGAAAGTTGAATGGTATAACGGATTATTTGGATGGATTAATGTGGATTTTGATGTGGACCCCATTACAATTCTGATTTTTTATATCGTCCGATATCAAACACTTATAACACCAAATCCGTTATACACCACTCTCTAACCCAAATATATCACTTATCGCCGACAAATTTTCGGTTCAGTTTTGGTTAATCAAAAGTCTCGGTTAGGTTCGGTTTCGGTTAACCGAAGAAGTTGGTGAACAGACAACTCTACTTAAACTACAAATTTTTTAAAATTTGCTAGCAAAAATTTTTTTAAAAGTTCCGGTTCCGGTTCCGGGCCGGAACTTTGAAAAGTTCCGGTTCCGGTTCCGGGAACCGGAACTCAAATTGGATCCGGTTCCGGTTCCGGTTCCGGTCAAAATTTCGGTTCCGGCGAAACCCTAATACATATTGCTATGCCAGGTTATAAGAAATTGAATAATAATATGGTGAGCCTTATTTTTTGTATGCTGGAGCAACGCTCCGGCAAAATTTATTTTTATGTGAACGGTAAGGTTGATGTCAAAATTTTTGAGACTAATAAAGTAATTTCAAAATTTTTCAATTATATGATAATCGCTGGTTGTAGCGAATTTTTAATAGGCCCTAAATCGAAATTTACACACACATAAGGCGAAAATATCTATTAAAGAGTCTTAATCCTGTTTTACGAGCATTATTTAAGCGCCAGAATCCCAATTCTGAATAAAACTATTTAATTTATTCCAATATTTCAGCAAAATTTGGGTAAATCAATCCCTTGTTACACAAATTTTTCAAGAACAGCACTATAAAACAGGAGGGTGCCGTTTCGCCTTTCGTTCCTAAAGAAATTCCTCTTTTCTGTTTAAATATTTTTCGACACCTCCCGGCCGTATAATTAAAGTTACAATTTTTTCGAGTCAGATATGAACAAAATTATTGGTCTTGGTCTTGTTATTCATTTCTCATCTATGAAGGATTTGCAATAATGGATGGCTCCATTAGGCATAAAGGGAAATTTTACGGTTATAGACACAGAGATTAGTGGATCAAGAAATGTTAGAGTCTACGGTTTCGGATAACAAACTTTAACATATTAAGTAAAATGATTTTTTTGTTTAACAGGGACTCGGAGGATATACGTTTAAAAAATTAAAAATTAATTTACGGTCATCGTTAGTGACAACACTAAAAGACTGTTCAGAGCTTTGAAAAGAGTCCATCCTTGTAGCTATAATATGTAAAGGGAAGTGGGAATGTGGAGATACTGGGGTTCCAATTAAAAAAGCAATGGAACGGTGTCTAGAAGGAATTAAATGCATCCATTGAGGTAATGTTGGACGTCCACGGGTTGAAGCAGACCATTTTACATCAACTTTAAATTTTGTTTAAGAAAATATTTGTTGGTAAAATTTACCAGTTTGAGGAAAGAAATAGGCAGAATGGAGCATATGAACGAAAAACTAAAAAAGAAAATTTTTAGAAAATCTGGAAAGTTTATTGAACAAGGCAGACAATCTCGCAATAAGTAGATTTATAAGTAGACGTGTCAGTTCTTGAAAAATCTTAAGATACCCGGAAGCGAACCGAAAAATCAGTAGTTCTTCAGTCTGTTACGAAAGCAGAACAATTCGAAAGTCCCCACAATTACGCATTCATTCATTTCTTTAATGATTTTTCAGTTGATCACCGTTATTCAGATAAGTGTGCCTATTATATATGGCTTAAATCACACAGAGAAAAGAGGACCTCCTTGACTCTTTCAAAATTTTACATCAAACAAACTTACTTAGTATTAAATATTTTATTTACTATTAATTGTAAGAACATTAGGGACACAAACTTATTTTCCGCTCATCATGAACTTTGAATTTTTGAATGTCAATTTAATAAATTGACAGATTTTGTATTGCAGCACGTAACGTGGATTTTAATTTATTGACTTACGGTTGTGCCTACTACTAAAAGAAAGAACGGACAATAAAAATCACAAAACAATAAAAATGAGTGACTAAGTTTATCGCTTTTTAGAAAATCCTCGGATGCCTATTCAGACCGATGGATCTAAAGAAAAATCCTTGGTTCTTGGATTCTGTCTCGAATCGACAACTTTATTCATGTTAAAGGTTTTTGGCTGTTTATGATTTTATTTTAAATCTGGTACGTATTGCAACCTCAATGAAAATATAGACGATATTAAAGAGAATATGGAAAAACTTTATTTAAAATACCCGAGATTAAAAAAATAAAATTTAAATTTTAAAGACCTGTCCTTTAACAGCTCTCAATTCCGCTGCATGTTCTCGAATATTTTGACAATTAATTAAATTCAAAACAAAATAAATAAAAATTGATTTTAATTGAATTTTCATTTTATTTCTTGGAAGAAAAGAACTTTTTTACTTCCTTTTTGCAATTTAGTCAATAATTTTTTTAAAGAAAATAAACACCTAAAGGGTCGAAGGGATGATTAGCTTTTTTAAAAGCTTTTAAAAGATGAGACAGACAGCTGACTATTATAAATTTTCTTTATTTTTTAAATATTTTTCTAAATTTAAAAATGTTTGTGGGAAGAAAACTTTTAATTTTTTTGAACTAAAATTTTTTCATAGAGAGTAATTTTTTTACAGAGGTATTTTAATTATACAGTCGGAACAAAGAAAATTCAAGGGAAATTTTACTTAATATATTATATTTAATTTGAAATTTTATTAAGAAAAAGTTGTTCTTCAAATTTTTTGTTCTATGTATATTTGGCAAAAAACGTGAATAAAAAGCTTGAATCAACTTGAGTGTGTTCGGTTCTACGTCAACGCTTGATGGAGTCCTTTGCCACGTTAACGATTGCTGTAGTCTTTTGCCGTGTTGCGCTGGGTAGATGTGAGCCCTAGAAATCTTAGATAAGTCTCGAAGAAATGGTTATTATTCGATTTTGCTCAGAACAGATCTTTAATTGTGCTTTCGAAATTATTTATTTACTTATATTTTGCTTTAACTTACAAAAATTAATTATTTACAATAAATTTTACAAAATTTTAAAAAGTAAAATATGGCAATAAAGATTTAAAAATATTTTAATATTTTAAAAATCAAAAAAAAAGGGAAGAAAAAATTTAAGCTTTTTTGATCAATTAGAAAAGAGATCAAAAAAATTATTTTTTATTGGGTTACAGTTAAAATGAAAAATGTGAGAAGAATATAAAGACATCAACAGACATTCGAAATACTTTCCTGACATTTTCGATCCTTCCATACAGTTGGGGATGGGTTCCGTAGCTGTTCTATTTACATGTTCGGGACCTACACCAACTGAGTCTGGGATCGTTTTTTACCCTATTCTTCGAAACTTTTGAAAAAAAAACTCGAACATGTAGAACAACTGTTAAACACAGGGAAAATTCAAATTTTTGGTTGAATTTGTCCCTAAATTTAATTTTGGATAGTGAATTTACTGGGCAAGGCTGTCTCGCAATAGAAAAATATTCGAAAATCGAAATTTCAAAACAATACTGATATCTTGAGACATTTAATGGCTATAAACATATAGGATATTAGTAAGATTTTTTTTAATTTAGGGATAGATACAACTTCTAAATTTTAATTATTAAATTTTGGCTGGTTTAGGTTTATTTTTTTGGTACAAATTATGAGTATTTATAAGGCGTTAAAAGGGATAGAGAGAGATAATATTCACCCGTTTTTAAAATTTTTTTTAATTTTCAAAATTCAATTAGCTTCAACTTCGTCTATTTTTGATGTTTTACGTTGTTCCTCAATTAATTGTTTTAATTGTTGTTGGTGTTGTTGTATTGCTGATTCTGCTTTTGCTGTTTGGCGACGATGTAGAGGGGCATCTTCTGCGGTTAATTCTGTTGCTGCCGATCCATCGATGCAGGCAGCAGCTGCCATTGAGGCTCTGGGGCCGTTACGTCCTTTATCATCTGGTTTGAGGGCAGTGGTATTTTCCTGATAGGGAATAAGTTTATTAGGATTTGGCACAAAAATATAAAAATTTCAAAATGTTAAAAATTTGAAATAGTAAAAGTTCATCCTTGTTTTAATGTCTATTGTTTAAATGTTCCCTTCACCCTACATCCCATGTTCCCTTCGCCCTACATCCTATGTTACCTTCGCCCTACATCCTATGTTCCCTTCGCCCTACATCCCATGTTCCCTTCGCCCTACATCCCATGTTCCCTTCGTCCTACATCCTATGTTACCTTCGCCCTACATCCTATGTTCCCTTCGCCCTACATCCCATGTTCCCTTCGCCCTACATCCCATGTTCCCTTCACCCTACATCCCATGTTCCCTTTGCTCTACATCCCATGTTCCCTTCGCCCTACACCCCATGTTCCTTTCGCCCTACATTCAATGTTCCCTTTGCTCTACATCCCATGTTCCCTTCGCCCTACATCCCATGTTCCCTTCGCCCTACATCCCATGTTCTCTTCGCCCTACATCCCATGTTCCTTTCGCCCTACATACACTGTTCCTTTTACCTTATGTTAAATACACTTTCGCCCTATGTCAGATGCCTTCACCTTACGTTTGATTTCCTTTATGTCTTACTTCTAAGTTCCCTCCAACCTACATATGTCTAAAGTTCCCAAAAACCCCAATAAACTTAAAATGCCAAAAATCAAAATATCAGAATCAGAAACTGCAAATTTTTTCAAATTTACATCTGAGGAGGTAGTTCCACTCTTTTTACGATGATGATCATCATCATGATTAGTCCCCTCAATAATTTCTTGCCCAGAGAGGTCGCATTTACATTTGCTGTGTTTGGCTTTACATTGTTGGCAATCACTACTTTCTGAGGTATTTTTATTTGTTCCATTTAAATCAACTTCTGTATTAGAGCGATTCTCAATATTCTATAAATAAAGAGTTTAGATGAATAAAAATTCATATTTGGTTGGTCCCTAGGTGAGGAAAGGCCATCTAAATTTCAGCCAATTTCAGTAAAGCACAGGTCAAGCTTTACCCCTCATTCCAGTCAAACTTTAGCCCTCATTGTAATTACAACTCTTGGGGTCGAACTAAACCTACCTTATAAAGATGTGTATCTTACATAGAGGGTATCCAGTGGCCACAAGGATTTTAGAAATTTATAGGTGTGTTTTGTTATCGTTATATATAAAGGATGGGTCGGATTACCCAAAAGGCGGTCCTTTTTCGGCACGAAACTCAACTGAGAAAATTTCAAGATCCGACCTGATTTTTTCTCAAACCGACCCATCCCTATCACATAGAAGTTTGAATGTATGTTGTCTTATAAATTAGGAGGATATGATCATTTCCCGAGATATCTATCTCTGAAATGAGCTAATTAAGTAAAGGAGAATATTCCAAATTGAAAGAATCCTTTTTTTAATTTTAAAATAAAAATTCCACACCTTTCTCCTAAAAAGTCTTGAGAAAAATTCCCCCATCTTTGAATGATGTTGAGAATTTAAATGAGCATTATTAGCCGTTCCTGCATCTTTTCTCAAGTCAGAAACAATAACTCCATTAATATAAAAATGATTAAGCTCTCTAAAACATTCTGTTTCAATCATCTAAAATTTTAAAATTAAAAAAGTTTTTCAAGTTCTTCACAGACTTCATTCTGCCAAGGAATTGAGACAGAACCAGTATTGAATTTTTTGTAGAAATCTTTGTCACCGTCGTCCAGCCTGACTCCTTTTACTGTGCTGAACTAAAAAATAAAAAAAAATGTTTTAGTTGAAGACTTCGAGTCCGTTTAATGAGCATTAGGATGAATATGATAAAGATTAACTAGTTAAACTGAGGGAATTCATAAGGGAAAGAGAGTATGTTAGGTGTCAGATGCGTAAAAAAATTTTAATATTACATAATATAATTTATTTAATTTAAATTTTTTCAAATATTAAATTTTCATTTATTATCGGGGTCGAGCCTCTTTTAGTTATTTGTGTATTTTTGGATGTCAATTTACTAAATTGGCAAGACTTCAACTTATACTTTTAATCACCCTATACCGGAGCAGGACTAATAGGCGCAGCCGAATAGGCGCAGACGAATAGGCGCAGCCGAATAGGCGCGGAGACAAATAGGCGCAAGACGAATAGGCGCGGGACGAATAGGCGCCCGAAGTTATTTTTTCCTAGATATTTTTTTTGATTTTTTCTTCTGATTTTTTTGTTCTAATTTTGTTCTGATTTTTTTGTTCTGATTTTTCTGTTCTGATTTTTTCTTCTGATTTTTCTGTTCTGATTTTTTTGTTCTGATTTTTCTGTTCTGATTTTTCTGTTCTGATTTTTTCTTCTGATTTTTCTGTTCTGATTTTTTTGTTCTGATTTTTTTGTTCTGATTTTTTTGTTCTGATTTTTCTGTTCTGATTTTTTCTTCTGATTTTCTTGTTCTGATTTTCTTGTTCTGATTTTTTTCTTCTGATTTTCTTGTTCTGATTTTTCTGTTCTGATTTTTCTGTTCTGATTTTTTCTTCTGATTTTCTTGTTCTGATTTTTTTCTTCTGATTTTTTGTTAATTTTTTTCTGAATTCATATTTTCGCCTTGTTTGGACTAAAGATAAGATGGTTCTGTGAGAAGAGGATTAGAGATCGGCAAAATCGCATTTCCGGGATCCCGTAACGGGATTGAGTTTGAAAATATCGAACAGGAGGGATCCCGCGGGATTAATCCCGTTAATCCCGAAGTCCCGGTAATCCCGTTCTCAAATTTACCGGGATCCCGCGGGATTCCGGGATTTTCACAAAAAAATTTTTAAAGTATAAATATGTTGAATATCCGCGGATATGGTGACAATATTGTGGATTTAGACGGATTAAGGGAGTATTGAATAGATATCGAAGGATTAAAAGGGATATCAGTGGATTAAGAGGGATTATGAGGAAGATTTAGTCGGATATATTTGGATTGATAAAGGGTGATGTCAACAGATCCACGATATACCTCTTAATCCATAAATCCCTTTTACGCTCTATTGTCCTCCAAATCCTCTTAACACTCGTAATCCATGCACCACAGGCAAAACTTTTCGAATTTTGGAAGGAGAAGCCGACTTTAGCCCTCAATATACTTTTAATCCCCATATCCTCGATATACTTCTTAATCCATTAATCCCTGATACTACCTATTATCCTCCAAATCCCTCTTAATCCGGTGTTAATCCCAAATTCATGATACTACAGCCCAAAAATCAACAAAAAATCAGAAGAAAAAAATCAGAACAGAAAATCAGAAGAAAAAATCAGAAAAGAAAAATCAGAACAAAAAAATCAGAAGAAAAAATCAGAAGAAAAAATCAGAACAAAAAAATCAGAACAAAATTAGAACAAAAAAATCAGAACAGAAAAATCAGAACAGAAAAATCAGAACAAAAAAATCAGAACAAAATTAGAACAAAAAAATCAGAACAAAAAATCAAAAAAAATATCTAGGAAAAAATAACTTCGGGCGCCTATTCGTCCCGCGCCTATTCGTCTTGCGCCTATTTGTCTCCGCGCCTATTCGGCTGCGCCTATTCGTCTGCGCCTATTCGGCTGCGCCTATTAGTCGTGTACCGCCCTATACACTTTAATCTTATTGTTAGCACATCATATATAATTCAAATTTTGTCTACGCGAAAGTATTCAAAAACTATAAATTACCTGTTCAATATCCAATACATCTTTGGCATAAACAGAATGAGGGTCAGGACAAAATGGAGGGGCAAGCTGAAATATTTTTATTTTGAATAATTTTGTTAAAAATGAGAAGAAAAATAATATCTTCTAATCACTAAACCCAAATATTAACCAAAATCCCCCATTAAATTCACCTTTCGGATACCGGTGGCCCACTCAGAAACGGGTCAAATTATATACCATTCGATTCGTCTCGGCGAGCTAAGTCGAATGGTACCACTCTTTTTTTGCGGAAATTCCTATGAGCCGAGATATAGGTCCTTGAAAACCGAAAAACCAAAGGGGGGACCAAGCACTTTTTTGGGGCGAAAAATTCGAAAATGCAAATTATACCTCATTCGAAAGAGCTCGTCGAGCTGAGTCGAATGACACCAAAATCAACAAAATCCGACTTGATTGGACCGAGATATAGGCCAGTGAAAACTGGTAATCCATTGGGGTGATTTTTGAAATTAAAATTTTTTCACCATATTATAGTTCATTCGAAAGAGCTCGAAAAGCTGAGTCGAAAGACATAAAAATCACCAGGATTGAACAAGCTTAGACAAAGTTACATCACAAAAAACAAGCAACATAAACCTATGGGGCATCGGCGAGGCGCTTGTGCAAAACTCCGCGCTTCGCGCGGAGTTTTGCGGCACGCGCCTCGCGGGGAGTCTACGGGCGCTGGGTCTGGGCTCGTAACATAAACCTATTCCTATCTCCCTTGCTCTGGACGTATTTGGGGCCTCCGTAGCACCAAAAATCTCCACAGATGCCATAGGTAAGGAGCTAAAATAAAAGATCATAACTTTGTCAATTCAAGTCGGATTTTGTCGATTTTGTTGATATTCGACTCAGCTCGACGAGCTCTTTCGAATGAGGTATAATTTGCATTTTCGAATTTTTCGCCCCAAAAAAGTGCTTGGCCCCCCTTTGGTTTTCGGTTTTCAAGGACCTATATCTCGGCTCGTAGGAATTTCCGCAAAAAAAGAGTGGTACCATTCGACTCAGCTCGCCGAGACGAATCGAATGGTATATAATTTGACCCGTTTCTGAATGGGCCACCGGCTAAAGTACAGCCCACCTTTCCAGCCTCCATTTTTTTCCAAGGCACAGGTTCCCTCCCGGTCCTTGCATCTGCTTGGGTAAAGAAAGGATGGGCTTTTAATTCCTCAGCTCCATCCTCAGGCCTTCCAACACGTCTACATCCCAATCTAAGTGTTGGCTCTTTATGTAGCAATCCTCTACACAAAGTTCTAGCCGCGTCAGTAAATTTTTCTCCATATTTTTCTGTATCTTCCCGAACTCTTCTTTCAACCTCTTCACGTTTAACTTTTTCCTTGCGTTGTCGAAATGGAGCTTTTCCTTCAATCATTTCGTAGATTAGACAGCCTAATCCCCACCAATCTACTCCATAACTGTATCTCTCGTTTTTGACTATTTCTGGTGCTGAAAAAGAGGAAAATTTTTATGAGAAATTTTTTTAATTTTCGGATACTAGAGGTAACCTCGATCTATCGCTGCCCGACGCTTTTCTTTGAAAATTCTTTTGGAGGTTATGAAAGTTCAAATCTAATCAAGTATCTCGTCGAGCTAAGTTTAATAGTACCAATCGACTCGAAAATTGGTTAATGGTAGACTGGCCTATTGCTGTAGAAAGCAAGGATGGGTAGCTATAGCCCACGGATATCGAAACCTGGACATTTTTCAACCCGAAACCCTGCCCGACTTTTTCTCAAACCGACCTAGCACTGTCACAGCTCTCTTTTTATTTCGCGACTTTTAATTTATCCAGCTATGTTAATTATACACTTTATAATATTTTTTAAAAGTTTTTCTCGAATATCCCCCCTTAATATTCTAAAAATCTCCCTTTCTTCCTCTTTTTACTTTTCAATTCCCTACTAAAAAATTCCATCGTCATTTTGCCAATGACAAAGTTCCGCTTCGTTTGCTCTAAAAAAGAGCAGTGCATAGAAAAGGCAAATTCGATTTGGCCATAAATTTAAATAAAAAATAAAAATTTTTTTCTAAATTTGCACCAAACAGACAAATCTTAACTTTAATAAAGAGAGTAAAGGAAAGCTTTTTCTTCTTTTTTTGAGCTTAGAAATAATTTAATATTAAAGTTTTGCATAAATAAAGTATGTATGTAGAATAATGCCAAATTTTATATAGAAAAAAGCTTAGAATTATATACAACCGGAACTCATTATAAGATAAACGCTTGGGATTGGAAAATCTGTAGCTTATAATGAGGGGTGACTTAAATTGTGGGAGGCCGGCGAGGCTTCCTCCCAGCCTAACAATTGAGGCAAGAATGAAACAATCTGTCGCTGGGTGAGCTCTCGGGATTAGAATCCATCAGATATTTTACTAGTTTCTGGGACAGGTTTTTACTAGAGTTCAGCGGTATCGGGATTTTGAGAAAAACCCGGGATCGGGATTTAGGAATGGTGATCCCGATCCCGATCCCGGATCCCGACACGGGATCGGGATCAGACGTGGGCGAAACGTTTCGTTTCGTTTCGTTGTTTCGTATGTTTCGTGGGTTTTTTTGAGTATCGTTTCGTTTCGTCACGAAACACTTTTTAATTTGTTTCGTTTCGTTTCGTTACGAAACACCTGTGATTTTTCAACGAAACGAAACAATTTTTTAAGCCCAAACTAAGGCCAAAATCTATAAAATTTACCATTTTTTATTGAAAATTAAAAAAATTTTCGCCTGCGGCGCTGAAAAAAAGAAGAATTTCGGCTGCTTGGCCTTCCCAAATTGTCAAAATTCTCGCCTGCGGCGCTGAAAAAGTTAATTTTTTGGCCTACGGCCTTCTAAAATTCTCAAAAGTTTCGCCTGCGGCGCAGGAAATGGAAGAAATCTAGCTTAAGGACCTTCAAAATTTACAAAATTTTCGCCTGCGGCGCTAAGAGAGAAAGAGTTGTAAACAATTGTAAAAACTCACATGCCCCCCTGAAGCTAACCCCCTGGATACGCCCTTGAAGGATTTTGGGATTAGAGGGGATATAGGGGATTAATCAATAAATCCCTCAATATCTCTTGTAATTCCCAACCCGTAGCCCTTAATCCACCAATTTTAAATGTAAAATAATACCCTATGTCTCTATTAATTCCCCAAATAACTCATTACTCACATCGATAACTCTGTTAATCCTAAATTCCCTCAATACCTCTGTTATTTCCCCAAATCCATTTATAATTGAAAATTTTAAAATTTTTTTCAAAATTTTAAAATTTTTCGTCTGCGGCGCTTAAAATAAAATTTTAGTTGAAAAATATTCAATTTTAAATTTAAAAAAAGCGTCGCCAAAAATTCGGCTCCGAAAACGATTGATCCCCCCCCCCTTCCCCGAAAATTTTCCTTGCTACGGACCTGGCTTATGGGACACAATTGTTGTAAATAAACCAATAACTAAATCATTTATGAGTCATAGGCGACTAATAAAGTATATGAGGTCGAATAATTGCGAAATAAATGCAGTTTTGAAAATTTTTTGAATATTAAAATGTTTCGTTTTGTTTCGTTTCGTTTCGTAAGATTTTGGTTGTTTCGTTTCGTTTCGTTAACGAAACGATTTTTAAAAAATTTTGTTTCGTTTCGTTTCGTCAGAAAAAAATTTTGAGTTTCGCCCAGGTCTGATCGGGATCGGCCGAAATCGGGATCGGGATTTGGGCCGAAGATCCCGATCCCGGTCCCGATCCCGAATCGGGACCGGGATTGAAAAATCGGGATCGGTATTTACTTAAAAAATTTTTCAAAATTTTTAAATTTTCATTTTTTTTACATACAACTCAGATAATTCTAAAATTGCCACTGCAGTGCTGAAATATTGAGTTTAAATCTCATAAACGCATAATTTAATTTCAGGTTCAGGGGATTTAGGTGACATAAGGTAATGGCGGGAATAAATGAAATTGGGCTTCTTCTATTTTAAGCGTCGTAGGCAAAAATTTTGAAAAATTTGGAAGGCCACGGTGTCAGATTTCCTCCCCTTTAAGCGCCGCAGGCAATATTTTTTAATTTTGGAAGGCCAAACTTATAAAATTTGAATGCCAAGAGCATTCAAGTCTAAACGTTCAAGTCTATATGATTAAGTGCGTTACGTGCAAATGTGGACGATTAAGAACTGAGATTGAGGGATTAAGTAGTAAAATCTTAAGATTAAGTAGTAAAATTCATGTAGTAAAATCTCTTAAGCCCTCGATTTCTCTTCAGAAATAAGTTAATCCCTGTAAATCCGCCGATATCCTTCTATACTCCAAATCCACCGGTACTCCTCTCAATCCCTCTTGATTCATCGATATCACACCAAATCACTCAATATTTCGTTAAAGTTGTAAAAACAGCTTTGTTCATTTTTGTGGCGCCGCAGGCGAAAATTTTGAGAATTTTGGACTTTAAGATGCCAAATTTCTTCCAATTTCTGCGCCGCAGGCAAAAATTTTTTTTACTTTCATGCCTCCCCTCTTTTGTTAACTTCATTTCACAGGCTTCTAGTAAATTTATAAAGTCGGGATTTGTATCGGGATCTGATGCACATCCCGATCCCGATCCCGGATCCCGGCTCGGGATTGAGATTGGCCGGGATCGGGATCGGGATATTTATTTCGGGACCGGGATCAGAAAAATCGGGATCGGGATTCGAAAAACCCGGGATAATCCCGCCCGATCCCGACCGGGATCCCGATCCCGCTGAACTCTAGTTTTTACCCATAGAGGTCCCCCAGAGCCTAAACAAATTGCAAAACTTTATCTCTTAAACTGAGTCTTAGCTATATAGGGTATATCTGATAGAGGTTTTAGACTATAAGACTATAAGAAGTCCGTAGAAAAATGATTAAATTTACCCATATATCCAACAGTTCCAACACGGCCTTTAATCGGTTCATTGTCTTTAAGCTCTACAGCAAGTCCCAAATCAGAGATTCGGACATGACCTTAAAAATAAATGTTTTTCAAAAAAAACAGAAAAAAACTAGCCATAATCATCAAGCAAAATATTTTCTGGTTTTAAATCTCTGTAAAGAATTCTCTCTCTGTGTAAATGTTGAAGACCTAAAGTAATTTCTGCTGCGTAAAATTGAGCACGTTTTTCATCGAATCCACCGGGGGAGAGTGTGTAGAGGTGGAATTTGAGATCTCCTAAAAAAAGAAAGTTTTCATTAATGAATGCCATAGAAGAGTTTAGGACTTGAGGAAGAAGAGTTTCTTATTCAATTCTCCCCAAGACTTTGAAAAAAAAAATTTGAGATGATTGAATATTTAAATGGAAGTCAATTCCAGATAGGCCCTAAAGTACAAATTTGGAAATATTAGACGGAGCATCTTGAAGGGGTCAAAGAGATATAAATATTCTGAGAGATCTAATGAGGGTAACAGAGAAACTTAAATTCATTTCCAAGAGACTTTTGTTATTGAATTTTAGTTATACTGAGATTATCGGGGGTTATCCGGTATTTGTCTTAAGATATAATAGTAAGATCTACGTAATTGTCTTGTCTTGCATCGAAGAGCTTTCAGAATCAAGTTCTATCCCATCTTTTGCTATTTTCCGAGATAGATTCGTCTCTTTTACTTATGGAATTTTTAAAAGTTTACGGTATCGAAGCTCTCCGAATCTTACTTAAATTTTAATTAAAATTTATTTATATTTTACCTCCATTCATTAAAGTCAACACCAAACACAAAGCCTCCTTTGTTTCATAAGCATAAGCTAAACTAACGACAAAAGGTGAATTTATTCGTTGAAGTATTTGTTTTTCGTTTAAAGTTAAAGATTCTGCATGTCTCTTTTTTACCCGCTTCTTTTCCAATTTTTTCAAGGCGTACATCTTGCCTGAGGCTCTGACCTGTAAAAAGTTTTTTTTGAAATTTCTGGAGGATTTTTTTTAATTTTTTGGGGAAGGGAGTGAAGATTTTTCAAAAATTTTAGAGGGATTTTAGAAATTTCAAGAAATATTTTTCTCCAATCTTCTCCTTACCTGACAAGCACAAACTTCACCAAATCCCCCCTTTCCAAGTATTCGGTAAAGCCTAAAAGTGTGTTTGTCTACAGGTCTCCTCTCTAGCCATTTCCATTGTAAATAACGATGAAAATAAATCGTTTCCATGAATTGTTTGAAAGGTTCGCCCGCTAATGAACGTCTGACTTCTCTGAGAAATTTAATAGAAAATTAGAATTTTTAATTAATAGAGGTTTACTAAAAAGGAAAAGGAAAAATGAGTGAGCACTAGTTTTTAATTTTTTTAAATAATTTAGCACTAATTTTTCTCTAATTTCCTAACAAATAATGCAAGAAAAAGTGAAGCTTTTTAAACGCTCATTTCCACCGAGGGCGCAAAGAGCTACAGTTATACTGTAATTCTCTGCTTTTGAATTCTTGATTTTGTTTTAAGATAGGGATTTATAATAAAGCAGATATATTTGTTGTGCCCGTACTTAACTTATAAAAAATTGAGCTTTTGCAGTCTTTAAAGAGGATTTGCTTTTTAAAGGGATTTTACTTAATATAATTTATTTAAAATTAAAATTTAAATATAGACAGATCAAATCCACTAGTGTCTTTGTATGTTTGAATGGTGTTTATTAATTTTTGTATGCTTGAGCAGTGCTCTGGCAGATATAGTGAATCTTCTACGAAATTTACGCTGTATGTTAAAATACTGTGATTATAGCTAATAGTTACCCCATGCGGTCAACTAAAAACCAAAATTTATCAGATAAATTTTCTAACATAAAGTTCTCTAATTTCCCCCAATATTACTTTTATAAAATTACTTTGCAAGTCCAGCAAACAAAGTAGTTGAGGGTTGACCAGTTGAATTAGCTGCATCTGTCGATATCCGAACACATTTTTGAATGAATTTATCATTGAGCAATTTATTTTGTTGGGTGGCAGAAATGGAGCTGGGTGAACAAGAAGGGGATAGAGGCTGAAATTCAAAATATTTTTAAAATTTTTTGCTGAAACTTAAGTTAAAATGCTAAACGGAAGGTGGAGAGGAAAATTTTAGAGAATTTCCTATCCCCGTGGAATTGATTCAAAGATCCTGAAATTAGCTGAATTTACGATTGAAATTCTCTCTTAAATTTTAAGTAACGTCCGAGCCTGTCGTATGAAAAAATTTTAATTCGATTGTAAGAACAATTAATGAAGAAAAGACCTAATGAAGTTTTATTAACAATTTATAAAAGGATTAATTATGCGTTAAAAACTTTTATAATTTTGCTTAATATAATTTATTTCAAATTGATTAAAATATAACTGTGCTCAAAGACGTATAATCATGGTTTCTTAGCAAAAGACGGTATATTTTTGAATGTTGGAGAAACTCTCCGACAAGAAAGCAAGATTTAGTGTCATTTATGGTATACTGAAAATCCAGTAATATTACCTAACTGACTTAATCCCTCGGTATCTAATAAGGGTGATCGAGATTTAAACATTCATTTATTTATTTACCGGTCCATCTCCATTAACTAAAGTTGTTTTATTTGCACTATTCTCTGTATTAGCTATTTCTGAATGATTTTTATCATTTTGTAGAGACTGGTTTCCTTCTGTTAAGGCTAATTGTTCATCAAAAAGTCGAGCCATAGCGCCAGCTAATCTACGCCTTTGTTCTGGGTCATTGTCTAGAAAAAAAATTTTTGAAAAAAAAATTCTTTATTTTTTAAATACTCTCAAAATTACGAAATAAGGTAAATTTATATAATTGGTCATACTCTATGTAGAAGACCCATGATCTAAAAATGAAATTTTTGTCAAGATATCTTTTAGCTTTTTACAAAAACATCTCGGAATCGATAGAATTTCTTTGAAAATATTTGTTTAAAACAATTTTAGAGGAAAGCTCCAAAGGTGTCATTTCTATTACTCAAATTGTCAGTAACTTGTACCGTATTCAAAATTAAAGGATCAAAACCCCAAAAAATGATTTTGTATGTCGTAAATGTACATATTTGATTAATTTGATTTTTGTGAATCAATTTTTGTGAAAATTTCCTTGGATTGCTTAAAAAATGGTCTGGAAAAATGGAATCCATGTAAAGATGTCTAATCCTTCAACGAAACTACTTAAAAGAAACTGATGCTAGTTTACCCTAAAATCTCTGTAAATTTATAGAAAATTTGTGTAATACTAGGAAAAAGAAGCTACAGTGCTCCACATAACTATACTTCCACCCCTATTTTCGTGTTTTTTCCAATTTAGACCCAAAATTTTTTTAAATTATCGTTTAAATATTGTCCTCAGTTAATTAAAAGACTAATAAAAAATGAATTTTTAATTTTGGTTTAAAATTACTAGAGTTATAAATATTTTGTCGGAAAACACCTCCACATAACTATACTTCCACTTCCGAAAAAATTATTTCCAACATTAGGAAAAATGCATAAAAATTCCAGCAAACTTATATACTTATATTATAAAAAATAAAAAAAAACTAGGCAAATATCTTTATCCTAAGACGAGATCATGATACCTCGAAAATCAACGTAAAACAGGGGTAGGCCTCTTTAAAAAATATTTTCGACCCCTTACTGGTAAAATAAAAATTTTATTTTGGGCTTATTTGATAGCCCTTGAAATTTGCTACAAGAGAGCATTAATTTTATTTTCCGAAAAAAATTCACCTGTAAGACCTAATGTGATAAACTTGCATGTCATAAAAATCACTCAAACGCCCCCCAAAAAGTGACAAAAATGCAATTTACAAACTAAACTCATTATTTCTCAAAGATAAATTTTTTCTGGATTATGAATTGAAAACTATCTTATAGCAAATTTCAAGGGCTTTCGAATGAGCCCAAAATCAAAATTTACAGTAATCCATAAGGGGTCGAAAATATTTTTTAAAGAGGCTTACCCCTGTTTTACGTTGATTTTCGTGGTGTCAGGATCTAGAATTTGGGTAAAGATATGGGCCTAGTTTTTTTTTATTTTTTTATAATATAAGTATATAAGTTTGCTGGAAATTTTATGGATTTTTCCTAATGTTGGAAATAATTTTTTCGGAAGTGGAAGTATAGTTATGTGGAGGTGTTTTCCGACAAAATATTTATAACTCTAGTAATTTTAAACCAAAATTAAAAATTCATTTTTTATTAGTCTTTTAATTAACTGAGGACAATATTTAAACGATAATTTAAAAAAATTTTGGGTCTAAATTGGAAAAAACACGAAAATAGGGGTGGAAGTATAGTTATGTGGAGCACTGTATTAATACATTGCCTGTATCTTGTACCGGCATACAAAAATAAAAAACGGTTCGCTGGCTAATTTGGAATTTGAAAAATGCCCATTTATTTAATAAATTTCAAATGGAATAAATTATATTGAGTAAAACTTTTTAAAAACATTTTATATTCAACTCGGATTTTCTTAAATTTAAAGTCATATCAGGATTTCAAGAACCCCAAAGCTATTTATGAATCTACAACTGCCTTGTTTTACTAATCTCAATCTTTATTTGTTGTAAAATGATCGGCATTTTGACTCACCTAAATCGATGTTCACCTATTGTCCAAACAATTTGTGAACCTAAAACCATAAATAATTCTATGTTTACTTTGCAAGAAACTAATCCTGGCATCCAAAAATAAAATTTGACTTCACTGCTAACTCAAAGTTAAGCTTATGATGCTAAGCTATTAATAAATTTTCAATCGAATATATTATATTAAGTGGATTCAAATAAAATTTTTTTCCCTTACCACTAGTTTCATATTCTTCTACCCTTTCTAAAAATCGCCAACAAATAGCCAAATCTTCTTGTTTTTGTTGTTCACAAAATCTTTTAAAAAGTAACCGGCCAATTGGTTGTTTTTCAACAATAAAGGGATAACTAATTAAATTAAAAATAATATTTTCCCCCAAGAATTACCTCAAGTCAATGTCATTTTTGATTGGAAGACATTGAGAGTAGTGACTTGAAGGGAAAATTTATTAATTTTTTGAATTCTTTTAAATAAGCTTACGGAAATTGAAGGTAATGACGCCATTTTTTGCTTTTTCCTTTCCTTTGCCCACCGGTCCTGGCCTTAAAAAATATTTTATCAAGACTTTCATTAAACTGGATAAGTTAGAAACAAGAGATATGGTTAGAAAATTTGTAACTAAAGTTTTCAAGAAATTGTGAATTTTTGTAATGATTTTTAGAGGGTTGTTCAGAACCCCCTCACAAAAATATAATATGGCTAATTGCTGTTGTATGCAAATTCAATGCTTAATTAATTAATTAATTAATTAAAAGAACAATTGAATTTATATATATTAAGTACTGTATAAATTTGTACTCAGGTATTTCGGATGCTTTTATAAAAGTGGAATGACAAGATAAGACAATTAATGAAGGACAAATCAGCAAGAATTTAATTAACAATAATTAAATAATGGAATGGAAGGATAACAACTAAAGAATTTTGCTTAATATAATTTATCTCAAAGTTAATTAGGTAAATATAAACAAGACCTACGAAATAATCCATCGGCAATTAATTTTTCAAAATATTTTTGTATGTTGGACGAATGTTCCGACAAATTATTTTTGAGTACAGTATTTTTATGGGATGCGGCAAGTTCGCGCAACTTTTTATTTTAAATATACCTAACTTTCTTCAATCTTAACCAAAATCGAGTTTTGTGTATAATTCTGTAATAAGTTTTGTATGCTTCTATGCATTTGTTTTCGTTATATCGATATTCGAATTTCTACCTACTCGATTAAATAAATCATAAAAATATTTTTCTTGCCTTAATGTAGACCGTGTTAGCAACAATATTTTCAATCTCCATTGACCACTCCAGCTTAAAACAACGTTTCCTCTTTTCAATAAATCAGCTTAGTAAAAGCTCCTTATATTCAAAATGATGTGTAAATTATTAAAATTAATATTTTTCTCATTTAGCCAATGGCATTTTAATGCGCAGAAATATTTCTTAAATAGAAAAATATATAGGGAGTAAATCTATGGGGGCGTTAATAAAGGAAATGGATGAAAATTTAAAAAAATAAAATGATTTGAAAAATAAAATTTTTAGTGAAATAATATTGTTTTTTCTCTTCGCTAAATGTCATTTTTAATTTATTTTTGGAAAGAAAAAAATTAATTTTTAAAATTGAAAAAAAATTATTTCTATTTTAATTATAAAATTGTTAAATTAGAAGACAAAAAAATTTATTTTGCGCAAGATAAATTGAAGAAAAAAAACTTAATTGGTGCAGGAATATGTGGGAAAAAGAGTTAAATATTCTCTTGAAAAATAACGGAAATGTATTGAAAAAAAGAGGAAAAAGGGAAGGGGAAAGGGGGCAACCACCAAGTAATAATTGTAGTACAATTGAGCGATACGAGGAATTGGAATAAATTTATTGAATAAAAGAAACACGCGGTTGTCGAGAATTGGTAAAATGAAAATGAATTAAAGAGAAAAAAGGTAGTTGTTACTCTAGGGAAAAGTAGAAAAAAAAGGAATGGGAGAAGGGTAGGGTGAACGGGTCAGAGACAGTAGTGCGTAAGGAACATTGGGTCGGAGACATGTAAAATTGCTTAATGAAGACCTGAAACCTTAAAAAGTTGTCTAGACCTCTTCAAAAGTGTTAGCTAGCTTCTCTAAAAAGTGTTAGCTAGCTTCTCTTTGTATTTCAAAATTTATGATCAAAAGAATGTCAGAATATGTTGAAATTTGACACTTAACTGCATTTTTGCCTATAACTTCGGAAATTTTCAGAATAAAATTATGAAATTTTCAGAAAAGGTAGATAACATAATTGTGAAGATCTGTGCAAAATTTCACCTTTCTAGCTGCCAAAATAGCTATTTTATAAGCCCACGTCCTACCCTTACTGCGCCAGGATGGTTGACTTTAAAAATGAGTACAAGCAAAAAACTCGTTCAAGAGCGGGTTAAAACAACAACGGAAACAGGGGAAAAAATAACAAAATCATCAATAAAAGAGAAGAATATTCATCAGTTATTTTGTCTTTGTACTAATACTACTTAACTCCCTCCCTTTCATTTTTTAGTTATTGTTTTACGGCTGTCACTAAGAGAGAAAGTTATAGAGTAAATTGGAGAAAACGTGACAATAATATAGTGTTATATAGAAGAAAGAGAATAGAAAGTTATATATACTAATATTCGAATATTAACAAAGTGAGGATAAGTATAAGAGTTTAAATCCGTAAATGATGGAACTTTTAACAAGGAAGTTTTTTTTGCCAAAAATTGTTAACAATAGAAGATTAAAAATAATGAAAGATATAACTGAGATTTTGACATTTTTTTGAAAAATGAAAAAATTGTTGTAGAGCATCCTATCCCTTTCACGTAGGGTTGATGTTCTGAAACTAAACCAAAAAACTAAGGATCTTTCGATTCTGAATATCCAAATATGTATTTTCCACTATAAGACACCCTATTTTCACTCCTACCATCAAACTTCATAAAAAAACTTTAGTCAGTTCAATCTCCAAGTTTTCAAAAAAATCTAAAATTTCAGAAAAAATTAGTGACAATTCAAATAGATTTAGGTAAATTTTTAGGGGGTAATAAATACCCTCTTCAAAAAATGTAGCAATTCAACAACTTTTACAAAACTGAATTAAGGTTAAGATAATTAACAAAAAAAAATTGAATTTATGCATATTAAACATTTATTTAAATTTCCAAATTCAAGAAACTGATCATTTAGAAAGGAGAGGAAAGAATATTTAGAGAATTTTTGATATTTATTTTTAGAGGGTCTTGAAAAACCCTCTCACAAAAATAGAATTTTGATGTGAATGAAACAAATAAGTAGGGTGTACATTTATATGGATATAAAATTGAAAAATATGGACATAAAATATGGATATAAAATTCTAAAATATGGATATAAATATGGAAATAAATACTAAATATGGATATAAAATACCGAAATATGGATCAAAATATGATGAAAAAATATTTTAGAAATCAGTATTTTGTGTAGAAAACAACAATTTTGCCTTTAACTCTGCATTTTAAGATCGTTCTAAAAGATTTTATGGATTTAAAATTTTTGTTAAATTTTTTTTGAAAATAAATTTTTCCAAAAAATTTTTGAAAAAATTTTTTGACTAAAAATTCCCAAAATTTTAAAAATTTTCCCAATTTTTACCAAAATTTACCAAAAAATGTCCAAATATGGATCAAAATATTTAACAAAAGAGAAATATTGATATAAAATATGGATATAAAGGCTAAATATGGACAAATATGGAAAATATGGGCATAATGGCAAAATATGGAAAAATATGGAAATTATGGATTTACAGACCATCCCAGAAACCCTAAAACAAGCCAAAAACATGTTTTTCGTGCATTTCACAGTCATAGAAATTCAGGAAAAAAATATGGATTTCCATAAATGTACACCCTACAAATAAGGTAATTGTGAGCTAATTAAATAAAAGTAATATTGAATTTATAAGCATTAAGTAAATTAAATTGATTCAGTAGGATTAAATCAAGGCTTCGATTATTACTTATTTTGCAAATGCATTAATTACAATCCCTAAACCTTCGTATTTAGAAATAGACTTTTTTGGATAAAAGATTAAATCTGACTTAAACTCTGGCTTCTTTACCTTCTAAAATTACAAAAAAATTCTATTTGAAGGGGGAAGAAATTTGGTGGAAACAAGCAAATATTGGAAATAATTCATTAAGAAGTGAAATATAAGCAAATGAAATTTTTAAATTGTATTTTTGTGGTGTATTTACTTTTCCCACATGTACTTATAAACTAAACTTTTTGTACTTCAAGGTAAAACTTTCTCGATCAAAGCCCTGAATTAAACATCCTTCCATTAAATTATTAAATTAGCCATTTCAAATCCAAAATTTTCAAGAAATTACAAAACTAAGAAAGCTCTTTTATGAGTTTCTACATTTTTAGACGGTTACGAAGAACCGACTCACAAAAAAAGTTTTACAATATTTGCTGGAATGCTTAGTATAATGTAATGCTAATTTAATTAACTAAAAGAAGATTTGAATTTATACATATTAAGTAGTTAATTAAAATTGAATATTTATGAGTTATGAAATTTAACTCAAAGAATAATTGCTGAATAATTAATAATTAATTATAATTAAATATTAATTAAAAAATACGAATAATATGTATAACAAAACAGATGTTAAATTGTATTAGAATTTAATTTACGTGCACTATTTTTTGTTCTATATTTTTGGTCATTTTATAAATTTTTTAATAAATTCTTAAAAAAACTATTCTCCTAATTTTAGAAAGAATTAAAAATAGCCTTTAAATTTAATTTAAAAATTTAAATTTAGAAAATAAAATTTGTTTGGTGGGTGGTTGAAAAAATAAAGGAAATTCTTCTTTGTCTAGTTTGGAAGACAAGAAAAATTTTTTTAGAAAATTAAAATAATTTTGGGGGAAAGAAAGGATTGAAAATTCTTAAAATAGAAATCTAATAAAATAAAATAAAAATTCTTTAGTTGACAAAAAGTGACATTTCATCCCAAAATCTTTCCCCTCCTCCTCCTCCTCACTTTTAAAAACGTCGCCCCATTAATCTTCCAACGATCAACTTTTTCACTTAAATTATTCCTCAGTCTTCACAATTCTGTTCTTAAATCTTCAATCTCTTCGAATAAAAAAATATTTGCTACATTCCCCCTCCCTCCCCCCCCCCCCCCCCCAAACTTTCCTCATTCCCCCCCCCCCCTCCCTTCCCCTCTCTCCTCCCCCCCTCCCTCCTAAAAAAATTCCCCAAATTCTTCTTCCCGTTTCTCAATTTTCACAATTTTTTTTCTTAAAAATCACAAACATATGTTTAGAAAATGAGCAATTTTGGGAACATATGTGAAAGAAAAGATTGAAAAAAATGAAAAAAAAGTACCGAATTTGGCCATATTAAGAGGGACTAAAAAGATTTTTTGAAGAAAAAAAAGGAAGAGGCGTGGAAAGGACATTTTAATGTTGGACAGGAAAAAATATTATTAAAAAAAGAGTGAATAAAAAGGAAAAAATAAAATAAAAGAGGGGAGAACAGCCGGCCAAGAGAGGAGGAATTGAATTGATTGGGCGGGATATAAAAATAAAAAAAAAGACAGCCGGCTTTACAGAGCCAGCTTTAGTTGACTGACATTGAGAAAGGGTAAAACGGCTGGTTGGGAGGGGATAATGAAGTAGAGAAGGGAGAAATAGAAGGAAAGAGAGAAAAAGAAAATTGGAACAACTGCCCAATCCAACCCTAAACTACTGCGGTTAGAAAGGATTAAGCTTTTGGAGGAATTTTGTTTAGAAAGAGGGATTTTTGAATTATAAAATTAATTAATAAATATTCAAAATACAGTCGGACTTAGAATTTTCTAAGACTTTCTCTATCATTTTTACGTCTATCACGAACAAATAAAATACTAAATTTCAGTCATTTACATCGTCAGATTTTCGGTTTTAAATTAGTTTAGACATCACAGTTGCAAACTTTCAAGAAGTTCCAAACTTTCCTTTTTATTTTTTTGGATAGAGGGTTATGAACAACCCACTTACAAAAATAACCAATTGTTTAAACTAAAAACCAACTAATTGTAAGACATGCTGAGCCAAATTTAAATAAAAGAAAAATAAATTAATACATATTAAGTAAAGCTGAATAATTAATTTTATAATTAGAGGTAAATTATTTAGGAAGTATTACATGGGAAGCCCCTTCACCCAGTGTCCAGCAAAATAAAAAAATGTATCATGAATTGAAGTGTAGCTAAAAATGAGATATAATGTATTCATGCTCACAAAAGTTCGAAAGCTTCTCATTATCTTTTGGTTTAAAATATTTATTTGGAAAATTATTAAATTTTATTCACCTAAATTCCTAATGATTAATTCAGGGCTCTCATCGACAAAATGCCACTCAAAAGTATCAAAATCTTGATAAAAAAGTATATAGGGAGAAAATTTCCAAATTTAAAGTATAATCAAAATAAAATTATAAAATATTTATTCGTCCTCAAATCTTTCATATTTCCCTCCTAAATGAATCTTTTCTAATAATTTCTTGCTTCCACTGAGCATTTTGTGCATTTCGATGCATGACATGTCAAAATTCGCTGACACAAGAAGTAAAGCCCTGACAGTCTTAACCTCAAGCGAGTTTCTTTCTTTCGTCCATTGAATGCTTGCCATTGAGAAGATGCGTTCTATAAATGCATTTGAAACTGGAATCTTGGAAAAATAAATTTAATAAATGAAATATAGTAGGAAATTCAACCGAAATAGCTGCACTGACGATCCGGTACAAGTTTTTGTATTTTTTTGTAGCTCCAGTAACATCAAAAATCATTCTCCATTTTTGCTCTGTTGTCTTGAGATAAAAATCCTCTTCATTAATGCCAGTCAGAGCTTTATTTAATTGTGAAACTTCATCAAAAAGTTCATCATTTTCTGAAATCTCCGGGCAAATTTGCTCCGCCAGTTGGACAACTTCAGCATAAATTAATTCCCTTGTTGAAAAATGAATTTAAATTTATGTTCTCTCACTAAATTCTTACTTATTTTCCAAATTAATAATTGAAATCCCTTTTGGCAACAATTGAAGTCTGTAGTCCAGATTTAGCATTGAAATATCGAATTACAATAGGCACAAGTTTTTTCGCACCATGGTTACTTGCATCAATACACACCGAAAAGGGTTGATTTCCGAGTTCGTTCTTTAAATTTTCCATAACCAACGGGCTAAGAACGCCTAAAACAAAAACAATACTCGAATGTCTATAAATTAAACCTTTAATAATCGCTGCTGTTTTAACTTGCGCGCAACCATACTTTTTTGCCACATCTGAAGCAGGAAATAGCACTTTAAAAAGAGATGAAGCACAGTCAGTTGAAGCAAATGATTGATGGTGCTTCGCAACATGATATGCCCAGGTTCCTACAATTTAAGATTAGTTACTAATATTTAATAAAATATAGTACATACCTTCTGCTGCTGCAACTTGCATATCTATTGTGCCCAGAACTGACTTATTCCTTACAAAACTTCTCATTGTCTCATTCTTCATTTTTTCCTCTTCAATTTCCTTATGTTTCTTTTGGTCTTGATGCTGCGTAATGCCAGAAACTCCCATTGACTCAATGTTATAATCTCTCTGACACAATAAGCAGAAAAAATAGCCATTACCTTTTCTGCTTCTTTTTACAAAATTATATTGCTTCTCCCAATCGGGATTGAATGAATTTCTACTACGTTTTAAGCTCATCTAAAATAGATTACAAATAAAAATTATTGTATAAATAATGATAAAAGAAAACTATTTAGCGAAATAACATTTCAATATTACAGAAACAAACAAATATTTACACTTTGCCAAAAATATTTTTAAATTTTTTATTTAATTTTCATTTTCAATCCAAAATGTTGATTTTAAAGTATATACTTTCAATAAAGTATAAATTCAATTTCTTAAGTATAGAGGTCGGTTTCAAAGTATAATACTTTCAAATAAAGCACGAATGAGAGCCCTGGATTAATTTAAATTATAAAAATAATTCAAAATATTACGAAAAAATTTTAGAGACTGAAACGTCTCTTTTTTTGTTAGAGTCTGACCGCAGGACTGAAACATGTACAGCACTGAAACGCTTGTGCTGAAGTGTCCTTTTAACTATAAATTTGTCGAATTACAAAATATCTAAATTTAAAAATGTCCAAAATAAAATTTTTGAAAATTTAAGCGCTTTGTTTGAGCGTGGGTCTGTGTTTTTTTTAAATTTATTTTAGTGTTTTGAGATTAAAATTAATTATTTTTACTTTGTTTTATAGGAAAAGATGACTTCAGAAAACGCAGGTGGTAGTGGAAGCATTCCAAATGTTGAGACTATAGATGATAAAAAGCGAATTGCACAACTTGGTTTAAATTTGATTTTTAAATGTTTTCTTAGAATTTTCTTTTAGAACACGAAATTTTCACTGTTTGTAAACAATTGGACGAAAAAAGCGAAAAATTGAAAGAAGTTCAGCAACAGAATGCGCTCCTTAAAGAAAGGGCGAGCACTTTAGGTTTGTTTTGTTAAGCATAAATGTGGGAAGAATGGTAATCCTTAAGATCATTGGTCCCTAAAAAAATTGGTAAAAAAGTGCTGTTTTGATAATTTTGAGGTCTGCCATTAGGTAATCGAGTGTGCTGAGTCCGAATCTGAGCTTAGAATTGGTATATTTCGAACCCCGGACCCAAATTCGACAAAGTCGGTTTCGGGGTAAACACTTCGAAATTAAAAATTTAGGGCTAATCTGCACAACTATTCGAGCTGAGTCGAATGGTATCAAAATTATGATGTTTCGACAACTTTCGACGAAGTCATGATTAATTAAATACACGCTTGCTGAGACTTCCGTATACAAATCAGACACCATAACTTCGTCTAAAGTTGTCGAAACGTAATAATTTTGATGCCAGCGACTCAGTTCGAAGAGACGAGTCCGATTAAGCAAAAAATTTGAAATTTTGAATTTCTACCCCAAATTCGACTTTGTCGAATTTGGGTCCGGGGTTTGAAATAAACCAATTCTAAGCTCAGATTCGGACTCAGCACACTCGATTACCTACTGGCAGACCTCAAAATTATCAAAACAGCACTTTTTTCCCAATTTTTTTAGGGACCAATGATCTTAAGGATTACCGGAAGAATCCGAAGTAGTGTTGTATTTTTGCTTTAATTGCGGGTTCAGACATCAATTCAATTACAAACAAATACAAGAAGAACCCAAAATTTTGTGCTTTTTAGTTCCGGGCTCAATCTCATATTTGGGATCAACCTAGGGATTTTTAAATAACTTCACACAATAATTTTTGCCTTTACCCCTTATATAATTTCATTTTTATTTTCAGAAAAGGACAAGCTTGACCGTTCAAATTTTGTTGAGTCTGTGGTTCAGAGTCGTGACAATCTTATATTCGAAAAGGTTTGAATTTTGACATTATTTAGGATTGTAGCGCTATTTTTGCTGACTTCCTTATTTCATCATAGTCCGCAAAATTTGTCCGCAAATTCGCTTTACCAATCTTTTTTAGTCTCAAAATCTTTATTTTCCTTTTATAAAGATTTTTATTCCAGACTCAGTTGCAAAATGACAAACTTGCACTTGAACAGAGGAAGGGAGAACTTGAAATGCAGATTTCAAAGTTTACGAATGACAAGCGGCGTCATCTTGGTTTTGTTTCAATTAATATTTTTTTAAATTTTATCTCTCACATATAGATGAAATTGAACAACTCCGCAATTTGTGTGACACTTTAAGAACTGACAAAATTCAACTTCAAGCACAAATTGACGACTTTCAATGCGAGAAGGCTGCTCTAGCTGTATTTTTGTTTTTTAAAGAATTAACGAAAATTTGTATAATTTTAAGTATGACAAAGAGCAATGGAGTCAAGAGAAGCACATTTTACTTTCAAGTAAGCAATGGTACATGGACGAGATTTCCAATCGTGAACAGAAAGTGAACGAATTGAGAATTCAAAATATTCGGGAAAAGTCGGAACTTCAACGGGAAATTGCTCTTCTCAACGAGAAAAATAGCGAACTTTCTTTGAATGCTACGAGAACGTCTAAGGCACTTCAAGAACGCGAAGCTGAGTTTGCCGAATTGAAAGAAAAAATGAAAAATGTTTGGAAATTTTTTTTTAATTTTGAAAATATTTTTTAGGTTTTGGAAGAAAATTCAACTCAAATTAGCGAATTAGAGGCTGAATTAAGGACAAGGCAGAGACTTACTAAAGTTTATAAGGATTCGATGGAAAAGGCTGATTTGGAACTTTCTGAGGCTAGAGACAATGAATTTAGACTTGATGAGTTGGTAAAGGAGAAGGAAGAAGGTATAGCTTTTTTTATTTTTTTTGTTAATTAGTTGGGCAATTCCCAATTTGATCATAGAAGATGACCTATGGTATAACTTTATGCACTGTTTTTCTTTTCCCCTCCAAACTCTTATCTGCCTGTATTCAAAAGAGATTATGGGAACTGTAGCACCATTATTTATTAAGTTAGCTACAACTCTAGTGTTTGTCAGCAAGGTCATCGGGTAAGGCTTGGTCTTATTATAGGTCTCTTTCTATGATTAAGTAGGGATTTGGGGATAAATTTCGAAATCGAGTGAACTTGAGGATTTGTAAAATTCTAAATTGAAATTTTTTTTGTATTTTTAGCTTTGTTGGCAATGTCATCGGAATTGCAAGAAGCCAAGGAAGTTCATGAAAAGATTTTGAAAGAAAAAGGTTTGGATACATTTTATTAGTTTTAATTTATAATCTCAATTATCTCTAGATGATGAATTGAAACGTCTTTCAGAAGAAGTTACAAAATCTACAGAATTGTTGAATGCTGGATTTAGACGTTTGTTGAACTTTTTGTTTAATCACAAAAAAATTTTTTTTTAAGTTAATCGTCCAGACGAGGATATTGCTAGAATCTCCCCAGCTGCCGCTGCAGCCAGTAGTCTTTTAAAAAGTGGCATGTCTTTGACTGGAATTTATGCTGAACATTGTCGTGTTGTTAGTGAATTGGAAAAGAAAAATGCTGAATTTTCTAGTCTGGAGAAATATGTGACAGAACTTATTCAGGTTTTCTTCTTTAATTTTTGGACAGTAAAAATATAATTTTATTTTAAAGGATTTGGATTCGCGAGCACCAAAATTCCTTGAACAACGTAAGGCATATGACCAATTGTCTGAACGTAATGAATGTTTACAGTTGCAAAAGGACGTAAGAATTTATTTTTTTGATAAATTTTGTAAATCGAGGTCGGCGCAGGACAGGATCCCCTGGGTCCGCAATCCCGATTTATCCCGCAAACACGATTTTACCGATCATTATTTTTGAGATTTTTTATAAAAAAATTTTTCAGCTATTGAGCAGCGAATGTCAAAAGCTTCAATCTAAATCTGACTCTTTGACTCGTGAGCTTACTTTCACAAAGCGTGAATTGGAGCGTTATCAGCGAGAGCATAATATTCAACAAAAACAGGTTTTCTTGTCTGAAAAATTAAAAAAAAATTTTTTCTCAACTTCTAGATTCAACGTTTCCTTTATCTATTTGAGAAAGGTTCTCTTTCATACAACGACTCTTTATTAAATGAGAACATTGCTGATGACGATTATCTTTTTGCTAACATTAGCGAACTTCAATCAAAGAATATTCAATTGGCTGAAGAGGTTGAACGTCTTCGTGGAGAGCAGGATAAAGCAATTGAAAATTATCACAATACTGAGTTTGTTTTCTTTTGAAATTCTGCTTAATGACATTTTTTCGTATTTCTCTAGGATTGAATTATTAAAACAATCACGTAATCAATTGCAAGAAGAATTGAGTCGTCTTAAAGAAAATTTCAGCAAACAAAGCACTCTGGTCCAAGAATTGACTATGCAAAGAGATCAATATAAAAAATTGTATGATCAACTCAACAATGCAAATAGTAATGGAATGAGTTCGAATGAATCGACAGCTTCGGAATCTACACAACCCAATTTAATCCAGCAACCGACAATTAAAAGTCTTCAAATGGAAATTATGATGTGGAAAACAAAGTCTGAAAGATTGCAAGAAACTAATATATTTTTGAATGAAGATCGGCAATCTCATGAAAAGTATGGATTTTGATTTTATAATAGTATTAGTTTGGGACTAGGGTTGGACACGACACGGTTTTAAAACCAAAATTCATAAAAATGAGCGATTTTTAGAAAATTCTTCCCCAAATAAAATCGGTCTTTAACTGTAACTTAGAACAGAAAAATTAGGGTACAGATTAGCAAGGGCGTAGCACGTGGTTAACAAGGGCGTAGCCAGCTTTTGGGACTTAAGCCCCCCCCCCCCTTGAAATCGACCCCCACTGGCTACGCCCTTGCCGATTAATACCCTTTAATGAACAATTCTAATCAAAACTCTAAATTAAATTTTTAAGGATTCTCAATGATCGCCTTGACCAACAACTTGAACAAATTTCTACTATGCGTACAACAATTGGGAAGTTGGAAAGCGACCTTGAATTTCAAAATAAAAATCAACAATTGTTGGCTAAACAGATCGATTCTTATTCTCATGACTTGAATCGTTTAAATAAACAACTTTCTGAATCCAGACGTCAAGTTGAATCGTTAGAAATTCGAAATGATTCTCTTACAAATCAATTGCTTGAAAAGCAGCAGCGTCTTTCAACACTTGAGTAGGCTTCTTTTTGAATTTCTTTTGTTAAAATTTTTCAACTTTTTAGAGTACAAAATCATTCTTTGTCTGAGGAACGTGCTGTGCTTACAAGTCGTGATCAGCGTTTGCAAGCGGAGTTGGAAATTTTGAGACAAAACCGTTATAGCACAGAGCGTGTTTCAACTTCAATTCAAGAAATGGAATTATTGCTTAAACGAATGGAAGCAGAAAAATCACATTCTATGGATAGCCAACTTCAATCAGCTCTTTTGGAGCGTGATAACCTTCGTCAACTTATTGACAGCTTGAACGAACAAAACAATCAACTTGTTAATGGTCTTAAGGTTTGAAAAATTTTTAGGCTATTCTGAAAATCCCGATGAACGATTCGGCGTTGGGCCCTAGTCGTGGGACGCCACAATTGGGGCTGTGTAAACAAAATGGGTGGAAGGGGGATGGAGAGCCGGCCAAAGGTTTTCGAGATCAAAACGAAAACTAAGACTGAACTTTTTTGGCCAGTTCTCCATCTCCTTAAATAATGATAATAATAGGGGTGGGACAGCTATATTTTTTTTAATTTATATTTTTGTAGAACAGTTTGAATGTTGCTTCAAGTGAGCGCGACAAAGCTCAGGCCGATGCCAAATCAATTCAAACCCGTTTGGACGCAATTGAACGAATTTATGAGCAGTTGAAACAGGAACATGAAACATTGAAAAATGAAATGGAACAAATTCAGTCCACAGACACAAACCTCGAAGCCTGCAAGAAGGAAATTCAGAAAATGAAAAATACAATTGCTTACCAAGAAAAGCAGATTGCCGAATTTGAAAATAAATGTGAAGAATTGAATGGGGCAATTGAAAGGAAGGATAAGCAACTTGAAGAAATGTGCCGTTTGGGAACAAATATGGAGGGAACAATTCAGGTTTTTTAATGAATGAATCAAAGAACGTATCCAGGTTTCGATTTTATGGGAGCTAAAATAGGAGGTGCGCCATAATTTTGGCGTTTGCTTTGGCGTTCAAAACGCACATTTTTTGTACATATTTTTTAGTTTCTATCATTTTCCTCCTAAATTTTTTTATTTTTCCCATCTCACGAGGGAGGGCTATGGCCCTTGAAGCGACCTTGGCTACGCTCTTGAATGAATCAATACGTTTTTATATTTTTTTTAAAATTCAGTTTGGCAATGTGGAAAGGCAGCGTATGCAAGCAATTCGTGAACAATTGGAAGAAGAGATGAATAAAAAGTATATTTTTTTAATTTATGATTTAATGAGTTTAATTCCTATTTTTCTAGTAAATTACTGATCGAAGATTTAAGAAATGCTGTTTCAATAAAGGAAATGGAATTACTCAGCCAAACGAAAAATTTGACTGAAACTAACAACAAACTTGATGAATTAAATGCAAAAACTGAGCAATGGATAGTTGAGAAGGACAAAGAGACACACGAATATAAACGTGTTATTGATCAACTTCGCCTTGAGAACGAAAAACTTCAAAGCGATTTTGAAAGGGTTTTGATTTAAATTTTTTAAATTTAAATTTTCTTTTTAAAGGTCAATTCTAATTGTACGGACTTCTCTGAGAACAATTTGAGATTGACTACTGATTTGGCGAAGGAAATCTCGAAGAGCGAAACTTTGACTCAAAAGATTGCCACTTTAGAGAAGGATTGCCGGGATAAATGTGAAAAGTTCCAAAAATCGATTGTATGTTTTTATAAAATTTTGGAAGATTTTTCGACTTTTTTAGGATATTTTCGAACAAGAGAAGCTTCGTCTTCAAGATGAAATTAACACTTATATGACAAGAGACAAGGAACACTTGGAAAAGCAGGCGTCTCTTTATGATGAAATCCAAGAGCTTTTAAAGCGAATTGAGTTTATGGAACGTTTGCAGCACACTATTGCTTCCCCATCCCCAAATACCAGTTTGAACGTTTCTGCAACAATGTCGACATTCTCACCAATCTCGTATATTTTTTTAATTATTTTTTTAGATTAATTTTTTAAAAATTTTCTAGACGTCTTTCAACTACCGGAATCGAAACTTCAACACAACAACATACCGAACGAATAAATGCAATTATAGGTTATATGCGAACAGATAAGCAAAAAGAGACAGAATTGCGAATGTCTGCTGAATTAGAATTGCAACGACTCCGTGCCAAATCTACCGTTGATCAACAAAAGATTTTACAATTGGAATCAGAAATTGCTAAATTGACCAACGAAGTTGAAATTAACGCGAAAATTGCTGTTGAAAAAGAAGAATTGTTAACTCAATTAAATTCTTTGAGAGAAGTCCAAAATCGTTATCAACAAATTAAAAAATCGTTTGACGAATTAAATGAACGTTTTACTTCAACAAATGTGCTGGCACAAGGGTTGGAAGTTGAGCAAGCAAAATTGCTAGCTGAAAAAACTGAATTAAATTCAAAATTGGAAAATATTACAAAATTGTCGAATGGTAGAGCACAGCAAATTAAATTGTTAAAAGAACGTTATGATAGGGCAATGGCTATGGCTAGCAAATATTCGCCTGAAATTGTTAATTCGCTTCAGTATGATTTTTTATTTTAAAAAAATTTTTACTAAATTTATTTAATAGGGGTGATAACGAAAAATTAAAATTGGATATAACTCAAAAAGAGAATGATATTGGAATTTTGAGGAAAGAGTGTGATCGGTTAACTGAAGAACTTAAGAAGATTAAGTATGTTTATAAAAAATTTTTTTAATTCTGAAAGGTTAGGGGAGGTGATTTTGAGGGGTGATGTTGTAATTTGGGGTCCTTTTTGGGTTTTGTGGACATTTTATTAAGTCTAGTGATCGGTAATTTAAAGTTGTGACTAGAGGACGGCACACTGTATGTGATATTACGGGATCCCGCCCCGAAATCCCGGGTTTAAGCGACGAGTGGGGTTAATCCTGCGGGTTCCCTTCCCGTCCGATCTTCAAAGAATCTCATTTCTTGATCTTGATTAATAAAAATTTTTTTCAGGGATGAACATAACACACTTACGGCAGAATATACCAAAGCTACTGCAACGCATAAAGCAGCACATGAAAGTCATCTTATGGTCAAACAGGTTGCTAGAAAAATTCGTGAAGAAAAAATTAAGCTTTCCGAAGAAAATGTTAAACTTCAGGTTTTAGTTTTAATCTATTTCCAAATAGTGGGAATTTTCTGGGCTTTTTTCGATCGATGAAAATTTTCATTCTACTACCTAAACTAGTTATGGATATTCTGTCATTAGTTTTTCATATTTTGTCGAATTCCCACAGTTATTTACCAGAGTTCTCCCTCTCACATCAGCAGGGTTGGGGTCATAAGGGCGCGGGGCCATTAGGTGAAACTGACACTTAGGCGAAACCGAAATTTATGAAAATTTTCTCAAATTTCTTTAACATCATTGACTACCTCCTCCAGAAATTTCAGAATTTTTCATCGAATATTTCTGAAGTTATAGTCGATAAAACCGCGAAAATTAGGGTTTTTTTCGGAAAATCAACATTTTTGGCCACAATTTCCGAAATTCTTGATCAAAAATTCTGAAATTTTTGGAAAATGTAGATAAAGGCATGAGAGTTATCAATGCAAAATTTTTTCTTTTCTGATAAGCAGCTCACTGTTTTATAAGCTCACGCCCTAATGGCCCCGCGCCCTAATGGCCCAGTCCCTCTCAACATCTTATTTAGTTTTTAATTTATAGGAAGAACTTATAGCTGTTCAAGACCAATTGGTAAAGACTCGAGATTCTGTTGCTGCTGCCGCTGCAGGCTCTTCAAATGCCGAAGCTGTTTCAGCTATACAAGCGGAGAGGAAGGAATATCAGACAAAAATTGAGGAATTGACTAAAAAAATTGAGGTAATTTTTGAATAGAATTAAAAAAAATTTTTTGTGTTTTTAAAGGCTTCAACTCAACAAATTAAAGAATTAGAAGCTCAAAGAGACGAATTATTAATAAAAATCGAAAATCAACAAAGGGATATTGAAGACGCAGCAGAAAAGGTTATGCGAATTGAAATGGTTGAAAAAGCTTATAAAAACAGTCAGGAGAAGATTCGTCAATTGGGAAGTGAAATTAAACAATTGAAGGAAGAAAATGAGCAATTGAGTAAATTTGGTAAGAAAATCACCTCACTAGTTTGGAGGGTTTTTCGTACCCCATTTTTTCCTCACACCTCACTTCATCAGACCTCATACATCCTCAGGGTGGAAAAATTGGATCTTTATTGAGGTTATTAAATATAGGGGCATCATTTAGTCCGTTCCCCAATTCGGGGGTACAAATTAATTGAAAATTTACTCAGTGGTCAACCAATTTTCATAAAAACTATATCTAGTAATGATTATATCTCATGGAGAGGGTGAAGTTGGGGCATTCTTTGAATATTTTATTGAAAAAATTTTTTTTAAGAGGCAAGTGAAATTGGTGAAGGAATAATTGACATTGACGACATTCCTGTTGCAGCAGCTACTGAAGCAGCAGCAACTTCTTCAACAGATAATAACAAACCTGCTCCTGTTGAACAACAACAACAACAAGTTGAACAACAATTATTAGAGAAGACACAAGATTTTGTTGCTGCAGAATTTCCTATTCAAACAGGAACTGATGGTTTGAATGAACTTAGTTCTGGAGAGAATATTCCAGTTTCGTATGATGGAAATAAGCAAGAAGAAGAAGCTGGATTTTATGAAGAAAAAGGAGAGGGAGAAGAAGGAGAGGTAGTAGGTGATTGTGATGATGTTGATGAAATTGTTGAGGATGAGGAACAAGAAATTTTTGATGAGGAAGGAGGGGAAATTGGTGATGATGAATTTGAAGTTGGAGATGAAGAAGTGGAAGATGAGGAAGTTGATGTTGAAGAAGTTGGGGAGGATAATATGGGACATAATTTCGAAATTGAGGGACCTCCTCGTAAACAACGAAAAATGTTTGAGGAAGAACAGCCTGAGGAACAACAAGTAGGGAAAATTAATGAATAATTTTTTTTCAAAGGAAAGCGAGACAATGAAAAGTTTTGGTGAAAATGAAGGAGAAATGAAAGTGGATGAAGAAGAAGATGGAGGAATGAAAGAAGAAGAAGAGGATGACGACGATGATATTCAACTTCTTTAAGGGCTAGTAAAAATACCTTTTGGGATCTCTCTTCTATATCTATCTCTCTAAGAGAAAGGATTTTTAAATTTTATTTGGATGTTTTCTAAGCCTTTTTCTTATAATTGTTTATTTTTTGTTTTAAATTTATTGACGGGAATTTTGACATAAATGATTTTAAGTAAAAAAGGAATTTTTTATTACAAATTGGTTTTGTGTTTGATTTAATGGGATTTGTCAAAAAATGTCTGGGGTAATAAAAATAATAAAAGTTCTTAGTCATTTTAAAAGTAATGAAAGCATTAAAAAAAGAGGTAAAATATCTAGTTAATTTTACTTAATATAATATATGTGAAATTAGATTAAGCTTAGCTTGGTCAAAGTTATGATATAGCACAGCCCTGGTTCTTCGCTCGCATATGTAGATCTGTATTTTTGTATGTTGGAGCATGCTCTGACAATTTTTTAAAATTTCTATCTATCTCTAACAAATAAGACAGGATTTTTAAAACCAAAGTTCCGCCGGAGCCCAAAATTCTTCTTATGTGTTTTTTGTTTTAAATTTATCTAAATTTACTGACGATAATTTTTACATAAAGAATCTGAGTCCCGTAAATTTGAGCTCCGGAATGTTGAGCTCCAACATTTCGGAACTTAGATCCCAAAATTCCAGAGCCCAATATTTCGTTTTTTCACGTAGAGCCCAACGGAAACCCAAAATTCCGAAAAGTTGGAGCCCAACTTTCAGAAAAATCATGGAGCCCAACATTCCGGAGCCTAGATTTCAGGACACCAAGGATTTAAAATTTAGAATTCCTTATGATTTGGCTGAGTTTTTGAGTATTTTTGTGTAAAATTTTCCAGTAATCGGGTTGCTTTGTCCAAATTTGTGTTCAACTTTTAGTTATTCCTAACCCCTGACCCGAATTCGACTAAGCGAATTTGGGGTAAAAATTAGAAATTAAAAATTTAGTGCTAAGCTGACACGCCTATTCGATCTGAGTCGAATGGTGTCAAAATTATGTCTTAACATCTAGACGAAGTTATGCGGTCTTAAGTGTATAAGGAAGTATCTACACAGTATTATATTTTCTAATTAAAAGTTTTTATATTTTACTCAATTTGTAAGGCAATATTCATATTAGGAAGAATTTTTTGTATTTTTGAATGTCAGCAAGTTGCTGACAGATTTAACATATTGGTGCTCTGTAGTCTCGTCAGAGGTTAGTTTCGTCAGAAGACATTTTCGTCAGAATTAGTTCCGTCAGAGGTCCCTCTCGTCAGAGGACACTTTCGTCAGAGGGTTGTTTCGTCAGAGAAGAGTTTCGTCAGAGGTACTTTTCGTCAGTAAGGCTCCCTATTTAAAATTCTAATTAACCTGCGGTATTATGAAATGTACTAGGTAATTTGTTTCTGGATCGATTTGGACAAATTTGGTGTCATTCGAAAGAGCTCTAAAAACTGAGTCGAAACAGTTGAGGAAGAAGTTGATCCGACATTTAGAGACCGAGTTACAGACTCCTGAATCCTGATAAACCATAGGAAGGCTCAGCTCGTCTAGCTGGAGTCAACTCGACGTTCTTATCTTAATGAGTTATCATTTGTTAACTCGAATTTTTCAGCTCAAAAATCAGTTTTTCAGAGTCCTTTTTAATGACACCTGATTCGCCCAAATCGATCCAGAAACAAATAACCTAGTACATTTCATAATACCGCAGGTTAATTAGAATTTTAAATAGGGAGCCTTACTGACGAAAAGTACCTCTGACGAAACTCTTCTCTGACGAAACAACCATCTGACGAAACTGACCTCTGACGAGAAGGACCACTGACGAAACTAATTCTGACGAAAATGTCCTCTGACGAAACTAACCTCTGACGAAACTACCGGACACGAACATGGTGTTAATCTGTTGAATCGGTTGATGGTTGTCTCATAAATGTGTTTGTTCGAAAAATATTTCGATTATAAATTCAAGCATGACTCGAAACAACCAAAATTTCGTTTTTGAAATAATTTCTTTTGCCGGAAAATTTTTTTGCCTCTAGTCTCATATGTATGTACTTGGATGATTAATTTTACAAGAAGGTTGTTGTTTACATAATATTAATTATTCCAATTAAAAATTTGTATATTTATAATAAATTTACTATACTATTATCTGGCCGATTGTCGCTAAATCTATATTTTTGGATGTCAGCATTATGTTGGCAAATTATAAATATATTCTTATAATTTTTATAAGTAAAGTTTATAATTTATTATAGAATTTTGTTGTGACTAAACTTTGAAAGATTTATTGATATTAGTCGATAACTTCGCAGGAATTTCTGTAGATTTTTGTTGAACTGGGGGATTTTACAAAAGATTTAGCTAATGAAAACTTTATTTTCTATTTATTACACCATTGAGTTAGATTTACATAATATTAATTATTCCAATTAACTAGTTCTAGCTTTTGACGCTAGTTCAGCTTTTGACGTTCTTTGTCGGTTTTGCAAGAACAGAATAAATTTCCCGGAGTTACTTCCTACCTGTTTATCTCTTCCATTTATTAGCGCTGCAGTTAAAAATTTGAAGAAATTTTAGAGGGTATCAACAAATCAAATTTTCCCCATCATTAGGGGTGTAAAAAATCAGCCAAAAATCAAGCCAAAATGGCATGGCACTAAATCTAACTTGATAAGGATTTTTAAGAAAGAGTTTAGCAAAGGTTTAGCGGCCGTGCAGGATTCGAACCTGCGACCTCCTACATAGTAGTTATTGCTAGGTGCTTTCGCTCACCACATACGGGAGCTCTATCACTGAGCTACTGGGGCATCGACTAACGCTTTCTTTTTATCATCTTAGATTAAGAGGGTTTTCCGGTATCAAAAGGGATTTTTTCATTACCAAGTTGAAAAACGGAGTTTTAGTGATATTTCTATTGATTTTGATATTTAATTTTTACTGGACGGATCGGACCCGGAAAGCAAAATAAGTGCAGGTTTGGTAAATTTTACTAAATTAATAAAGTCAGAGACAAGGTTGTAAGAGAAGGAAGATTTTTTTATTCTTGAAAAATATTTTTGACAAAATATAAACAAAATTTCCTTAATATAATTTATTTCGTTAAAAATTAATTAAATAAGATGACAGTGCTGAATTAAAAAACTCTTAGTCGACACATGCAGCGATTTATTTTTGAATGCCAGTATATTGTACTGGCAAAATATTTTTATTGCAACAGGGGCATTTATCTATAACGAATATTACTCAAAATTAAATCTGTGGACGATGTATGGCAGTAAATTATTTTCAAAATTTTAAATTAATAATTTCTATGTTTTCAAAATTTTGGGAAATAGTTGTAAATTTTTTAGAATTAAAGCTATAAAAATGAAAACTATAAGAGAGCGGTCTTGGAATGTCGTCTCAACTTCTTCCATCCCTATTTCACTCGGTTTCTGCAAAAAATAAAGTGCAAAATTATGCTAAAAAAGTTAAGAAATTTATTTAATTATTATTTTAAGTTCCTCGTCTTTCTGAAGTAGAAAAATACTGAATAATATTAGCTCTGAGGATGGTAGGGAAACGGATCTAACTTTAAAAACATGCTGTAAAAAATTGAATTTTCAATATTTTAAGAATAAATAAGCCCCTTCAATTTTCCTTTACATACTAAAATCTAGATTAATCAGAAAATACTCAAAGGATTCTGTTAAATTTGTATTAAATGTTTTGGTCGAATTAATGGAATTTAAAAATAAAGCATTTCCATCCAATAAGATCAGTACCAAAAATATAGAATTTAATTAAAAATTTAAATGCGTGGATTTATAAAGTAAATATAATTTTTTCTAGTATTTAAATACTGTTTGTTCATATTTAAAGAAATAAAAGAAGTTTTTTTACTATATAAAATTTTAAATTTACTCATAAAATTTTCCTTTTTTGCAGTCAATTTATTAGTGATGGTCGGGAGTTAAAAAAGCCGAGAGTCGGGAGTCGAGACCGGGAATTAACCCCGAGACCGAGTCCCGGGTCGAGACCGAGAGTCGAGACCAATAAATTAGGAGGGAAATCACTTGATATACCCCTATATATCCTTCATAATCCCCCAAATTCCTTGAATCCCCACATCCACAATATAACTTTACCCCTTCTAAATCCACCGATATCCACCTTAATCCACTGATATTCCCATTAATCGCGTTGAATCCGAAAGAGCACTTCGCGCTAAGTCGAGAAGAATAAAATTTACAAAAGTTGAGTTAAATTAACAAAGTTATGTCCATTTATGTAACCCTTTACGTATGGCCCACGATGAAAAAAGAAGGATATACTGTTGCGGAGGCCGGGCATGTCGATCTGAACGTCGGCCGCAACTTCGTTAGTAGCGAAGAACATGCCTGGCCTATTCTAGGGAGCATCAAGAAAGTTTTATCTGCGAAGTTGAAGTGGTAATAACTTTGTTCAGATGTCATTTAATTGAACTCGATGAGCTCTTTCAAATGATTTTTAATTTACTGATAAAAATTTTTTTGATAATTTCCAGTGGATACAAATCCAACAAGTACCAAATTCTATTAAATTAAATTTAATATTTATTTTAAAAACTACTCTTTTTATCAAAATGGCATTTAATTTTTATATTTTATTCATCATTTTAAATATTCACAACAATTTTGTTTTAAACGAAATATCTAATTTTAATGAAAATACAAAATGTGAACAAAATAATCGAAGTGGAGTTGGGTTGGTTTTTGCAGTTTCCGCCTTTTTTTTTTGGCTCCCTTCCCACTTTTTTCATCTAACGTCTCAGATTTTTCAAATTAATCTGAGACCGATTTTCACAAGCTCGTACCAAAATTCGTACTTGTACGAGCAAAAATAGGGGTGGTACGAAGAAGAGGTGGATTGGAATTCCGATTTCCGACGTTTTTTCCTTCCGATTTCCGAAATTTTAAAAAAATTTCAGATTTCCGAAAAAAAATTCTGATTTCCGATTTCCGACTTTTGAGCCAGTTCCGATTTCCGGCTCTTCCGATTTCCGACACCTCTGACTGTTCCGATCCACCTCTGGTACGAAGTACGTTTACAAACAAATCTGAAATTTAATAGTCTAGTCCAGATCCCATTTTTACTGATTTCATTTGCGGCATCTTTACCGAGAATTAAATAAGTAACGTGCTTGGCAGGGTTCAGTGCTGGTACCGGTATGGTACTGATAAGAACGATATGTTTCAGTACTTACCGTACCAAATCGCAAAAATTTTTTATTTAATTTTTAAAGGAATAATTACGTGTCTTATGGTGCTCTAAGTCGTGATGTACAAAATCATAAAGCCCAACCACTACAAGTCAACAAATATACAAGAGGTTGTGAGAAACTAGCTGATTGTCGTAGGTATGGTAGTTAAAAATGAAAAGAATAAAATAAAAAATTTTTTGAAGTTCAATGATTGAAAGCCGGTCAACACGCATACCAAAATATTAAATAAAAGACAAAATATTTGGATGAATTGTGTATAAATTAAAAATAAATTTTATTATTTTTCTCTGATTTAAAGTCTATATATCTATTTAATTCCAAAGTATGCGGAGTCGGCTTCAGTAATAGATACCGATAAAATCTATTTGCCTGATCCGGTCAACTGAAGATGCTGATTCGCTCACACCTTTGATATTAAATTCCATCTCATTATTTAACCTTCGTTCAAATTTTAATCCTTACTTTTCATAAAGCATTAATAAAGCATTAAATTTATTTATTTTTAAAATTACTAGAATGTATGAGTTAACTCTGGATCAGGGAAAAAAAAGGAAAATGTCAAACCTCAATTCTCAGCTTAAGGTCAGACACCTCCATCGGTTGCCAAACCTAAGCTTTTTGAACTTTCAAAATTATGTTTTGTCAATAATTTGACGGAGAGAGAAAATTTGTTAGAGCAATACTCCAACATTCAAAAATAATTAATGGATTTTCAATGCCCAAGAAACGTTGCCAATACCTTTGATTATATACATATGTATTTAATTAAAATTGAAATAGAATATATTAAACAAAATTCAGTCTTATCAAACAAAAACTCCCTAGCTCTTAGATCTTCTCTATTTGAGAAGATCTTTATTTAAAAAAACTTTTTAAATTTATTTCAGACAATTCACATAACATTTAGTATTTTATTTCAAAACTTTGCACAATCTGGCAAAAATTTTAACAAAAAAAAATACCGTAAATACACTAAGTGTATAGCCTAGGGCTTCTATTAGGATATTTACGGTAACAAAAAAATCATTCATTGAGTAGATGTTGTTCTATTAATATCAACAAAATTAGTTAATAAACTGGGATCTTTTTCAATTTCACAAATTCCTTCAACTTCCCTCCCTTCATTTTCTTCCAAACAATTTTTAATATAAAAATTTAATAAATGGGCATAATTACTATTCCAATCCCTTTCAAATAAATTCTTCATTTGTTTAAATATTTGAGGAATTTTTCTTCTTTTTTCTGTTTGCTTCAAAACTATGGCTACTCCAGTGCCTAAATCTTCAAAATAATCTCCGGACCAATTCGACGTTCCAATAATTAAAGTGTCGTCGGCCATTAAAAACTTTTTGTGGGTTCTTCTGTCTCGTTGAAGGACTGGCTGGTAGGCAAAAGAGTCTGCTGGGACTTTGAATATTTTCTGAAATAAAAATTTTTTTAACGTATTCTATTGCGGAGATAATGAGAGAGATATTGTGAGAGGTTGGCGAACACAAAATACGGAATTATTTTAAGCACTATAGAGAAATAATTAAAAAAACAAATTTACTTAATAATAATTATTTTAATTAATATTTTTATTAAATTAATTAATAAGCGCGAGTAAGTGTAAGACCCTACATATCACATTTTAAATATTTTTGAGTATCACTCAATTGAAGTGATAAATTATTTAAACAGAGTCATTGGTTCCATTGGAACCCAATAAAAAGATTTTTTAATTTACCAGAAATAAAACCGGTATTTAGACTAAAAGGTAGATTTTTGGATATGCCGTCCAAAAAAGACGGAATTTGAAGTATGGGAAGAGATCCCATAATTTTTCAATCCATTCTACCAATTACCTAATGTCAAAATTTCCTTCATATTTTTTGTTTAAAAATTTTTTATAATTTGATTTAAAATTAACTTACAACAGTAACAGAACCACCACCATATCTTTCACCCAACACTTCCAACGATTTTAAAAATCCCAATCCTTTACTGGGAAAATGTAAAGCTGTTGAAATTATTTTAATTTTGACGCCTCTAAGGATAGCTTCTCTTATAGCGTTATCTATTGGTGGCCAATACTTTCCTTTTTGTGTATATAAAAACATTGGGAAGTAATCCATGACGTGAATTAATATAAAAGTTTTGGCATTTTTTATAGCTTCAACAATATCGTTTAAATCCCAACTTCGCCTTGGACTGTTTAATGAACGTGGAGATGCCTTTAAATGAAAACAAAATTAATATAGGATTCACAATTAGTTGGCCTCTGCTGTACCCCTACGGTATATCCACTAGACAGGAAAATCACAAATCTGGGATACCGAAGGAGATTTTTTCAAAAGGGCAAACGGGCAGGATTTTAAATTCGCGATTCCGGGACGGGATCTCGTAGAGTCTAGGACAAGATCGCAAAATAATTTACAAAGTTAAAAGCACACCAGTCTCATATCTGTTCCTATCTGGGCACATTACAGAAACATATTTAACACGTTTAAATTAATTTCTCGTCAGGCTTTGTGCGGGTAGATCTAAAATTTTCTAAATTCTCACTAATGCTCCAAAGTAAAGCATTAAATGAAAAACACTCTTCCCCAATTCATTAACAAGGGATACTGTAATATGAGAGAATTTTTAAGCTCTCCTCACTCTACTCACAAAAAACTAAGCAACAATAAAATTTAAAACCTACAGATAAATGCACATCCAATTTATTATTTTCCCCATCAAAAATAGCCAAAGGCTTTTGAGAATTGTAAAATGCTGGGGGCATTTGTTGTATCATTTTTTGGACTTCTTTAAATAATTTTCATAAAATATTTTTTCAATTCAATTACCTTTAGCACATTTCTTTTCAGATGCTTGCCAATAAATTTCAAAAATTCTGGCCAAGTCGCGGCTTAGACAGGGACAATCCTGCATAAGCACACCCATTTCCATTTTCTATGGACGAAATTTAATAATTATTACTATATTTGTCATTGAAATTTTTAACATAAAATTTGACAATTATTTTCGAAGGATATCAGGGTAATATAACGATATAAAGATTTAGATGGATATCTCCAATATATCTCCTCAAATTCCAACTTCATGGATATCTTCTCTATAATCCCTCCACCCCTTCACTAATAAAAAATTTACGGGCAAATTTAGGAGAAGTTAGAGGTCAAGGAGCCAGATTCCTTCCATTTTTTGCGTCGCTAGCAAAAATTCTGGGGTTATAAAGCTCAAAAAATAATATTAAAGGTTTAAAATTCGCTGACTTTCGGGGACTGGGGGTCCAATAACAAATTCAATAACAAATAATTGAATTTATGAGATAATTTACTTAGTAAGCGTGAATTTTGGTAAACTCTAATAAATTAATTACTTGTGTCAGAGAACGCCAATCCAAATTAGCAGATCCCAAATAAAAATGTTTATTATCAGCAACAATAACTTTAGAATGCATAACTCCAGTATTAAATATTTTTTGTAGATTAAGCACCCTTCTATTCAAAACACCTCTTTTGGCCAAAGAAGTTCCGTCTTCATTATCTCCCTTAAAAATTTTTTTTTGAAATTTTTGGACTTAAAAATTTCCCTTAACCTTATCCTTAGCCACAGCATTCTCAACCATTTTTATTTGTATTCCTCTATCAAGTCCAGCACCAATAAGTGCATCAAACATTTTTTCGCCCTTTAATTAAAAATGAATAATTTTGAGATTTAAAAGAAAATTAGGAAGCTTCGTTGGGGGAGTTTTATAAATAGACCCTCACAAATATCAAATTTACAAAGTGGGCGAGAACTGTGAAAGTGACTTTGGAAATAAAAGTTCTCGTCTATCGAGTTATCCCTCTCAATTCCATATAAATCTCTACGTCCTGTCTCTAATTAGGACACACAGCAAGACAAAAAACCAAATTCGCGATTTTCGTGGATTGTGAATTCCCGAAAATGTCAAATTCACAATTTTCTGAAATCGTGTCTCGGATCGGCGCGATCCCTGATACACAATGAATTTTCTTTAAAATTTTTTTCATTCATGGTTCTCATTGAGAGATACCTATGTCAAATTATGATTTTTGTCCGTGTTTCTTATGATTTTTGCTACAGAAAATTTTAGCTTTCAATAATTTTTTTATCATTCATGCCCTATTTTAATTTAAGTATTATTCTCAGTTATCTCTCTAAACAAAAATCCCATCTGCTTGAGTGTCCCTTTCCAAGAGAGAGAGAATACAGTAATTTAAAAATATTATTCCCTTTCATTACTTGAAAAGAAATATTGTTCAAAGCCTGCTCGCCAAGAACGTGTTTTCCTTTAAATTTTTTATTTTTAAATTAAAATTTTATTTCAAAAAACCTCTCAAACTCGATTTATATGCAGCAATTAAAAGTGAATTTTTAGCTGAATTAATAAGTAAATTCCAGGCAGAGAATGTAGACAATGCTGGTTGTTGGGAATATTCAACAGGAAATGTGAGGTTTTGGGCAATACTTTCGACTAGTTGAATTCTTTAAAATTTAAATTAAGAAAAAGAAACAATTCTGAATAAATTATGGGGATTTGCCTGATTATTGTAAAGAAGGGAGATCCATAAAGGATTTAGTACGATTAATGGGCGGAAAGAAAATCACTTATAGCTTTAACTGTTGGAAGGTCGCAGTATTGCAACACGATTTAAAAAACTTGACCTCCCTCTTAAACCCACAGTCTCAAAAGTTCATTATGCTTTAGAAATTTACAATGTTCCTAAATTAGAAAATTTTAACTTCAAATTTAAGCAAACACTAAACGATTTTTACCAATTTTACTTAATATAATTTTTTTTATTTTTATTCCATTAGAAATAATTTTAAGATTTATAACCTTAGCATCTCTGATTTCATCCGAAGGTTAATATTTTTGTATACCATTGCATAGCATTGGTAAATTTATTTTCAGATTAACTCTTAATTGAGTGAATTAAGATTGTGCCCCATGTATTTGTCCTCAAAAACTAAAAAGTTAAGTACCTAAATATTTTACATACCTACAAGTCCGGGAACATTCCAATTCATCTTGTTGAACAGGCATTGAAGCAACAGGCTCCAACCGATTTCTAAATCTTGTAGAAAAAGGTAATTGCCATAATAAAATTGTGGCAATACCAAAAAGTGTTCCACAAACAATTATTTGGGCAAAAAGAAGGAAAGAACTGTCTGTAACAGACCCTTCTCTCCTTTCAGAATTTGTTTGATTTTGAATCGAGTTTCTCCTAAATTGGTGTTGGAATGCAAAACTGGTAGAGACTTGACAGTTGTTTTTTGATTCTGACAAGTTTTCTGAATTTTGATGTTTTTGGTCGTTGCTTTTTTCCTTCTCCATTATTTTTAGAATAAAATTTCGAGAAAATATTTTTTATTGAATTTTAAAATTAGAATATCTTAATTATGAAGCTTCATTAATTATTCATAAGAAAAAGACTCTCTTCACCAGGGCTTATAAATTTCAATTTAGGCCGCGTACTCGTACTCCTATGTCTACCACCCCTAATTTTGGCTTCGTACCACCCCTACTTCCAAAGTACGAATTTTGGTAAGAGCGTATAAGCTATGCTCTTCACTAGTTATTCTGCTTGTTTACTTGAGATTTTAAATGATCCAAACTTTAAGCGTAACACTCCGTCTAATTGAGCCCTCCCTTCAGAAAGAGTGTCTCAAACCGTGGTACTCTTCTTATAAAATCTTGTTATGCTTGACCGTCTTTGTTTGAAATTGAAGGATACTTTATCTACCCTTAAAGGTCTCTTATATCGTGATTTGATTGTATCTCTCTTATCTCCCCTGTAATTCTACTTATTTACTTGGGACTTATTAACAAATTTAATAAAAATTCAGCTCATTTATAAAGTGATAAGATAAAAATTAATGAAATTAATATTTCTCGGACCATATTTTTATACACAAAAATCTAGTTAAATGATCTTTAAACGTGATAATTATCTTATGCCCCCTTCTCATTTCAAAATTCTTGTTCTTTTTTGTAAATTTTTGGCTCAATTAACGTCAATTATCAAATGTTTTAAAACAATTTTAGAAAAATATAAAACATTTACTTATCACTCCATTGACGTCAATGGAAGAACGGTGAAATGAAAAAGGGTCCGAAATTCGTGGCACATTTATAAAGGTACACTATTGTTGTCTATTTTTGAAAAAAAAGATAATTTTATTTATTTAAAAAATAAAGATAAAAATTTAACGGGGTTAGTAGGGCGCGAAGACATTACGCCTAAGAAACAATTACAATAAAGATTCAGAACGACAATTTGTCAGTTGAATTCACTGACATTCAAAAATATGAAGATGACTTTTATAACAAACGGCACAGCTATGATCGAAAATAAACATTTACTTTAATATAATTTAAATAAATTATATTAAGTACATTTTACTATAAAATTTCATCTAATATTGTCGGTTTTAGGAAATCCTCTAATAACATTTTAATTAAAAATCCTTTAAAATTTTTGAAAAGATTGAAGTGAAAATTAATTTTTAAATAAGTAACAAAAATTTGCGCATGAAACCATGAGTCCAAATTTAAAAATAAATATTAAAAAAAAAGTAAACAGATGTTATCATTAAAAAGAAAGGAAGAAGAGTGTTGTTGTTTATTTTTGATAAACTCAACAACAACAAAAATTTTTGTTGTTAAATAATCTTTAAAAAATTGGAAAAGTACACAAAGAATGTTTAAAAGATTATTAATAAATTTATAAAATAAGATGATTGAAAATAATTATCAGTAAGCTAATAATAATTTTGAATTGACGTCAAAAATTTTTTTTTTAAATTTTAGTAAAAATAATTTGATAAGACGTTTTTTAAATAATTATTTTTACAATTTGAGTTAGAATAATTATTTGCAATTTAAATCAAAAAAATTTTGTATCAAATTTATTAAGAGGCTTGTGTATTTTTTAGAATCATTTTTGGCATGATGGAAATGTTCATGATCGTGTCGGGCTAAAACGCGGAAAGGAGAAAACACGGAACGACAGAACACGGAACGACAAAACGAGGAATTACAAAACACGGAACGGTCAAAAGGCGAAACGACCAAAACACGGTCAAGAGAAATAATTTTTTATCCTGGACCGTGTTTTGGTCGTTCCGTGTTTTGGTAAGACCACGTTTTGTCGTTCCGTGTTCTGTCTGTTCCGTATTTTGGAATTCCTCGTTTTACCCCTCACTCTGTGATGGGGTCAAAAATTAAACTTTTTAATTGCCTGAGGCTATTTATTGACAAATAGGAGGAACTAAAATATTACCTCCTTATAAACATGTTGGTCATCTACAGGTCATTCAACTTCCCCAGACGACTTCCAAGCTAAACTTAATTAATTTATGGCTTGTATGGGAGTACATTTTACTATTTAAATATGTATCCATCCAATACTTTTAATTAAATATTTAATAATCAAAAACAAAAAAATAGGTAAAATTTTAATGGATTTAAAACATTTTTACTAAAAAATTTAAAAAGAAATGATGGAAAATACAAAAAGTCACAGCAAAAACAACAAAAATAAAAGTAGATTGCTTCTACCTCTTGAACTGCTTTTTGATATAATTCATACGGCTAATAAAAGGCAAAAGAATAGATACGGAAAATATTTTTTGATAATTTGGGTTATTATGTAGTAGAGATTCGGGATCGTTGACTCAAATGATATCAATCTCATAAACTAGAGATCAGATTTATATGGATTTCCATATTTCCTTCCTGGCCTTGCTGTGTTTTGAAATGTACAAAAAACCAGGTATATTTTAGCATTCTGTCCATGTTTTCCATATTTACCAATTTTTTACAATTCTGATTAATATGTCTTCGAAATTTTTCCAAATTTTGGCGTTTTTTTCATACTTTTTTCATACTTCAATCACTATTTCAATATCCTTATTCCATATTATATGTACATTTTTTCGATTGATAGTCCAAATATATCTTAACCTACACATTCCGAGCTTTTTCGGTAACTAGGTATAGTTCGATATCTAGTTATAACTAGGGATCGGATTTATATTGAAATAAAATCGTAAAATATGGCCATAAAATATTGAAATAAAATGGCAAAATATTGACAAAAAATGCCAAAAATTAGTGAAATATTGAAATAAATTTTCGTATATTCACTAGCCAAAACCCAAAAAAAGTTGAAATTTAACAAAAAAAGTTAGTCACGTTGTTAAAATTGCAATCTAGACTTATCGTTCGACGTATTAGCTATTTTTAATCTCTTGGACATCCTAAGTTTGACGAAATGAGGATGCGAAATTTTGTGGGGTTTGCTCAATGTGCCATTTTGGGGGTTATGTCCAGTGGGACATTTTGATGGCGGAATATTTTGGGATGGGCTTTATGGGAATTTTTGTTCAGTTACACATTTTGAGTTATCTGTTAATTGGGAAATTTTGGGCGCAATTCTAGAGATATCCCATTTCTAGAGAAGGGATATATGCGTCCCAAAATTATTATAAGCGTAAAAAATGTGAAAACATTTTTTCATTTTATTAATGACAATTAAGGGAAATAATTAGGGAAATTTCAGTGAAATTAAGGGAAATTTCAGGGAAATAATTAGTGGACGGCAGCGAATAATAGGCCATAATATCCCCTTTTTAGCGCCGATGGCGAAAATTTTGTCAATTTTGCTTGTCAATAAGCTAGATTTCGTCACTTTTTTTCTAAAATTTATGAAAAATCCCTAAATTTTGGTAAAAAAATGCAAAAATAATGAAATAATTTGAAAAATGTGTCAAATATGGAAATAACTGGAAAATTGGCAAAATATTGAAATATATTGAAATGTATCTTTGTTCAAAATCATAATATCGAAAAACTAATGGCATATTTGAGCTTCTCTTGACATAATATATTTAGGAAAAAAAAATATATTTCAATACAAATCCGATCCCTAGTTATAACTCGCATACGTTCCTGCAGTGAGAGAGATACTCATCAGGGCTGTGCGCCAAAATTTTCGCGTGGCGCGCCAAACGCCAATTTTTTAAAATTTAAAAACACGCCAAAACGCCAAACGCCAAAAATTTTAGAGTATAAAGACTTGAAAACCACTGTTCATCTCATTTTAGCGCCGCAGGCGAAATTTTTTGAATTTTCAAGATTCCCAGAAGCCAGAATTCATCCTTTTTTTACCGCCGGAGCGAAATTTTTACGAATTGATACTCATTCCTAAACGACACTCAAGATTATCTACGACATGTAGTTCGGGTTTATCGAACCCGAACTGAAATTTTCAGTTAACAGAAAAGAGTTCGGTTCGGTTAACTCTCTGTCAAAACTCCTCATTTTCAATATTTGAGAACTTCGGAAAGCCAAGTCTTTAGCAACTGAAACCGAATCATTAACTTTCGATCTTGGTTTGATGAAGGTTTGATGAAAAACCATCAACCCTTAAGTTTTGATGAAAAATCAAGATTCAACTTTCATAGGCCAAGTGTATACTGACTGTGACAGAAAAAGATATAAATATTAAAAGAAAGTAATGACCGAGTTTCCGTATCTATTCTAATGTCTGTCAATACCAGACATGATTCAAAAAATATTATTTATACTGAAAATACAGCAATGATATTAGAATTGAAAGAATATTTTATAAAATTAATGTCTTGTTCTACAATATTATATGCTTATTTTGGAGAAAATTTAATAAAACTTTTTAGAAAATTAAAGGTAAATTTAATTAAGGGAAGATATTGAATTGTCAGAAAGTCTCTGATAAAAATAAAAATAATTTTAGGTTACTTTCGGTTATGTAGCCACAATGTCCGCAAGTTTTTTCTGCAATTTATAAAAGATTGTTTTGTGGAGTATTTTTGGAATATAAATTTTTGTAAATTTCTTTTCTGAAATTCAAGATAAAATAATTTACAAATTCTAAAATAAATCCCAAAGAAGTCCAACAACAAAACCACAGCTATTGCTGTGATTGTCCACATAAAGAGTAAAGTAATCGGTACTTTCCAACTTTACAGACCCACTTTTTCCTGTCTCCAATTTCAGCTGCCTGAGCACTTCTTCTAGCTGAAATGCCAAAATACTTTATAAAGACTTAATAAAAAATAATTATTTTTGATTGATTTTAGGGCCAAATACAAAAGGTAATTGGTATGGAAAAAAGGATATATGGAAATAAATAGGAAGGAAAATGGGGTCTGTAAAGTTCAATATTACCAAGTGATCACTAAAATCCAATTTAATGTTGTGGTGTTAAAATCTGCTAAGATGAACGTAAGGAGCGCGGAATGATATGTTGCTGTTGTACAATTCAAGTAAATGCGTGAGGGACGTCGACACGTGATCAATCGACACTTCCTTTTGAAAAAATTATAAAAATTTTTGTTTAGATGCCATCGTGAACATTTTCATGCCCCCAAAATAATTTTTTCTCTATTAAAATAATCTTTTTGAGAAAATAAATATAAAAACTATGCAGAAAAACTTGAGGGCATTGTTACAACATATTCAAAAAGACTGCAGTTAACATTTTAAGTAAGAGAGATGAAAGAGTACACATCCTTTTTAAATGAGAGACGCTCATTACATTATTTCAAAAATTTGAAATAATTTGAATAAGGCAAAATATAGGTTATCTATAGGCAAAAAAATAAAATTTTCAAACACCCAACCAATTCTTTCATTTTTTCTTCTTCACTTTATTTCAATCCAATCATTAAACATATTTTTATTTAAATTACTAAATATTTAAATTATTTTTTGTGATTTTAATTTAAATTCATGTAAGAGTATCTACGTAGATTATAATGTAGTGAACATAATGTTAGGTCCGTTGGAGGCATTATGTAATAGGGTAGAATTAAGCGGTATCGGGATTTAGAGAAAAACCCGGGATCGGGATTTAGGAATGGTGATCCCGATCCCGGATCCCGACACGGGATCGGGATTGGCCGGGATCGGGATATATATTTCGGGAGCGGGATCAGAAAAATCGGGATTGGGATCTGAAAAACCCGGGATAATCCCGCCCGATCCCGACCGGGATCCCGATTCCGCTCAACCCTATAATAGGGTTCGACCCCTAAACAAAATAAACGTCTTTATTTACCATACATCCACTAAGCACACAGAGAGTACCCTCGATTTATTGGATTTAATGCTGATAGTTTTTTCAGAATTATTAAATAATTTTTTAATTATTCGAGATGAAGTTATGTTTCATTTGTAAACAACATATAAACGAAAATGACCGAACAGTTCAAATCAATGCCTGTCTTCACCTGTTCCATAGAGACTGTTTAAACATTAAGAATGACAATTGCCCTGTTGACGGGTGTACAACGAGTATTCAAGGAAATGCTCTGTTTTTTAGTTGGGGAAATTCTTCTGATAAGGGGTCTTTACAAGCTGTAGAAGCTGTTCCAATTACTCAGGTATCGAATTAATTTTCATATGAATTTTAAGAAGACGAATGTTTTATAAAAAATTTTTGAAAAATTTTGGAAATTATTTATTTGAAGCCACCTGGAGATTTTTAGATTTGATTTCATTTTTATGGCATCTGACTTTATACTAATTTTATCTGTAGCAAAATTTTTCAATTTTACGGAATTTTATGCAAAATGTATTCATTTCTCATGTATTCATTTCTCACCTCGAACTAAGATTCAGTCCGAACGATTTTTTTTGCTAGCACGGTCTCATCCTTATTTTAGGCACCTGTTTCATTTTGCAAAAAATTCTTATTTGTTTTTTTTATTTAATCATTATTTTTCTAACAGTCATATATTCAATTCGACCAAGTAGGTATGCCGCACTATATGTATACTACATGGCCATATTATAGGTGTTTTAGTTAAAATTTTATATAAAATTGTATTTATTTAACAGTTATTATGTTGATGAAACCCGACCGTCTTCATCTCATGTTTCCTATGCACAACAACAATTAAATCCCTACCCCACTCAACAGCCACAACAGACTTATCAACCTCGTTATTCTACACAACCTGGGGTACTAATAATATTTTAAGTTTTGAAATTTTTAAAAAGAAAATCAAAAATTTTATAAAAGGAAAAATAGATGACAACTTCTAACTCCTCGAAGATTTTTAGAATTAATTTATAGAATATCTCATGTTTTGAGAGATAATACAAAAATGATGAACTTCATTATATCTAAAAATTGAGCGGGATATTTTAACAAATATTTTTTAAAAAATAATCGAGATAATTAGTACCTATAAGCCAAGAATATTTATAATTTTTTGTTCTGAAGAGTAAAAAGGAAATTTTTTATAAAAATTTATTTTCGGGGTTTACATTTTTAAAGTGAATTTACTATTTTTAAAATATTATTTTTAGACGAATTTCTCTGTTGGGCAGACTTCAAGCACTCCTGGATCAACTCGGGCACCAAGGCCTCCAACTTATTTCAACTTACCAATGCCTCCACCTATTCTTCCTCAAAACATTCCCTTACCGCCTATTCGACCATCAACTTTTAATGCTATTAATTTTGGTTCAGAATTAAATGGTAATTAAAAATTACTTAAAATTTCTATTATTCATCTCATTTTAATCTTTTTTCTAAATTTAAAAAAAGTTTAATCGGCATTAATGTGAAGCGATTTTATGGTCAAAATTTTGGAATTTTTTCGTCAAAATTTTTTTTTATAAATTATAAATTTTTTTGGTAATATTTCGGTTTGTTCCGCCTCTTTTTTCCTGTATCTTTCTCTATAATTTATCATTTATCGTTTGAAATAGCTTTTTGATCTGGGTCGGATGTCCTATGATCGTTTATTTCCTTGATTCTGAACTCAATTATGATTCTGAATCCTCGTTTAAAACTTTTTGTGTCTCTATAAGCGATTAAAATTAACGGCCATACCTGTATGGCTTAAATCTGAGTTCATTGATTTTAGTGCCATTCTAATCAGCTTGAACAGCTCTTTCAAACGATAAAGAGGATGGAATAAACCGAATTATTACTAAATTTTTCTAAAAAAATTTTCGGAAAATTTTTCGGTAAATTTTTTTAAAAGATCGCCAAAAATATTTCATCAAAATTTTTGAGTCAATTTGGGAGGAATGAACTAAATCATAGCAGCCATATTTAAATGTGCTGTGAATCTAAAATTGGCGATTTCCTCAGTGGCAAATAAATTTTAATAAAAGCATATCTAAAACTATAGGTATCTAAAATTAGGGTTATCCCAGCTAGTTTGCCCAAATTCAAATTCCAATTAAAAACTAGAATTTTTAGTTCCTTTACTGCAGTTCGAGACAAGAATGTGTACAAAATGTAATCACCCAATCCCAGCTATTTGGTTTGATTCTCATGTTAAAGCTTGCCATCAAGGCAGAAAAAGAAAGTCGGATAAATAAATTATTTAAAATATTTAAATGCTATATTTTTGACGTTAAAAAGTTTTTAAAATTTTACTTATTTTGTAAAATTCTGGTTAATTTGTAGAATTTGTGAAAATAAATTTTTATATTTTTCATACATTTTCACCGAGGCATAGGTAAAAAAACTTACCCGTATTTGGCAAAACCTTCAATTATTTCTAAACAGATCTCGACCTCCCAAGATTGTTGTAACACTCTCAAACATTTCATTAGATTCATAAATTTTATATGGACTCATAAAAGGTCATTGGACGCATAAGCTAAAAGAGCCTCACTTTGTTTGGCCTCAATTCTCACTCTACCTATTTTTTGAGATTCTCAATGACTTTACCATGAGCCCAAAAATTATCCACTTAATCCTTAACTGGGATATCTCCTTATCTTTTCAAATATCCAGATATTCCTCCAAATCAAACAATATATTATGGTCGGCATTAGTACTACTTGCCTTATACAGTAAATTTATCTTGTATGATTGATTGACAATGGCGTAGCAGAGTCCAGACAAAGAGGAAAAAATCAGCAAAAAGTGTCTGCAAAAAGCACGTAGGGGTAACAGAGTGTAGGGGTAACAGAGTGATAATTGAATGATGTTACATCCGTTTAGATCTCTAATTATTATCTTCACATTTACCTGAAAGAGAGAGAGAGATTGCTTTTGCAAATTAGAAGATTATGGTTAAATTTAACTAATTTTTCTACAATTTCTAAAAAAATTTTCCTTTCATTTCTTATTCTGCCTCCTCATTACATTGGGTTGACATAATTTTTTCAAATATTATGGAGAAAGCAAGCTTATCTTCCTAGTTAATATGTCTAGGTCATATTGCTGTAAGTAGATTCCACTCCTATATTAAACTTAAAAACAGAAAATTTTCCCTTATGAGCTTCATTTATTTAGCTTTACTTTTATTTTAGTAAATTCTTTCTTATCTTTTTTTATTTCTAAATTTCCAGAAAATTATTTTTTAAATGAATAAAAAAGAACAAAATCCATTAGGAGATTGGAGATTTTGTTGGGGTGGCAATTATGGTAATATTAATAATTATTATTCAAATAAAACTGAAGATGAGACAAATTCTTCTACAATTGCAGAAGATAAAGAAGAAGAAAGTTTAAAAGATTCTTGTGTTTCTTGCTGTTTATCGCAAAATATAATTGAATCTTTGACACAACGTATAGAGAAATTGGAGGTTAACAAAATAGTTTATAAAATGTTAAAATTTTAAGAAAAAATATATTAGTATAATTTAAACCCCAATCCTATTTATAATCTAATTAAGGCAAAATCTCTCTTGCGCCTAACCCCGATCTATCCCAAAATAAAATTTATATTAATACCTGTATAGTTATATGAGACCGAATTCCTATAGCGTCCAACACTATTAATAATGATTATTCAAATCCTTTTGTTTTTACTTCCTCATAAAGATTACAAATAGTCAAAGTGCATAAAAATTAAAATTGTCTGACCATTATGTGCTTTATGATATCTGTAATCCTTATCTGAAGTAAGCAAAAATTGTGAAGATAACCGTATAGCAGATAATTTTCTCAATAACTAATTATCCATTTTATATTAGTATTTTAATCAAAAAAATTAAGAATGTTGTATATGAATTTACCAAAGACAAAAAAGAAAAATTTCAAAATATTGAACAACAAAATAATGAAAATAAAGAGAAAACTGCAAATTTAGAAAAAATATTTTATCAAAAAGATATTAAAATAAATTTGTTGGAAAGTGAAATCAAAAAGGTAAGTAAATAGAGTATACCTCCTCTCGTGGCAAAATGTTCTTCAATTTTTTCTAAAAATTTCCCTTGTAGGAAAAAACAAATTTTGACTTGTATGTCATATTAAGTAAAATATTTGGAGGGATTTACAAGAGCACTAATATAATTTGGGAATTAGCACCACTTAGAAAAACGTTAGAAAAGTCAAAACAAAATTTTTCAACGATAATGCCAGTAATTATGGGTGTAAAGTAGCAGAACAAGCTAAGAATGTGGATGAGAGCCCATCCGTGAAGTATAACTAGAGTTGACAATATCGTAACTAGTATTCGGCACGGTTCAATACTCCCGCAGTACTTTCGAAAGTTTTGACTCGGTACTTTTCGGTACTATTGGTATTGGTACGGTACTGATGAGATTTTGCAATTTTCGTTACTCGCTCAATGCCAATACTTTTCGGTATTGGTATTGAAAAAATCCATTTGCCGAACACTAATCGTAAAATATTTTTTTACTAGTAATCTCATTAGAGAGATTAACATATACAAAAAATTCTGAAGATTAGCATTTATACTATAAATGTTTTAGTTTTAAAATATTTTCATTTTTAATTTTTATTTAGCAAATAAGTGATTTACAAAGTAATCTTTATAAATATTTATTTGAATTTCAAATTGAAATTAACCAACTAAAGAAAGATAATGAGACTAATATAAAAATTATAAAACAAAAAAATAAAGAAAAATATCAACAATTAGAATCTGAAAATACAAACAAAATTTCTTATCTAGAAGAAATTATTCATCAAAAGGATGTGAAAATAACTTCATTAGAAAAAGATAATAAACAGGTAATACTCATATTAATTTGCATTTTTAATTTTGGTATTTTGTTCATATCCTTCTGATGTTTCTCCTATGCTTTCTGATGTTCCTGCTTTCTAATGTTGCTCCTCTTAACTTGCGTTTACCTTGAAATGTTTCATGATTGACAATCAATCATCTGAGATACAAATAGGGAGGGAAGAGTTGGGGATATGATATGAACAAAGCAGACTTGTCTATGGACACAGATTTTGGGATCCAGATATATACGGCGGATGCAGGCGGATATCCGCAGGCATCTTAATATTATTTCAATCCAAATCCGTATCGGTGGATAAGTCTGAAATAAAGTTCTTTAATTTTTCAATCAAAAAATCAGTTTGGTACTAAAGCATTTATTTAGACAAATCAACTAATTCAATCATTGGAGATAAAAATTAAACAAAACGAAAATGAATATTTAAATAAAATGAATGTATTGGATGAAAATATTAAACAAATGGAAGGGCTTATTAAATTGTTGGAAATTAAAAATAAAATGGTGATTTTGTCGTTATAAATCAAAAATAAGGAGGGATAAATATGCATGAAAATAACCGAATATCCGCATATATATGCACTAAAAAGTCCAAAATATGCACCTAAATATGCAAAATTTCCTAAAATATGCACCGATATGCAAATATGCACGAAAGGGCCAAAATATGCAAAAATATGCATTAAGACCGGGGCTAAATTGCTCGGCTATCTAATTGACGTCTATGTGTAACCGTCTAGGTATTAAAGGTTGATTGTGAAAATTCAAAATATTTTCACATAAAAATTTTTATATTCTTGTTCGAAAATCGTTTTTTAGGAATCAAAGAACAATGAAACAATCGACAATTTAAATAACAAAATTGTCAAATTAACAGAAGTACAAGAAGATTTAATTTCCTATGTTGCTTCTAATAGAACGGTTAGCAGTCAAGCATTATTCGTAAAAAAATTATTTAGAAATATATACAAATTAAAAATAAATGGAAGAATATTGATGATCGAAGAAAATGTTGTGAAGATAATTGTATAAATACAGAAACACCATCTCGCTTATGCAAAAACGGAAATGGATTTATTGAGATAATTGATGACACGAATATTATTTACAATTATAATTATGATCCGTGGACAGGTATAATAAATACGGGTTTTTTAGAAGAATAAAATGTAGTCATGAACAAAAAGTGAATCAAGTACATGCAAGACTTTCTGGATTAATATTTTTTATTATCCAGCCCACACTTAAAAATAATTGTACCAATTTTCGCGCGACAAAAAGATGGGGACAAGTCTCGTTACTTTAGATGGGGACAAGTTAAAAAGATGGGGACAAGTCGATAGTTATATAGGAAACGTTGGAAATCAGAATTCCAATCTACCTCTGTTACTGAGTATTCACTCAAAAAAAATCTACAGAAAGAGACTCTCCCCCTTCTCCCTCCACATGTAAATGCATAAATAGCCTTTGTCGTTGATTTAATTTCACCAAAAAAGCTCTTGTATTAGCTGAAGGAGAAATAAGCCCAGTTA